GAATTGCCTCATGATAAGAGCATCTTCCATTCTCATGAGGCAACTCCTAATGGGCTCTTGGATGGAGCTGGCCACTGGAGAGTCCAAGCCCTGATTAAAAATTTGGAAATTTCAGTCCCATTTCCATCTTCTGGGGAAAAGGGAGGGACTGGAACCATGCCAAGTATGGTGATACTTGCCTTAATCCCACACCCTGCAAGGTTGAGGCAAAGGGGTCTCAAGTTCAAGCTCAGTCTGCAATTTAGTGGCTTAGCATGACTGTCTCAAAATAAAAACTAAAAAGGTCTGAGGATGTCACTCAAAATAAAGGCCCTGGACTCAAGCTCCCAGGAGTGAAGTGGAAAAAAAAAGAAAGGAAGCTGGCTGAGCTATGCGGTTTGGAGGGCTTCCAGGCTGATGAATACCTTCATGAGCCAGGAGAGTAGCTGAATCCAAACTCCATGAAACAGAGGCTTTGGCACTAGGAGCCCTTCTGGACCTCGCCTTGTGCATCTCTTCATCTAGACAATCATGTATATTTTATAAGAAACCTATAAATGTGTTTCCCAGACTTCTGTGCACTCAGGACATTAGCAAATTATCTAATGATACAAGGAGGTCAAGGAATCCCCAATTTGTAGTCACACTGAACAAAAGTGTAGATACCTGACAGCCTGGCATTTCTGACGGACAGCTGAAAGGTAAATGTCTCGTGAGACTGAGCCCCTAACCTGTGGGGTCTAATGTTAACTTCAAGTATTGGCAGAATTGAATTGATGTATAGAACACTCAGGGTCTTCCAGAGCGAACTAGAGGGTTCCTTGGCACTGTAGCAAAGCCCCTCAGTCTTGGTGAGTTTCTTCCTTTTTAGATGATGACCCAAATGTTGCTTTGCAGGACAGGCAGTGTGGGTATTCAGGACTTCCTGTTCCAGACAGATTGAGGTACCATCTGAAGGCCTTAGAGGTGCAAGAGGGACAACCCAGATGATGGGGCCCCCTCTGGGGAGACGCTGAGCACTGGGGTATTGTGGGGTCACCTAGGGAGACGACTGCACTGCTCCTACTTTGGGATGCAGATGGGGGTCAGGGTGAAGCATCTGAAAATAAGGGTGTGGAGTTTCTGGGCAGCACATTAGACTCCACAATTTCTATGCATGATTCTCCAGCAAGCAAAAAAAGCAAGCCGGACTGACCTGAATTGTCTTTGCAAAATGAAATACCATCTAGCATGAAAAATAACTCTATACTGCATTCTTGATATTTATGGCTACTATATAACAAGAAAAAAAAGTTTTAATATTTGATGCTCTTGGATTTAGAAATCTCTCATTCCATAATTTCTAGGAGGTACTTTCTCAGAGACAGTAAATATTTTATCACTGCTATACACATGGTGCTGAAAATCTTTATGAATAAACAAAGGCACATTTAAGAGCTGTTCTTGAAAACAAATAGATGGCTAATTTAGTAGAGATTTGAGGTTTTAACTTTCAGGATGGTGTAATGCTCCAGGATCCCAAGAAAACATGATGTTTATGCTTCAAAATTATATCAAGGCAGAACTTTTTTCTTAATCGTACAGCCATATAGAGATAGCTCAAAGGATTTCTCAAACTTATAACAATGTGAAAGCAACATGTATTTAGTAGGTGCCATACATCAAATTTTGAGTTTTATCTGTTCACTGGCCAGCAACACGTACTGCAATGCAATACTCTCTTGTGATGGCAGGCAGCAGTGGTAGCCACAGTCTCCAGGCACCAGCCACCACCAGTATGCTGCTGCCACACTTGGTAGACAAATTTGGTCAATCTGTTCTGTACATCTTTTCTTTTCTTTTTTTGTACCAGGAATTGTTCAGTGGATCTTGATGAATGATAGCTTTAATTTGTAATGGGTTTATTAGTACATAGTTCTATCACAGATACAAGGAGCTGTACATGCAACATGTATATGTCATATGCACATATATATCATATCATGCTTTTTATTCCAAGATGTAGCTAAGAAAACAATGACATAATCCTCGTTGGAGATCTGCCCACTTACACTCCAGTGTTGTGTTTACATCCTTATTCTAACTGGCAAAGCCATGATCTTTCCCATTCCCCTGGAAATGCCTTTGTATTGAACCCCTGGAAAGGATACCAGTTGGAAGTTGCTATGGCTTGTGTTTAAGGTATCCCCAAAGCCTCATGTGGTCATAGGTGGGGTTTTTCAGAGTTTTTTACTGGCTCTAGAGTATGTAACTGATTTGTAGTGCATCTGTAGAATTAAGGGTATGAGTGTTATCTGCCCTAAGTCTGGAGCCAGCAAATTATGGGCTGAAATCTCTATATACTATGAGCTGAAATAAAACTTTCTTCTTTTAACTGGGTTTTGTTTGTCTCAGAAATGAGAAAAAGTAATGCAGAAATGTTCCAGAAAACACAAAGCAACCATAGCTTTAACAAGAGAGAAGTTTATTCTTTCTCATTGCTGTACTCAGGGGTTGTGCAGAGAAGAATTAGAAACAGGACATGGAGTTTATAATATTGTTTTATGATGGCCACCCAGAGTTAACACAATAAACTGCAGGAAATCTGTCCGCAACAACAAAGACATAGAATATTTAGTCAAGGGCCTGAATCCCACAGCAGTGTCCCACATGAGTCCAGATAAAAACCCAGAGCTCAGGACAATGCCTCCCACGAGTCCAACTGGAGGTCCAGAGCCCACAAGAAGGACTCACGCGTCTCTTTTACGGATCCATGCCCGGAAGGCCCAAAGGTCAGCTGTGGAAGCCAGAAAGTCCAGGCCAGCGGGGTGAAGGAGCTGTGCTGGTTGGTTGAAGGTTCTACATTGGAGCCAAGAAGTCACACTCACAACAAAGACCAGGGCTGAAAGGCACCACAGCCATCCTCAGCGACACGGAAGCCCCGAGCTCGTCCGACAACAAGCACAGACGAGTACATGCCAGGAAGCCAGCATGATGAGTTCATCCTAGAGACCAAGCAGCACAGCTGCTCTCCAGAGCCAGGAAGCAATGCTCAATGTGAGGACCAGAGCTTCTCCAGGAGAACCAATGGCTCAAACAGCAACACTTAGGAGAGCCCACAATGCCTCAATGCCTCAACGCAATAGCTTCTATGCAATATCTTCTCCTTCTCCATGTTTCTATTTATGCTGGCAACCTTCTTCAGGTGCAACATCTATGATCAGTGCCATGCTGATGTAATCCAGCTGGTGTTATGTTGACCACCAGTTCTTAACCCATAACAATCCACCCCTGGTCAACTTAATAACCACGTGCATTTCCTTAAACAATAGTCCTTAGGGGCAGATTTGTGAAAGTTAACACATCTTGGTCTATCCAGATTTACATTAATACAACAATTACATATATGCAAATCTTTCTACACTTAATTCCTGCACCAAAAGCAAAATATTTAAAGGATAACCAAGGTGCAACATTAAAACACAGTACTTTGATAAATTAACCTGGTTACAATCACATAGAAACATTAAAATCACACTAAAAGAACAATTACAATCACAGTCCCTGCGTCCCATTAACTTTTAATGTGGCACAGTAAGACTAACATATAAGGATCTCTTGCAATTCAAATGTACTCTTGATTTTTCATTATCCTAATCTTCTAAACAACCATGTTCTCTGCTTCATCTTTGTAACCCACAGTTCCAATAGAGCCTTCTCTCTGGCCAAATGTTTTAAATTGCTCTACTGGCCCTTGGCTCTAAATTTCCAACATAGATCTGGTCAAAAGTAACTATGCTACTATCCCAACTGTAGACTGCCATGAAATTTTTTGCTACCACATAATATTTCTAAATACAAGCAAAATGAAGACCAACTTTCAGCTAAAGCACAATATACTACCTGGACCCCAGCAGACACAGCAGTGCTTCTCAACAGAAGCCTCCTAAGCTTTATCTGGCAGCATTTCCATCAGTACTCTGATTCTCCAGGTTCCCACCAGAGTCCCCAATATAATACACAGTATTCAGGAGATGTCTTTTGGTCAGCCTCTCAAAAACTTTTCAAGTTAACTTCCAAGGCTCTTGAGTCATATAACCAAGCAACATAATAACAATAACCCGTCTCTCTCAGTACCAATTTCTGTATTAGTCAAGGTTGTACTAGAAAGAACAGATGTAAAAGAAACAAGATTGGCTTACAGAGTGAGCCACAGAGTCGGATGAAGAAGTTTGCAGAGGGTGTCTACGCACTGGGGGCCAAAGGATTCGATCCAAGGTCTGGAGTTCACCCCAGTGTCTTGTGCAAGTCCACACCAGTAGGCTGATGGGTCTGCAACAGGAGGCCAAAGGCTCTGTGATGAAAGGCTGAAGAGTCTATGCTGGAAAGCTGGAGTCTGTACTGGAAGCCAGGAGGTGAGGTCCTAACCAAAGGCGAGGACTGGAGCTTCTAACCCCCACACTGCTGCTGGGCCGCATCCCTGCCTACAGCTGGCCCCAGCTCCCCAGCTCTGCACTCCTTCGGGTCCTGCCAGCACAGTCCTCTCTAGGGACTGCCCCTGCTCGCTGACATCCCACTCTCTCCCCTTCCACGCACCTCTCCTTTCAGGGTGGCTTCTAGGTCCAACACGGCCCGAACCCTGCCCACAATGACCCTTCAGGACCTCTCCAGTCCCGGACACTTCTTGAGGGTCACAACTCCCAGTCTGGAGGAGACCTCAGCTTTCCTCTCCCTGCTGCTGTGTATCATTCATTCTTGCTGCAGCAGTCGTCCATAGTAGACCCCAAAGGCTGTGCAGTCTCTTTCCACCTCATAAAGAGCCAAACTTGTAGAACCATTTATGCACTGTCTCTTTCCACTTCTCGCCTTCCTTGTCCTTGCATCTTCCAATGACTGTTCCTCACCAGCCCCAACCCAGCCCACGTTCCCCCCCACCCCTTCTGCCATCCACTGCCAAACTCCCGCCCCTCTACAGCAGGGAGTCACCCACCGGTGTGGCTCCTCCCACCAGCCGCCCCGCGTCCCTCCCGGTCGCCAGGCAACCGCCGGCTGATCCCAAGGCAGCTGCAGACTGTCTGGACGACTGGCGACGCCATGGACCTGGTCATTACCCAGGAGCTGGCCCGCGCGGAGAGCCACGAAGGTGAGCCCGGGGCCACTGACCCGCCGCTAGAAGACCCCAGAATCCCCGTCCTTGAGAGCCTGGGGTCCCCAGATCCCCAAAGAGGGGGAAATCCCAGGGACTCCTGCCTCTGGTTTATAGGAGCGATCCTTTGAGGCCAGCCGTTGAAGGCCTTGAATTCGGGATTGCCTGGAGCACAGGTGACCCTACGGCCTTGCTGCTTGGGCCTGTGGCTGGCTGAGCCCCTGAGGGCGGAGTTCTGAGGTGGGAGGGCCCTAGGAGCCCGTCCTGAAGTGCAGGTGCTGGTGGCTCGGGCCGCTGGTCCCCCGGACAGGACCACGGGTCACGGAAGTCAGACCTCCAACTCCTCTGTCACCCCTTGCCCAACAGATGCTGATTCCTTGAAGCGAGCCTACGAGCTAATCAAGTCGGCCAACCTGGGAAAGTCAGAGTTCGACCCCTCAGAAAGCTTCAGTCCCGACTTGTTTGTGCTCTGTGCTGAACAGGCGCTCAAGGTGGACAGACCCAGCCCAAGGAGGGCTGCCGGATTCCTGGGGTTTCTGGGCTCAGACGCTGGTTGGAGGACAAGTGGGTGGGTCGTCCTTCTTAAGTGCACCCCAGCCTGTCCTCAGGGGTATTCCATCTGCACAGCATCTTTCCAGCTCCTGGAGGCATGTTGTCTTGCAGATGGGACAGCTAGAGATGAGCGAGGGCTGCATCCAGATGTACTTCAAGGTGAAGGGGCCAGTCACCCAGTTTCTGGGCCGGGCGCACCTGTGCAGGGCCCAGCTGTGTGCCCCGAAGTCCTCGGACAACCTGGTGAGCACATGGAAGCCCCTACTTCTCAGCTTTCAGCCTCTGCCGCCTCCACAGGGTGACTAGCCCAGTCTTAAACTAGTCATAGTTCAGCAAATGGAGTTAAGTAGCCAAATTCGTTTTCACCGTGCTGTGAAATCATACCATTTCCTGCTTGTGCTTCTTCCTCAGGGCACGCACTGCTTGTCAGGTGCATGACGTGTGCATTATGACACTTTGACTCTGGCGTAACCTTCAGTTGCCCTATACACCTGCAGTGATCCCCAAGCTGAGTAAAGGGAACCTAGGGGCACATGGGCACCCTAAAACACAGGCAGCTGTGTTTTCTGATGAAGCCCAGTCCTGCACCCCAAGTGTGCATCAACCCATATTCCAGCCTGGTCTCAGTGAGAGAGTCTGTGGAAGTGACCACAAGCAGCAGTGGGTGCCTCGGTGGCAGATTCAATTTAATTACACATTCTTCATGTTGTTTTAGGAAGAGTTTGAACACTGTGTGACTCAGTACATGAAGGCTATAAACTTTGCAAAAGGAGAACGCAGGTAGGCGTCCTGAGCTGTGTATTCCTAAATGACTATATAAAAGGCCAGAATTTACTGAGTGGTCCAATCTATTTGGCCAATCAGGGTTTTCCCTTTGTTTTCATTTTGTGTTTTTAATTAGCTTATGGCCATAAGCTCATCTCGTTAGCGTGGAAAAGCAGACCATACATACAAAGTTTCCACAGCACTACATCTTCTTGAGAGTTTTCGCAATTGTCAGAATCTGTTTTTTCTGTGCACCTGCCTTCTGACCTGCACCCTGGGATCCTACTCCCAGTCTTGAAGGGTCCACATCTCCAGTGTGAGGGGACCATGCTCTTGGCTTCCTCAGGTGGCTGCCCACCACTCTGGAGGGCTGTCCGAGCCAACCCGCCTGCATCTGTACAAGTGAGTCACTGAAACTCCAACTCAGTTTTTCTACTCAGTTAACGCTGAGTATAACAAATATGATTACTGACATGATTAGGCTTGAACACAAACTGATGTTAGTGCAGCAGGTATGATGGGAAGCAGCATTTGAAGCTGCTTTCGCTATAAATCCCAGGTTCATTCCCTCATTCCTCCAGTGTCCACTGCTCGTCTGTTGATGGTCCTTTCTGGCCATATCTTGTGTAGGTGCTTGGGATTCAGGGCCCAGATCCACAGAGCCTCCCTCCATGGAAACAGAGGAATGAGGGGACCTGACCCTGAAACAAAGATCCTAAGAACAAGGGGTGTCTCCAAAAGGAACCATGTCCCACATGATGAATCCGGGAGTCTGAGTAACCTGGGGAAGAACCCAGCTGGTGCTCTACTGCAGGAGTTTTAGGGATCACCCACCAGGAGATGGTGGGCGATCAGGATCTTGAGAAAGTTGGCAGAGACACCGTTAGGAAGTGGTATGGGTGTCACTTGGGAGCAACCGGCTGGTGTTGGGGGAGGAGGAGACAACCAAGTAGTCCCATTGGATGGGACAGGAGTCAATCAAAGGAAACTTAGGAAGAGGATGACCAGGGAGAGGATAAGTTGTTTTCCAACATGACAAAGATTCCAGGGAGACAGCAGAGAAAGGGCTCATCTCAGCCAGAGGAATGTGCTTGTGGCACCTGCCCTTCCCTCTTTCCCTTGGAGGAGCTGTGACCCAGAGAAGAATCCTCCAAGGCCAGACTTATATGACTGCTGGCCACCCTAATGTCCTTCCTCTTGTGTGCGTCTTGAGTAGCACTGGACTGTGTGGTAGTCAGCAGTAAGATGTCATCCTGCACCCGAGGCCCCAGAGGACAGAGCTGTCCACTGCAGAGAACAGCCCTAGAGTAAGAAAGCTCAGTGGCTCCCCTCCTTAAATCTTCTAGGTGGTGCTCGGCAAGGGAAGCCCAGATGTTTGAGAAACAACTTTTCTCACTTCTCCGGTCCCCTGACTTCACAGTTTATAGTCCCCAAATGTTCCTTCGCACTCTGCCTGAGCCTCTTTCCTTTCACTTAGCTCCTGGCAGACTCCTGGTCACCTTTTAGGCCACAGCAAGATCTCACCTCCTCCAGGAAACCTTCCATACCCCTCCCTCTCTTCCTTACTGATATATTTTTGTGGGGTGCCGATCCACTTGTGGAATAGCGAAATGAAAGGATCCTGGCCTGAGCTCAGGAGTTATGGCCATGTCATCACTGTGGACTGGACTGGAGTTCCATCTGGTGTGAGCAGGGCCATCCAGGAATGTCTATGCATCCTGGTGCACATGCAGACTGGGAGAAAGCACCACAGACAGGGCTGCCACCCTCTGCAAAAGACAGTGAAGCCATTTCAGTGGACTGGGAAACAGGGGGCCCTGACCTTGTGGCTTCCCTACTGACTTCCTCTCCCCGGTCGCAGGTACTACTTCCTGGTGTACAATGCCTCAGTACTGTACTGGCACATGGTGAGGCCATTTCTCAAGCCTGGGTATCACCACCTTGTGATCCCCAGCCTCTCCCAAATCGTCAGTGTGTTAAATCAGACCGAGGAAGAAGACAAGGAATGGCAGGCTGAGCTGATGCTGTGAGTGCTGTGCCCACTCTTGGGTGCTGGGCAGGGTGCTAACGTGTCTCTCCCTTCTGGGTTATGATTTTGTGTTGCCAGGCTGTGTATCACTTACTTATCTTCCCTAGTTGGGACTGAGTTTGTATTTTGCTGGAAGGTTGTTTTCAGAATCTATGGGTGGTTCTTACCAACGACATTTCTATTGATGACAGAGAAATATATTAAGATGCAAAGAACCCGTCACTAGTTCTGGTTCATGGTTCTGAAATCTTAATGTAGTAAACTCTTAATGAGGTAGATGTTTTGGCAGATAGTTAAACCAGTAAGCACCACATCCAGGTATTCAGGTAGCCTTGCACTACTCTGTGGGTCAGTGCAGGGTGGGTCCGTCATCAAAGAACTGGTCATTGTACCTCCTGGGCTGAAAGGGGACCTGCCAGAGGTTTTGTGTCCTGGGCCACTCTGTGAGGACAGTGGCTGGGTAGATGCTGACTGTGAGGATCCCCATTGTGCCACTGCCAAAGACTTACCCCCAAGTCCAAATCCAGGCCTGCATATTTTGGTGCCTGCTTGTGGGTATTTGGGGAGTCTCAAAAGAAAGTAAACATAGATGTGATCTTTCTTTAAGATGTCACTTTCAAATGTCATAGGTAATTAAAATGCCAAGAATTCCTGTTCTGTTGTCTATGGTAACGTGTTTCTTGGCTCCCACTGGCCCTTCTTGGTGAGCCATGGGCCCTGGCTATGGTTTGGGGAGTTTCCAGGGACTTTTTTTAAAGTTTGTGAAACATAAAAGTCACCAAAGTACAATGTCTTGGGATTTGGAACAGAAAACAATTTCAACAAGGTTTAGTATCCACCATTTTTTATATCATCCAGGGAACTTCTTGAGTGTTATCTTCAGGCTGGAAAAAAGGAAGAAGCTGCCAAGTTTTGCTCCACTGCAGCACCATTTATCAAAGCTCACGTGCCCCAAAAGTATCGACAGATATTCTCCGTTATGGTAAACAGACATCATTAAAGTCACGCATATGGGGCCAAGGATGTAACCTGGTGCAGTGCCTGCCCGGCAGGCACAAGGCCTTGAGTTTGATTCTCAGCACAAAAACAGCAAACAAACAAACAAAAAATACATACAGGAAGTAATTTTTTTTAAAAGTCACTGTTCAGAAAACTAAGCATGAGACCACGAACAAGCCCATTAATTGAGAGAAATAAAAATCACACATATACAAGAGCAAAATGAAAAGAAACAGTGAAAAGAACTAGTGACTTATGCTATGTGAAAGTGTGCACAGATTCATTTTTGAAAACAAGACTTTTGCTTTCATTGTTATTGTCTGAATATTTCTTTTAAACAATAACAATGTCTCCTCCACGGGGCTGTCCTCTGCATTGGATTTTCAAAGAAATTAACAGGAAAGTTATAAAGAGACAAGTAATTACTATGTACTATGTCCTGAAAGTGTTCATCAGTTATTAATTTTTATGTATAAAAATCAGGTTAAGTTACATCAAAAAACTAAATGTAAATATTAATGAGAAGGTACATTTTAATTAAAATATTGATTTTAGAAGGAGAATTAAATGATATTATCTTGATAAATCTGAATCTTTACAGAACTACTTCTCTGAATGCAAATTAATGTTCTGTCCCATTTTATGGCAGGTTCGTCATGAATTAATGGATGAACATCAGTTGAAGGAAGAAAAGAAAAATTCCATTAGCCTGGCGGTCTCTTTCCACATTAACACACTAAAAGCGTGAGTAGTTTTGAGAGAAAGCAAAGGTTGAGTTTTCTGAGGAGTGAGCTCAGGAAACCTGGCCCCTTCGCGGGGGTGCCCTGTGTCAGTGGGCAGCGTTTGGAAGCTGGCTGAGGTGGCCTGGAAGAGCAGGAACCCCTACTCTTGCCCTAGCTTCCCTCATTACTGAGCACAGGCCTGTGAGGACACCAGCAGCAACAGGAAACTTGTGCAAGTGAATAAAGTCCCACACCTGAGTCAGCTGTTCCTCACAAGCCACGGCAGATGAGGCAGAGACTGACCATGTGGGCTGACAAGACAAGAGCAGGGCTCTGGTGAAATTTGGTGGGGTTGAGCAGAGGGGAAGAGAGAGAGGAAATGTACCCAGGGAGAAGGAGGAGTCTTCTCAGGTGTTTTCCTTAAGGGGCCTGGTTTGTAACTATAGAGTGAGCTTGTGTGCACGGGGTAAGGGCATGTGAAGAGGTCATGTGTTTGGTGCCCAGGAGGTTCCGGGATCCCAGGGAGTTTGGTGAGGAGTGAGTTGGTGAGCTCAGGGGAGCACTTCTGAGAGGTAGGCGCTGGGACAGTAAGAGAAGCCAACTGTTCCCAAGCAGGGCCCGGTACAGTGCTGACCTTGGCAGCCAGGCCTGCGCTTATTTCCTGGGGTGCATCCTTCAGTGATTAGGAAGAAGGAGCAACCCCTGGGAGGGAGGAGGGAGGAGGAGGGAAGAGAACTGGAAAAGATCAGAAGACAGGAAGAGAGATGCTTCAGAGCCCTGCTCAGTGCAACACACAGGTTCATAGACTTGCACGGAGTTTCCCCTAGAATAATTTTAATAGGTCGCACAGGCCCATAATCCCAGAACTCGGGAGGCTGAGGCAGGAGGATTGTCGTGAGTTTAAGGCCAGCCTGGACTACATAGTGAGACCTTGTCTCAAAATAAAAACAAAACAAAATAAATAACTTTAATAAATTTGAAAGTATTTTTTTGTCATTTAATATTTTAATTGATTCTAGAAAATTGGACAAAAATGTTTTACCAGAAAACACCAACCAAATTCTGGAGAATACTTATAAACGTTTAGATCATTTTAACCACCAGCGCTTTCCTTCGATCAGAGAAGAAAAGTAAGTGTGTTCCCACTTTTTCATCTACATGATCTGTGTGCAGAATTCATTAAGTATTGAAAAATGTGAAAAGAATAAGCCTAGCAAAAGCCAGCCGGGTGAATATTTAGTGTATTTCCTTCTGGTCTTTTTGGTATTGAGGTTTGTCGTGTTTGGGACCCTCGGGATATCTAACTTCATATCCTGCTTTGAAAAATCAAATTTAACCTCCGAGCATAAGCATTTTCAAGTTATTATTGTATTCTACACATTTCTGAATAGCTACCCAGCTTATCACATGGGAGAAGGCATTTTTTTTAACACCTCACAGGCATTCATTTCAGTTGTGGGCTTCCTGGAATCTTCTGAACACTGGTCAGAGCTTGAAAATCCTGGGCTCTTCCAGAGTAGGATCTGAGCCGGAGGCAGAGCGAAGGGTCTGGAGCATAGTTATCCTAATGTGTCTTTACAGAGGGAAAGGGCGCTTGTTCCACCCCAGGGTCTGTTTTGTTACATCCTCACTAGCACTGTATTAATTTAAGAGAAGGGGTTCTTGTTAATATGGGAGGCTGGAATTGTTTTACTGTTTTGAGTTTAATTTGCGTGTCTCATCACCAGTGATGTTTAATGCTCTGCTGTGTTTGGGAGCACCTCTTTGGAGAATTTATCTTTTGAATTCTCAGTGATTATCCCATTCACCTGTGTCTGCTCCTACTATCAGAAACATTGTGACCCTTGCTTGCTATAATTATTTTGGATATTTTTCACTTTATCATTGGATCATTCATTTGGGAGTGTAATATTTTGAACTGTACTCTCCAGAAAGATACAGTATGCCCAAGACTTAGTCCTCAACTCCTGCCAGTAGGATCTTATTTGAGAGCAAGTGTTGACAGATTTAAGTTAGGATAAGGGCATACTGAATTAGGGTGAGCCCTCCTTCCCATGACTGGCAGTCTTTTAACAAGAGGAAAATTTCAACATAGAAACACACAGAGGAAAGGCTATCTAACAATAGAGGCAAGATTCAATATCCCGGGCTGCTGGCAGTCACCAAAAACTGAAGACACAAGAAGGATCCTCCAATGGAGCCCTTGGACAGAGTGTAGCTCAGGGACACCTTGACTTGAGGTCTGGCCTTCAGAACCATCAGACAATGTATTAAGGTATCCAGTGTGCAGCAATTTGTTAGGACAGCCCAGGAAACTAATACACAGAGGGTATTAGTTATCTGTGACTGTGACAAATGACACAAACTCTGCAGCTTAAAGCATGTATTGTGTTTATTGCTGGCAATGTCTGTGAGGCAGGAATCCTGTCTAGCTGCAAGCAAAGTCTTACTGCCTCAGATCTCTTCTGGCAGCTAGACTGAAGCAGGAGCAATTCCCAGCTCATATGGCTGCTGGCAGTATTCATTTTCTATGGACGAAGGCCCACATGACATCAGCCTATGACAGCGGCCAGACCAGAGCCAGCAAAAAAGAGCGCCAGCTAGCACACAGATGTGCAGGCAGTGGAGGCAGTGGCCTCTGCTGCACGTCGAGTTCTATTACTAGATGTAAGTTCCTCAGAGGAAGGGCACAAAGGAGGCAGGACCCTGGGCCCCAGGGATGCTACAGCTGGAATGGGCAGGGCGTAAAGCAGAAGGACAAAATACTCTTTGGACTGGGCTCTTTTGGTTTTTAGGTCGTCTACCACGTCAGTCACAGCTGACCCTTCGGGGGGTTTGTGTGAACAAAGTGTGCTTGTATACAAACATGTGTGTGTGTGTGTGTGTGTGTGTGTGTGTGTGTGTGTGTGTGTGCATCTTCCTGGAAGGAAGTTCACGTCAGCCATCTAATTCTTCAGTTTTTCTGCCTGAAGTTAGATCGAACTGGGCCAAGGTTCCAGCATCCTCTTCTGTGTCTGCATACTTCCGGGCAGGGGTCTCACGATGGTGCAAGCAACCCCTTTCTGGAAGTCCACTCGTTAGCCCCTTAGAACAATAATGAGAAAGTTCAAGAGATGGGCGCGCTGCGCAACACAGGCACATAAGGAAGCTCGCTTCTGCCCCCTTGTGGTCCCTCTCAGCCTGCCAGGTGAAAAGTCGCTCCCTTATTTTCTGCTGACACTGAACCTTTTCTTGCATATTTACAGGCATTTTTCCTTTTGTTGAGTTTCTGTTCAGTTTTTTTAACCTGAAATTTTCAAATTAGGGTATAAACCTAGGTACAGTTCACTCACAAGTTCTCTTTATGTTAAGAGTTGAGTCCTTTGCCTCCACTAAATTACAAATTGTCCCAGTTTACCATTTTGTAATATTTTTTGATTTACAGAAATACAAAAATTATTTAATACAAAATAATTTGGGCTAACATTTACTCCCACCACTCCTGAGCTAAATCCTGACAGTCTCGTGCATTATCTTCCCAAGAGAGACACACTGGCAGCCCTCACTTCTGTCAGCCTTTTGCCTGGTGGATTCTTCCTCCATTCATGAGGCTGTGGAAGTCCTCCCCATCCTGGCAGTGATGAGAAAAGGGCTCTGCCCCTTCCCGCGCTGCCCGTGGCTCTGCCGCTGTATGAACTTCTAGCTTTAGTGCTTCGCATTTACAAGGATATCCAGGTCAGCTCAGATTTGCATTTTACTATGTGCCTTGCATTCCATTCCTGCTCTTGGGGAGAAACCGTGCTTCTCCTTCTTGCTTGCTAGAAGGCCACCCTGCCCATTGCTGAGCTGCCCCTTGGTAATGTCAGGTCCTTCCCATATCCCAAAGAGCCTTGGAGCCTTCCAAACACTATGTGGGCCCTGCTAACATTTCACTTGCGACACTGTGTCTGGAATTCTGAGTGGAGGAAAAATTTTATGTTTAAAACCATAATGGTCTGAAAACCAAGGATTCGCCCCTTCACAGATTCTTTTTTCTTGACCTGTTTGACACCCCATGCTTAAGTACAGGCAGGACACAGAGATCAGAGGTCAGAGGGCCAGGCTTTTGGAGACCCAGAGCCTAAGCAAGTTTGCAGGGAGTGCTTAGGAGAAGGAGCCCTGCCCCCTATCCCCTCCTTCACAAAGTGGGCTCCTGCCCAGAAAAGCCCAAGGCTGGAAAAAAAGATGGCAAATCCATACTTGTGGTTCTTTACGGGCCAGGTGTTGTCTTTCTATGTGAGTCAGGGACACCGTGTAGGAAAGGCAGAAAAGATGTGACTTCCCACCCCAGGGGACATTTGGCTGCATTTGGAGACCCTTTATGGAGATCACTGCTGGGACTGTTGCTGGTATCCAGTGGACAGCAACCTGGGATATGGCTGAGTCTCTGCAATGCTCAGAGGGCATTTCTCCACAGGATAGATTGATTTGGACCCAAAGGCCAAGTGCAAAGGCGAGGAAGCCCTGGCCTGTCAGTGTGCAGAACCACTCTCTTCTTTCTACAGGTTAATGAGAAGTCTTAAGATGGGGTAATTTCATCCACAATCTTCATTCTTTTTTGAAGTCATTTCAGCCATCCTAGATCTCCAGATTCTGATTAGATGTAACTGCAGCCTGTAGATGTCGCAAAGACCCTGACTGGTGATTGTGAATGCTGCTGATGACACTCCCCATATGCCTGTCACACAAGGAAAAAGCCTGGCCCTGCATCAGGAAAACAAGTTTCTTCCTGTGTGGCCTTTTCCTTCCCTGAGCCTGGAAATGTGGCTAGTGAGTGTCTCACCACGTGGCTGTGCAGGGTGTCATGTGTGACAGTGCATCAGTGCCTGTGCCGCCCCTGGGCTCTGTGCATGACCTGACAGGGCCCATCACAGGAGCCTTTTTAGTCTATTATTTAATTTTATTTATTATTTTATTTCTTAATTGAGCAGAATGTCGTTGCCTGTTTCCTCTGTTGTGCAAGGGAATCTTTTCTGTTCCCCGGTTGAACCAGTGTCCCTTTTCTTTCTTTTCAGAGTCCTCTTGCTTTTTGAATTAGCTCACCTTTCTCTGAACTTGAAACATGAAGACATAGCCTCTCACTGCCTGTCGGACCTGAAGAAAATTGCAACAAATGTAAGTGTCCTAATGACCCTTGTTTACCAAAGAGGCAAGGAAGCAGCTCACAAAAGTATGGCCAGAAGGGCTGCAAATGTGTCCTCATCTTCACAGGCATCTTGTAGCTGTGGTGATGTGGACTTTACTGTTGTGCATGTGTGCCTTTCTCCTCACGCTTGTCACTGCCTCAGATCCCTTGTACCACCAGTGGTTCATCTAGGGTACATTTGAAGGCTGCATACTATTCCACAGCAGTCATGCAACCCTCCACATGACATTTAAACTATATACTTTTTGCTTATTTCATACAAGGCTTCAATGAACATTTTTGATCTAAAACTCTTTTATTTGCTTTTTAAGATTTTCCCCTAAAGTAGTTGCAAAAACATGGAATACTAGGGAATTCACATGGATAAGATTTTTTTTTAACATATACACATGACAACATTGCCCTCCAGGGACAGTTTAAGGGCGTGTACCTAAAGCACTGAATCTAGGTGCCTCAGGCTGGTTGGCTTTGTAACTGAGGGGAAGGCGGGGTGAGCTGTGGAAGGCTCTGCCATGGAGCAGAGGGTTATTAAGCCACCTGTGTGTTGCTCCATACCACAGGGAAAGTTAGACAGTGAGACCACACACTGGAGCATCGCCTCCTCCTGTCCTCACTAAGCACCTACTGTGTTTACCCGAGCTACCTGTGATTATCAACACCAATTGACACAAATAATGCTGTAAGACTTGGCACAGACAAGAAGCAGTTTATTTAGCAAAAGGGAAATAGATCATAGTCATAATTGTGGTGATCTAGAAACTATTTTTAAATAAACTTTATTTGGATCTTAATAATCATGTAACCCTTGGATAGGACTGTCCACTGTGGGGTGGAGGTCCAGTTGAGGTTGGGATGTGGCCAGACAGCACTGTGCATGCTGGGAGGTACTACTGAGTTCTGTGGCTGCCTGGTGCCTCCCTTCTGGGTTTCTGTGACACAGGAGCCCACGCATAGCACTGTTAGCCTAACACCTGGGCCTGGCCCATTTCCAGCCCTCACAAACCCCAGGAGTCCTCCTTTTCTCCATGAGCCCTGAGTTGTGTCTCTATAAAATGGCAACCATGTCAGGGGCTGAGGGTTTAGCTCAGCGGCATAAGCGCCTGCCTTGCAAGTGTGCGGTCGTGAGTTCGATCCCTGGTACCGATAAAAAGGAACAAGACCAAAAAAAAAAAAAAAAAAAAAAAATGGCGGGCTGGAGATTTAGCTCAGCGGCATAAGCACCTGCCTTGCAAGCAGGCAGTCGTGAGTTTGATCCCTGGTACTGATAAAAAAAAAAAAAAAAATGGCAACCATGTCAAGGCCTGTCTCCTGGGACGGGAACCCTGCTTTCGACATGGAGAGGGGAGACACATGGGCATGAGTGGCTGCTGACAGGGTGCTGCTGTGAGGGAGGCTCATGACACTGCATAGCTTTCAACACCCTGTGCCTGTGCCTGTGCCTGTGCCTGTGCCTGTGCCTGTGCCAAGTGGGCCCAACTGCCTCAGTTCCGGGCCTCTGTCCTTTGCTTTTTGCCCACAGCCCCTGCCCATCCCACAGGCCTCCCCTCAACCACCTACTAAAATCAGCCTGCTCTGGATCTCCATGCAGTGCTGGGCCCTATGGCTGGAGAGTCCAAGAGCCAGGGCACTCCTATGGGTTAGTATAGAAAAACACCCCCAGAAAGAGGAGCCACTGTACCAGGGAAGAAGCCGCAATTGAATTCTTAACTTCTGACGTTTTAAAGCCCTCTTTACAGAAACAGACCAAAAATAAAGCAAAAGCAAACACATACTGCTGTTACAGCTTGTGAGGTTAGATTTTTATCTAGGGTTCTTTAAAACATCTACATCAATAAAAGAATTAGAGATATAAGTTTAGAAGGAGAAACAAAGTTATTTTATTGGAAATTGAAAAGAAATAGGAAACAAAATCACTTTATTGGAAAAGGGAGAGAAATATGGAGATAAGTAGCTGCCTTCTCAGAGTAAGGTAGGAAATTTTGAGCCAGAACTTGAGAGTCTTTGTCCTCTGCCCCTTTTATCACATGACAAGGAAGAGACTGGTCCCCTTGAGAGCTATTATAGCTTGATTGGCTATTCTGGGCTCTAAGATCCCTAATCTGGCCACTGCCCACCTGTGTATTCTAGGGTAAACTCTGGTCTTTTCATGTTGTTCAGATGCTTATCTTATGAGATTTATAATAGAGCCCCACATTCAAAGACGAGTTAGCAAAAATAGATACTGTAGCAGGAGATGCTGCCCTCTCCAGCGAGCATATCTCACTTTGTTAGCTGCCCAGGTAATAGTTCTGGTTACAGTTCCTGTACCTTCAGCTCCTAGAAACTACTGGCCACTGTGATACATAGCTGGTCACTATGATGCACATTTTAAGAACCAGTCAAAGATAGCTAAATACTCTGCCTCTGTACGTCCCCTTTCAAATCCATAAAACCTTCCCTCCCTAGGCCTTCAGGGCCTGATATTTGAGGAATAATCCTAATCAGTGCCCATCCACATAAAATAAATCTGCCTCCAAATCCAAGGTGCCCTTTCAGTGTTTCTGCTTGCCATTCTAATGTACATACATATTAGTGTAATAATATGGCAAGAGAATAATAGAATATATGTACCTATATAAGTGTGCAAGTGTCTAGGTATCAGTGCACATTTTATATACTGAATTTTTTTATAATCTAGCTCCCCCTCTACTTTAGTTTCTTTTTGTGCTTAATTGGAGGTGGGAGGAGGAGGACGTTGAGCCTTAGCATGAGGAAAGCCAGGCCAGGCGGCCTTATCGCTCTGTTTTTCTCTCTCTAGCAGGGTTTAACCTTTTATTTGTCAGAAACCTCAGTGAGGCCCCTTAACTTCCCTACACCTCTCCGTGATTGTCCAGGTTCCGGTGAATCTTTACTCAAATGGGGAAGTTGTGCACGAGTGGTACAAATGTAATGAGACAATGTATGGAGTCCTACCAGAGGGCGTAAAGGGGCCACATTGATGCTCAGGCCTGAAGCAACTAAAAGCAAATGAAATGTGTGTAACTGTGATTGTTTTAAGGCACTGAACTGTAGATGGTGAGGGAAAGTAAAATTGGAGAGGTTAAAAACAAATAGGGGAACTCCTGTGACGGCTGACTGCCTGGAGCCTGTGGGCTACAAGGAGTAAGGAGACCCCAAGTGGGAGGTGATGGTCTGTCTGCTGACCAGGGACAAGGCAGCTGCAAGCCCCAAAAACAGAGGTCTAGGGAGGAGTGAGCCACACAAGATTCAAGCTCTGGGGGTCTACGAACAGCCTTGTGAGCGGGCTGCACCTGCCTGACAAGTTCCAGGTCATGAGCTCAATTCCTGGTACCAAAAAAAAAAATCTCTTTCTGCCTGAAAATGGCCTTGTGTCTTCAGGAAAGGGCTGACCACATGCCTGTGAGGAAACTACCTAAGATAGGAAAGTAACCACTATTTGGTGAAATGAGACAAAGGAATACTCTGCGGAATCACTCAGTGCAAGAATCCTTTCACCTACTTCAGGAAAAACCTCAATATTTTGGAGCCTCAGGTAGAAGGGCCTGGCATCCAATAAAAACCATCACACATGTAAAAAGGTAGAAAAATACAGTCCCTCGTGAGAAGAAAAGCCAGGCAATCAAGACCAACCAAGAAATGACACAGGTTACAAGATCAGTTGACATTAGCAGATATTAGAGCAATTATTGTAATTGTATCTGATATGTTCAAGAAGGTAGAAAAAAGATGGAAAATTTATGTTAAGCAGAAACACAGATGATACATGAAATACCAAAATGAACTCTAAAGATGAAAACTACATTGTCCTAGATGGAAATAACTAGATAGACTTAAAACAGATTAGACATTTTAGCAGAAAGAGGAGCAGCCAGAAGGTAGAGCAGTGGGAATGCCTCAAAATGAAACAGAAGAAACACTGAGACTGTTCGGAGCTTCAGTGAGCCAGAGGCAACTTCCGGCAGGGTAATAAACATGCAGCGGAATCCCTGAAGGAGAGTGAGAAAGAGGAAACGGGAAAAATACGGAAGACATAATGGCCAAAAATGCTACGCTTGATAACTGTTGAAAAAGTGGGGAGAAAAGATACCTTGTACTGGGAACTAAAGAATGGCAGCAGGTTTCTTGCTGCGAACAATAAAACCAAAAGGCAAAATTCTTTATATCACAAGAATAAAAGCCAGTCACCCTAAATTCTACACCCAGAGAAATCTTTCAAAACCAAAAGGAAAAGTGAGTCTGCCTCTGTATTTCCCTTTTCAAGTCCCTAAAACCTTCCCGCCCCAGCCCTTCAGGGCCTGATAGTTCGGGAATGATCCTAATCAGTGCTCGCTACATAAGAAATCTTTCCACATACAGAAACTGAAAGAGTTTGATCTCCACTTCCAGAGACTGTAGAAGAAATTATTCAGGCAAGAGGAAGATGTATCTACAGAAATCCGATCTACACAGTGCAGTGCAGATCAGCGAAAGACCTTTACAAAGACAGTGAGGCTGTTCTGTGGGGTTTTGGATGGATTGAGGAAGGTGTATGACACGAGTGGCAGAATGGCAGGAGGGGAGAGATGACTGTGTGCAGGTGAAAAGTTTTCACATGCTGAAGAGTTGCACTTAGCTGTGCATGGAACAGGGCCCCTTCTCTGCAGACTCAGGTAGACAGACAGTGTGCACTCTGGGCCCTGAAGCAGGCATTGGAGTAGCACTGGACATGTAGCTAATAAAGTAACAAAGAAGACATTGTGGAACCAAAAAAGATCATCAGTTAATTCAAAATAAGACCAAAGATAAGACGAACAATAAATAAAAGATGGGACAAATAGAAAATAAATGTTGTGCTGTCAGTAGGGTATAGTTGATTAAATCCAATCATGTTATAACCACATTAATTGTTAATGTTTAGCTATTCCAGTAAAAAGGCAAATATTGTCATGTTAGGGAAGAGCAGATGCCTATAAGAAACCCACTTTCAGTGTGAGATACAGTGAAAGCTAAAGGATGGGGAGGAATACTGTGCTCACACCACCACATGTACCCGTGCTTATGTTAATATACACACACCGTGCTCATACTAATACATGTACTCCATGTTCGTGCTAATACATGGCTGCCTGCTCACACAAACACACACGTGCATTGCTCATGCTGACACACACATCCCACAGTGACACTAATGCACATGTGCAGTCTCACACTAACACGCAACACTGCAACACTAAGGGAAAACAAGCTGGAGTGGCGATGTTCACACTACCCAGAATGTTTGATTTTATACAAAAGTGGTAGTGATACAGAGCATCACCTTATATGGTAAAACATATCAGAACAGGGAACAATCCTCAAAGTTTGTATACATACAATATTTTAAAATAAATGAAACAAAAATTGATAGAACTGTGGGGACAAATAGACAAACCCCACAGTTAACACCAGTGACTTGCACATTCTGCTCTGACCAATAAAATAACTAGACAGAGAATCAGCAAAGATATAAAAGATTTAGTCAACTTGACCTGTGACCGACCCAAAACAGAGCACTGTACACTCAAATACACAGAGTAAGATAGCTTATATTCTAGACTGAAAATGCATAAATTGAAACGTATTCTAATCAAATTATTCACTGACCACAATGGAATTAAATTTGAAATCAACAGCAGACCCGAAAAATTCTAAATATTTGGAAACTAACCTACACATTTCTAAATAGTCCACAAGTCAAAAAAAAAAAAAAAGCTGCAAAATGAAAATTAGGTGGTATTTTGAGCTAAGTGAAAATTAAAACACACATCAAAAGTCTGGGGATGCTGCTGAGGAGTATTTACAAGAATCTATGTGCTCAGCTCCTATCTTAGGAAACTGAAAGAAAATAAAATGAATGAAATAAAAAGAAAGCAGATGAGTATCAAAACTGAAAGGCTAGAAACAGATACAGTAAAAATGGTGGTGCCAAAAGATTTACTGAGAAAACAGAATTAGCAAACCCCTTCCCGGACTGATCAGGGATAAAAAAACATGAGTTATTAGGAACTAGAGATAGGACATCACTACAGATTCTAGAACTATTAAGAAGATAAAAAGAGGATATTGTGAACAACTTTATCTCAATAAATTTGAAGATATATATGGCCAAAAAAATAGAAAAGCTCACACACAGAAAGACACTGAACATAATTAATTGTGTGGTTCACCACACAACTATCAAAAGGACTAAAATTGAAAGACTGACCATACCAAGTGCTGGAGAGGATGTAGAGATGATAGAGGAGAAATAATACAACTCTTGACCTGCTAAATGTCAGATATACTGAGTTCATGTTCCCAAAAATTGAAAAATAAATTCTTTTTATGTGTTTTTTTTAAAAAAGAGAATAAGACAGAATAAAACCAATCAAAACAAACCAGTGTAAGTGATATAGCATTTCAAAACATTACAAAATCAACAATAGTTGCCATAATGCCTTTTTTGTCTTCAAAATAGCTACAGATAACTTCTGAAGTAATAAAAATGAAACAAAACCCAATAGAATAGAAACAATAATAACAAAACAATGAATACAATAAAGGACTTCAAAACAAGCCAATAGCAAATCTAAAATGGCTACCATAATATATCTTGCCATCTTTGAAATAACTGTTCATGCCATCGGATTTAACATAAAACAAAAAGAATAAAACCCAACCCAACAAAACAATGGAAATGATATAGGACTTCCAAACAAGACCATAAGGAATCAATAATGGCTACCACCCTCAGGAGATATCCCTAGGTGTCACACTGTGTACCGCTATCCTCTGAACCCATGATTAGACCACTGGCCCTAGACCTGCAATGTTAAGACAACACCAAAGTCTTTATATGCTTTAATTTAGTGATATGGACAACTGTTTCTGGGACGATAATGTGTAGCCTGTTAACTGGTGATTAAGTACTTTATATATTTTTTTTCTAGAAATACTGTACTATTTGTACCCTTTTACTGCATTGTGTTTTTTTATGTCTTTTTTTTTCTTCTCTCTTTAAATTAAAAAAAAAAGAAAGAAAGAAAAAAGAAAACACCAAAGCACCACAGGCAGCCAATTGCATGTCACCTCCACAGCTATCACCACAGCCTGTATTTCTCTGGATCAGCCAGTCACTTATAGGAGTGAGAGGGAGGGGCACTTCTTGTTTGTCAGCCCACATGCCAGAAGGGACAGGAGTCTGGCTGTCTCTAGACTGGTGGCAGCCTGCACATGGCTCTGATTCCCAGATGGGGCATGTTTCCTGGTGTGGCCTTGTTCTCTCTCCTCCCAGTCCATAAAACGGCTTTACTCATGAGGAGAGGCTTGGATTTGGCTGTCCCCAGTCCCGTGGTGGCTCTCACATGGCACTGGTTCCCAGGCGGGGCTTGCTTCTTGGTGTCTGAGGAATAAATTCTGAGGAACAATAGAGCTTAAGAGTAGGAAAACTTTACTTAAAAAGATAGATCCTGAGAGACAGGAAAGGACCAAAATGTGGGTTGTCAAGGAGCCGGCTGTTTTTCTTTCTTTCTTTCTTTCTTTCTTTCTTTTGAGACAGGTTTTCTTTATGTAGTTCAGGCGGCTTTGAACTCACTTTGAAGCCCATGCTGGCCTGGAATATGCAGCAGGCCTCCTGCTTCAGCCTCCAGAGTGCTGGGATTACAGGTATACACCACCATGCCCAGCAGGAGCCCAGTTTTTAAAGGAAGTTTTATAGTGCAAAATCATAAAGTCGATACTACATGGTTCAAAATTATGATTAACCAATAAGATCGTAAGTATAGCCATTTAGGTAATATTGATCTAACAGGGAAGCAGGTTTTACAGCAAGTGTACGTGAAAAAAAACAAAGACTTTTTTTTAGGAAGAGATGGATCAGGAAGTCTTGGATGTCACACACTGCTGTGACTGATGTCTATTTAGATTTTATTGAACCAGGTGACGCCCTAATATCTTATCCACTAGGGAGGTGCATGGGTCTGGTCATTCTGTCTTTACCTGGAGGCCTGGCGCCTAACAGATGTGCCTTTGGCCACAGTGGTAATGTGTTCTTATCCTCTGCACTTATCCTCTGTTCTTATCCTCCAGGGCCCAGCCCTGTCTGACTGCCTGTAGTGTTTCTACCTAACTTAGCTAACTTAGCTTTCTATGATAAGACACACTTGTGCCTTCACACCATGAGGGTGTAAAATGCTGCAGCCATTTTGAAAAACAGTTTAGCAGTTATGTAAAAAGTTGAGTGTACACTTGCATGAGACCCAGGCATTCTGCCCTCCAAAACAAAGAGTTGCCTTTATCCAGGGCAAAGGAAAGTCTGTGTTCATGCAAACACAGTGTGTCCAGCTTCATGGGCAATGGCAGAAGATGGGTAACAACTCAGATGAGCTACCTGGTGGGACAGATTATCAGGTGGTAACATGCAGTGCAGCAGAATACCACTGAGCAGAAACAGACAAGAGCTAGTGACAGAAGCAGCAACGTGGATGAATCTCTAATGATGCAAGTGGGAAACATAGGCAGAGAAGAGGACTGTGTGACTCCAGTTCTACAAGACATCTTCACTCGGTAAGCAACAGCACAAGGTAGAGACCAGCCAAGACTGCTAGCCCTGAGGAAAGGCAGCATGGCGTGGGGTTTATTGTGCCTGGGAACAGGCAGACAGAGGTTGAAATGCCAGAGAAGATCTTAGTAAACCGCAGTGGTCATATTGTTCTGGATGTTTTGTGCCTCAGAGCACAATGTCCTTGAGGTGTCCAGTGTGAATGCTTGGGTGTCTTTAGATGTTCAGGTGCTGGCAAGATTCTGTGTTTCATCTTATTCTTTTAAGACATCCTGTGCTTGTGGAGGGCACCAATGTTAAACTGAGAACAGTGCCTCTGCTGGCAGACACTTGGGTACTGGGAGAGTCCTGTCAAATCCAGCCTTTCACATTCATTCTGTGTGACTGAGAGAGTAGATCAACAGCTGGAAGGGGCTGGGATGAGCAGGGGTGTGTGGGTATGGGGCACAGCAAACCAGCCAGAGGACTTGTTCATGTCTTCAGTGCCCTGTGAGGGTTTCCTGGGTACATTTCAATAGTCAAGTTTGTGCTTTAAGTATTTGCAGCTTACTGTATTTCAGTTAGACTTTAATGGAGCTATTTAAAAAGTGAATGACCAAACAAGTCAAAATTTGCTAATTATGGTGTGATAAGCCTGTCATTAACTATGCAACAGCCTCCTTGTGACCAGGACACAAAGATGCTTCCTGGTGTGCTTTAAAATGTATCATTGTTATTTCAAAACTACAGTGAAGGTACCTATTTAACTATGATAAAACTAAGAAGAATTTTTAAAACTTAAAAGAAAATACTCCCTCACCATGCTTCTACTCATAAACAACTACTGTTAGGGCTGGGGAACCAGATATGTCTCACACACACACACGCAAACACACGTGGGTGCACACACACATGCACGCACATCACACTGCCCCCTCAGCTGAGGTTGATTTGGGGACTCAAGGACAGGGCACCCCACACTTGATGACAAGTCCTAGAGTTCATGCTACTAATCATGTCAGCTCTGAGCAGGGTTTCTTCATGTGAACTCCAGGTAAACAGTAAATAAAGCAGATTTGCTAAATCTTACAGGAAGATGTTCATGTGAAGCTGGTTTAATTATTTAACACGTTGAAGCCTACTGAAATTAATGAGCATTCCCCTTTCTATCATAAAGATAAAAACAATACTTTCTAGCCTTCTTGGGTAAACGTATGTATCTTTGGAAACATTTAAAGTCTTCTTATATATCGTTCAACCTCCCACATTAATGAAGGTTTTAAGTGGTCTTTTAAGTTAATTGATCGTTTCATTAAAAATCTCTATATATGAAAAAACTTTACAGGATCCTGAGAAGCTGATTGAAATTGAATGTCTGGAGTGTGAATTAGAAGTTTCAAGACTTGAAAGTAAAGTTAAAGTCTACATCCGAGGAGCTGTTGAGGTAAACCTTAACTTGCAGACGTGACACACAGCCCACTCTTCTGCAGGTTTGGGGGGCCAGGGGGTGCACTGAGCTTGTGCTAGGTTTGAGGACACTGAGGCCATGGCCTAGGCTCCACTGCTGGATCCACTGAGCTCTGCCCTAACACCCAGGACAGCAGTGCAGGCCAGCTGTGACTCTGCCTTCTCACCATGGAGGCGCGAAGGCTTGGCTTCCTTTGTGGGAGCACTGGAACTTACACAGTACCCAAGGCACCAGAGCTATTCCTGCTCCTCCCTGGCAGGGCTCCACCTTAGCCTCACTGATACACTGTGGGCTGGGATATGACCCTCCATGGACCATGTCCTCCTGTGGCCTATTTGGAGCTGCACACCCATCCCCCAATTCTAGTAACACTTTCCCAGGGGCAACAGCCTCCTGTGTCCTCATGAGACCTGTTTGTCAGTAAGGGGCAAAGTCACCTCCCACCTCAGCTGCGGGGTTTGCTGGGCTAGGAGAGGAAGGTGCATTTTTAGTTCCTCGTGTGCTATCTGGAACCCAAGGATCGTTTGCAGTGCTCCAGTCTGGTCATTCTGCAGGCAGCTTCCCTTGTGAGGGTGGAATTACAAACAGTGTAAATGCTACTGAAATATCTTATCTGTTGTCTAACAGATAAGAACTCACCAGACTTTTCTTCAGTAAGAACTTCACAGGCTTTTTTTTTTCTTATAAAAAAGAATGAAAATCTACAGCCACAGATGAAGTCCAGGAGCACTGAAGTGGGGCAAAGCAGTGCTCCTGGAACCAGCTCAGAAGAACCTTGCACTTGGGCTGGGGATTTAGCTCAGTGGCATAAGCACCTGCCTTGTAAGTAGGCGGCCATGAGTTCGATCTCCGGTACCAATAAAATAAAAAAGAAGAAGAATCTTGCACTTGCCCTCTGTGCCTGCCTCTCCTCTGCACCCAGGGGAAGCCTCCTGTCAGGGCCACAGCTAGGCCTGGAGGAGTCAGCCCCATGGTCACTGCAGGGCATTAGCACAATAAAGGGGCTTCTCTGTTCCTGTACCTACCCACTCTTTTGTCAGTAGTAATTACTGCTTGGTGGATGTTTTCTCCTTTTTCTAAGTAAGGTTCTTTGGATGTCACATTTTACAGTGCTGTGAATTTCACAGCTGCTCCCCACTACACCTCTGTCTTGGTAAATTTGAGAGGAGCTGGATATGTGCTGGAGGCTTCTGAGGCTTTGATGGACTCCTCTGAGTTGTTAGCAGATGTGGATCAGAAATTACCTGTGTAGACTGGACCCCACAGGCCAGGAGCAGTGGAAGGGTGAGGCCCCAGAGATTGGAAGTGAAAAGCTGTGGGCAGGTGGCCAAGCAAAGGACAGGTGCAGCTTAAGGAAGATTTAGAGCATAGAGTCTGGAATTCCAGACTGGAGCTTTTGTGCTGGGAAGAGACTGTAGCACAAACCAGGAGAGAAGCTCTTCTGTTTGGTTAGGAATCGTAATGGATATAGGCCTGTGATAGCAAAACTTTCAGAGATTGAAAGCTCAAACAATCCAAAACTTACTTATTGCAAAATGCCAACACTGCAATTAAATCTGAATGCTCAGCTGCTAGGGCAGTGCTGGATGACTTGGCTGGCATCTGAAAGAGTCGACTCTGGGTGTCCATGGCAGCACATGTACCATGGGTTCATCACCACTGATACAGGCCCTGCTAAATAGACGCTAACTAAAGAGACACTTAATCCACTCATGGAAGAAGTATATGATGAAGTGCAGGCACTTCTAAGTCTTTTCAGCATAGTGTCTCCCTTCTGAGAAAAAAAAAAAACCTGTGAGACATTCTCATCACAGGCTCAGGGCCTGCCCTAACACACTGCCTTGAGTTCTGAGGGTATACCTGGCCCACCTGCTGCCCTGACCCTAACTCCTCCAACTCCCAGGCTCAGTCAGAACTTGCAGCATCAGCTCTCCCAGACCGTACATGCTTGGCTTCATAATTTGCACCAGTTTCACAATTTCACAGATATCTTAGTTACTTTTCTTGTCACTAAGCAAAATACCTGGCACCCAAAGTTAAAGGACAAAAGGTTTATTTCAGCTTATAGGTTGTAGAGGTTTCTATCCAAAGCCAGCTGCCTCTAGGTAGAGCGGCATAGCACAGGAGCATCACAAAAGAGAAACAGTTCGTTGCAGGGCAGGTAAAAGGCAACAAGCAGCAAGCAGCCACCTTTTATCCCATCTACACCCAGCCTTTTGACCACCAAAAACTCTTAATTCCAATTAGTGGACTAATCTAGTACCACACACAATGAATCCCAGTGTCATACACCCTAGATTCAGCCAGCTCCTAACAGCTCCACCTACGAGTACATGAGGCTTTGAGGGGATATCTAGACACAAGCCTTAACAGCATTGTCTCTCATCGTACCCCCTCAGGGCCAGCTGAACATCATAAAGAGACTGGACATGGCACTGCAACGCGCCATCCGCTTAGGGGACCCCAAGTCCATCCAAGTGGTATGCACAGCCCAGTGGAACACCTGCCTACCTCTCCTGCAGCACAGCCTGCGGCACCACCTGCGCAAACCACTGACCAACATTGCAGAGATCTTAGAGAAGGTTGACAGGTGGGTACCTGGAGCACACATTTGTGGGCACACTCATCAGTGGGGTGCACAGCACCTGCTGAGCCTGGCTTCATTCACATTCACTATGTTGCCTCCATCAAGAGTCCTTTCCTTTTGATGGGAGCAAATCTCATGATATGAATAGTCAACATTTTTCCTTGTGTCTATCAGTCCATGGATGTGAGTTGGGACTAGCTGGAAAGGGGCTTGAAAATGTATCTTCAAAGCAGTGCTGAACACTCAGTAGGCACATTGCTGTTATGAGAGACCCTCTGCCAAGTGCTACATCTCTGCTCACACCACTGTAGGAGTCCCAGTTACTTTACATCCTTGCCACACTTAGTATTATCCATCCTTTAACTTTTGTTATTCTTGAGTGTTTCACAGTAGATATTTTTTATTGCCGTTATGCCTAGAGGTGAGCTTCTTTCATAGGCTTTTTGACACTCTCCTGTTCCCTAATGTGACACACTTGTCCAAAATATCTATTTCTGTCAGATTTAACTCCAAGATTACGTTGGCTTTACAAGTTGGGAAGTATTTTTCTAAAATCACTTTCCAAAGCAGTTTATGTACCACTTAAATGTTTGGTAGAATTTTTAACAACAAAGCCATCCAGGCCAGCAGCCTTGTTTTGTTGTGTTGTGTTGTGTTGTGTTGTGTTGTGTTGTGTTGTGTTCCATGGGAGAGCTTCAGTCTGAGACAGCCCCTGCCTGGGCTGAATGCTGAGGAGTGACCCCTGTTTCCCAACAAGGGTCTTATGGCTCTTTCCAGTCTTCACCATGCTCATTAATCACCTGGTTCACACTTTCTATGCCTTAGTTCTTTTGTATAATAGTTGTAGCCCTTACTGAGACAGGAAAAGGAGAAAGACCCGCTGTGAGTGTGCATCTGTCTCTCTCTTCCTTTAGTTCTGCTTCACTTTCCAATGTTAGGGCTCTAGAATTTACCTCCTTTGAGTCTCCCATAGTTTGTTACAGATGCTGCCATGCTAACTCTGCATACTCACTATTGTGTGGCACTTTGTTTCTGTCAGTGAATTCTGACCCTGGTTGTTTTCTTAAATTGAAAGTTAGAGTATTTTTTAAGTGCCTGTCTTTTAAACAATAGAAAGCTGAGTTTTGCTTTTTCACCTAATGTAGCAATCTCTGCTCCTTGGTTGGATTGTGTGGCCTTTTAGCAGCTGACGTCTGATTCATCCGACCATCTCCTTCCATGCTCCCCACATGCGTCCCCTTTCCACCCACTGTTGCTCTTTCCCTGCCTCCTCTGGTGCTGGCTTCATAGTCTAGAAATCTACTGTTTCCTCTGTTGGCTTCTGGGGGAAGGTGGTTTCTCCAGGGCCATTGCTTCTCCTTCACTTAGCACAGCCTGTGTAAGGTGACTGAAGTCATTTCTTTGCACTTTCCAATTCACTGTCACCACAGAGGAGCAGATCTTGTGGTCCTCTGAGTTCACTGCACACCCGTTTTTCCATCTGTCCGCAGTTCTTTCACTTGAGTAAAACAGTGGGCTCCGGTATTTCCCCGTATTTGCTAGTCCGAGGTCTTCTTCTTTTTCCCCAGGTCAGGGTCATGCATCTCAGCCTGACAAATGTCTTTCACTTCTGGGAGTGCCACTGCGACTTGCAGACTGCTTAGCTTCACTGATCTGAAAGTGACCCCACTTCACTCCTGTTTTTGGAAACTATTATCACTGGTTACTGGATGCTGGTTGACTGACGCAGTTCCTTCTTTAAATGCTTTGAAAACATTTTCTTCTAGCTCCCATGGTCTCTGAGGAAAAATCGAGGTATTATAACCATGGTTCCCTTGTGCTTTTTTCCTTCTTTCTGTTTTCAAGTTCACATCTCTAACTTTAGTTTTCAGCCTTTTGATTATGACATTCTTAGGAGCTCTTTTCATTTTCATTCTGCCTGGGGTTCTCTGAGATACTTCAATATGTAAAATAAAGCTTTCATCAAATTTGGGAAATTATTAATATATTCTTCAGATGTGTTCCTCTTTCCTTCTAAGACCAGCTGCATGTGCACACAGGAGCACAGGATACTGTTCTACAGCTCCCTGTTCCCTGCTTATTTTTTAAAAGCTTTTGTTCTCAATTCTTCCGATGGGTTAATTTCAACAGATGCACTTTTTTTTTTCACTTCAGTTACTAGATTTAGTGTTTCCATTTTTTTTTTTCACCTTTCATTTCTGCATAGAGATTCTCTATCTGTTCATTCATTAGTACCCCCTTTTCTCTTAGTTTGGGAACCTGTTGCAATATTTATACTCTACTATCTGCTTTAAAGGATTTACCTGACCAGCTTCTGACCCATCTGTGTCTTGACAATGGGTCACAGTCTTCTACTGCCACCCACCTGCTCTGCCACCCCCAGGAGGCTTCTGGCCGTCATCACTGGCTCTTCCCTGAGTTTTCCTCTCCCAGGGGCTACCGTTTTGTATCGCCTGGTATCCATGCCTGGAAACAGATGTCTCCTGTATTTGGTCCAGCTTTATGGATGTTTTTATCTTTCCCTCAAGGGCTTCCCTCTGTGTGCTGCTCCTGGAAGACTTGGTCACCCTCCTAGAGTCCAGCTCTAAAAGAGTCTTACATATGCGGTTCAGTGTGCACACTGCCCATTCTCTGGATGCTGCACTTCTCCCCACATGGAATCCACCGTCACTTTTGCTGGTTTCTTTGTTCTAGGTCCCAGGACATACAAAAACAGATCAGTTGTGGCTGCTATCTGAACCTAAGGACAGTGTCTGAGGATAGTGGTTCCCTGACTAGGAGCATACTGACTTTGACCAGGGCACTTCTGCCTATGGTGCCTTAGGCTCTTGGTTCCTGCAGGAACCCTGTCATCATGGGCTTTCTGTGCTTCTCCACACAGCCTCACATTATTCCTCATTTTTCCTGACCTGTTCTTGGTTTCCTCTAAGATTACACATGTATTAATGTCACTTCTCCATCTTGGTGGAAAGTTTATCCATGGGTCCTATAGAATCTTTACTCTGCAGTCTTTTGAGGTATGCTTTTACTGTGTCTTGGGACAGTAGTTGTGGTGGTCCTCTCCCATGATATTGACAGCAAAGGCTTTGCTCAACACAAGGGCTGCTCCAGGGTGGAGTTGAGGGGCTGTTCGGCTCACTACAGTACTGATACCAGGAGTCCTCCAAGAGAGAGAGGTGCATTTGCATGATGGACAGCATGAGGAGCAATGATTTCTGCATGGTTTTATGAGTACTGCTCCCTCTGGAGCTCAAGTCCTAGAAAGTCTCATTCAGTTTGTCACCTGCCACTCAACCTGAGCGCAGGGCTTAATACCACTCACCAGCTGGGCTCTGAGACCTCTAGTAGTCCAAAGGACTGTCTTCTGGTCTAATGTGTCAGTCCTCAAAGCAAGGCAAGGTATAATCTGAGGGAGACTAGAAAGCCAGGGACACTGAGAGACCAAGGAATTTCCTGCTCCTGCTGGAGGGTGGACACTAGCCCTGTACACTTACTTGACCAGCCAACCAAGCCCTCTAAACATATGTGTCCATCTCTCAGCCTCATGACCCTGCTTCGCTGCCAAGTGCACATGGAAATAGCGTGCATCGAAGAGGATGAGGACCGGCTGGAGCCTGCTATGGAACACCTGAAGAAGGCCATGAGCCTAGACAGCCAGGGTCTCTACCAGGACAAACTCAAGACATCCTTCAACCGGCTGCACCTGTGTACCATGTTGTATCAGTCTCCAGAGCGTGCCGAAGACAAGGCCATCATGGCCATTGAGCAGGTGTAGGCATAACCTATTGTGGAGGTTGGCTGGGAAAGGGACTGGAGAGGACCCTGGGTCTATGCAGATGCAGTGCCAGAACAGGGGTGAGGGGAGGGCATGGCAGGGAGCAAGCTGCTCGGGTCCACCTGATATCAAGGAGGCCAAGGTGGGCTACTGTGCCTCAGGGAAAAACCCCAGTGTTTCTCTGCATACTCAAAAGGACCAGAGAAGAGGCTGCTTTAGACAATGTCTTCGTCAAACTGGTCCTTCCTCCATGCAGGCAAAAAAGGTTCTACCAAAAGACAGTGTCAGGAAGAAGAGAGCCCTCCTGGTGAATGCAGGCCTAGCTCTTGCCCCAGACACCTTCCAGATTGTGCTAGACAGCGAAAACGAGGCCAAAGGTAAGCCCCTCTCTTCAGTGGGAATAGGCACTGCCCGAAGGGCCAGGGTGAGACTCAGTCAGGCCAGAGGCCCAGCGCTTGTGGTTGGAAGACAAGCTGGATAGCAATGCCACAGAGCCAGATGGTGAGCAGATGCTAGCTTGATTCTGAAATGGTTTTCCTCCGCACACTCTGCAAGCTAACTAGTTCCACCTAATCACTGTCAAAAGAGAAACAAGCTGGTGGCAAAAACTATAATCCCAAATACTCAGGAGGCTGAGACCAAGGCGGGAGGCCCAAAAGCTTCAGGTTCACCTGGGCAACTTTGCTAGATCCTGTCTCAAAATGAAATAAAAAGGACCAGGGATGTTACTCAATAGTAGAGCCCTGGGTTCCACCCTCAGCACTGCAAACAAGCAAGTAAGCAACAAACAAGACACCACCAACCTCAGGAGTCCCGGGCTGCTGCACAGGAGCAGGTGGCCAGTTTGCTGTTTATCATCAGCATACAGCAACTAATTCCTCAGTCACCGAAAATAGAAGATAACCAATAGGAAATAGCAAGATGGACTTTTGGCTTATGGGTAGGGAAGCAAGAGACAGAGGAGGGGGTTGAGGGAAGGAGGGCAGGGAAATGGGAGTGGATAGGGTAGGGAGGTAGTGAAGTGTTGTGTACATGTACCAGGTCCCTACAGGGAACAAGATCAACGTGTACTACAAACATATATGTATGTGTGTGTGTGTGTGTATACATATATATATATATATATATATATATATATATATATGGCTTCACATTCTTCATATTTACACTTGTGTATCTATAGAAGAGGCCCAAGAAATGCAGGAATGAGAGGAAGAGGAACGAGTTAAAAAAGAATTAAGAAATTTCCTGCACATGTACCAATTCCCCACAATGAATGTAATCATTAGTACTACAAACAGATTCCAATAACCACTATCTTTTAAAAATTCCTCAGTCGCCTGACCCCTTCAAACACCAATCGACATTTGGATTTTATTCTCAGTTTCCATGGGGAAGAACAGAGGCCGGTTCACTTACCTCTTTGCGAAGGCTCGGCATCACATGCTCAGTGTGGATAAAGCTTCCGGCCACTTACAGCGTCTGGGAAATGAGAATGACAAAGAGAGGTAAGAAAGAACAGAACAAACACTTTTTCAGAGAACAAACAGACAGAAACACAAGAAAGCAGAGTCAGCAAGAGCTGCCAGCCGGAGAGCACTGGCTGGAGCCAAGCCGCAGGCTGCCCAGGTGTGCAGGCTCCAGCGTCTTTCTGCCCCTCCCTACAGGCCTGGTGGAAGGGACCTCACCTGCCCACTGGGGAGAGACCCCAGCCCACAGTGTTTAGCCTGTGGTGAGACTGCCATTGCAATGCATGGTGCCGACTACCAAGGCACATAAACCAGGGCAGATCAGGAGGTCCCCAGCCTAGGGAGATTCATCCCACATCCCATCCAGGGGTACATTTCTCATTGTCACAAGGATGGGAAGGTACGGTACCACCCGCACCTGATGGGGAAAATCAGATTGCTGTGCCTGAGCCCAGGAAACCCCACACTGACTTTTGCGCCCTAACCAGCACTTCCACCCCACTGGCCAGGGCTGGTCCTCTCACCTGATACCCTTGCCTTGAACATTACTATGACACAAGATCATTCTTTGCAGCCTCAAAACCATACAAACATTGGCTTTTCCTCTCTAACGGTCATTTTGGGTATTTTTGATTTCACAACTTAGACTAAACTTGCTCTTCTCCTTTTTGGATCTTGGTGAACAGAATTCAGATTTGGGCAGAACTGGCCAAGGTTGCCCGGAAGCAAGGGGTATGGGACGTGTGCCGGACAGCAAGCCGCTTCTGCCTCCTGTATGACATCAAGGTGAAAAAGGCGACCAAGCTGAAACGAGGTGCACATCTCTTTCAAGCGTGTCCACCTCCACTGTGGAGTGGGGTAAACCTCAGGGTTGCATACATCTCTGAATGCGTTCTCTCCCTGCCAAGTGGTGCTTTGTGGGAACTGTGATACCCAGCCAACTGGGGAATTTGTTACAAGGGTCCAAGAGTGACCCTGAAATAATGGGAAAGTCACCATGACACACTTAAGTTCAGAGGAGCCTTCTAAATGTGTGTAGTTGGCCCCTCACATCTGTAGGCTCCTCGCTCACAGATTCAACCCTGAGGATTAAAAATATTTGAAAACAGCTGTGTCTGTACTGGACATGTACAGACTTGTTTCTTGTTATTATTCCCTAAATAATACAGTGTAACAACTATTCACATGGCACGGACATTGTACTAGGTGTTGTAACTTAAGAGGGTTTAAAGTCAGACTGGGAATATAGCTGGGGGGGCACAGCGCCTGCTTTGCGGGTGTGAGGTTGTGAGTTCGATTACCTGTATAAATAAATAGATAAATAAATAACGTATACAGGGTGATATGTGCAGCTTATATGCAAGCATGTGCCATTTTATATAATAAATTTGGGCACCTGTGGATTTGGGCATTTGCACAGAGCTCTAGAACTAGTTTCCACAGATACTGAGGAGCAACTGTACTTTTATTTAACAGAAAAAGAAAACAGAAAAATCAAGAGCAAACAAATCTTAAAAAAAAAAAAAACCAACAAAAGCAAAACGACAACAACAGCAACACCAAAAAAAAAGATAAACAATAGGTATTTAGGTTTTCAAAATGAGATGATGCGAATTCAACTACGGTTATTATACTGCATATTGTTGTCTTCAAAATAGCTGCCCAGGTTACCAGATACAGGAATAAAATAGAACAGCAAAATGGAACAAAACATGAGATTTCAAAAATAAGACAGGAGGAAACCCCCACAGGTGCCACAATGCACACTGCCATCCTCCAAATAGATGCCCCGACCGCCAGCCCGGGCCTTCAAAGGCAATCAGACAATGCAAGCATCAAGCTATTGCTATCATCTCACCCTGAGCCCTCGGAATTGGCCAGTTGCTCTCTGGTGCACCAGCTGGCTCCAAGGAAGGCAAGCTGTGTCTTCTTGTTGAGTCTCTTCCCAATCTCTAGGGCAGAAAGGAGCAACTGTTGCAACTGACTACAAATAATTGTTCATTATAACCTAATAACAGTTAAGTTACCCCTGGTTATCATTACTGCCACCTGTTACTGAGTTGCTTCGGCCTGACAGTGTGCCACCTTGCTTCAGGGACCATCATTACATTGCAACACCCTGCTCCCCCAACACACACACACCTGGGTATGTCCTGCAGAGCTGGGGAGAGGCTTAGACATCAGGGAGCAGGCCAGGAGTGCTGCTGATTTTGTCTACTAGAAAAGAAGCAGTCTTTACACAGCACTGTTCCTTGCAGGAAAGAAAAAGAAAGGTGCAGAAAGCTCAGCGCATGAGACCTGGAGCCCGCAGATTATGCAGAAACAAACATCACCCTATCTGCTGCGGAAGTTGGCAGAGGTGGGCTTCATCAGTGCTGAGGTGGGTCATGAAGATGCTTTTTTTATCCTCCAAGTCTATGGCAATCACAGCCTGGGGTTGATGTAGCCTATTTATCTGAATCTATTAGAGGTATGGGTCACAAGACTCCATCTCTGCTCTCCAAATAAAACTGTATGTCAAGTGCAGAAATTTTCATGAGTTCTTGGAAAACAATATGAATAGAAATGTATCATGATTTGTGCCAATATGCAATTTTTTTAGAAACAGTTTTTGAACTTCAAGTCCAAAGTTACATAAGTTACAGCAAGTAATTGTTGCATTTTGGGAGTTTTAATTGGAATCAGTTTTATAAGCATAAGAGGGAAGTGTGATCTTGGAAGTGCTTCTATGTCCCAGCCTAGTGCCTTGGCCTAGACTCACAGCTGAAGCTCACATAGGTCTGATTCCCTGAACACAGGGAACCTGAGATGTGGAATCAGGCCTGCTAAAGTCAGTGGATAGAATCAGCTGAATCAAAGCCCACCCTTCAGTCCAGGTCTGAGCTCTTAGCCCAGCACCTTCACTAAGGCCCTTGGTTACTTTGTGATATGTCAGAGCTCTTAGAAGTGGGCACAAGGCTGAGGCCAAAGCACTCTGTAATTACTTCAAAAAGAGTCTAAGGGACATGAGTACAATCAGAACCAGCCCCTGTACTCAGGACCCAATGGCCTGATGGCAGAGCAGGTTTGTAGAGTGAGATAGTTGGCCTTGAGCCTGAGATTTCCTCAGCCCAGGGTCACCAAGACCCATTTGCCCTCAGAGTCCCTCGGCCTGTCCCCAGTGGGCTTCTTAACCTTTAATGCTGAAAAACAGATTCATGAAGCAGTCAAGGAGATTTGAAACTAACTGGGCATTTGATAACATAAAGAGTGTCTGCTCATCTCTAGAGACACGACGATGGGTGTGGGCTCAGTTTTTGAAACAAGTCCTTCTCTTCCCAAGATGTGCACCTTTAGGGTAGAGAGACAGGCCATCAAGGTAGGCAGGGGTGTATGGGGCTCATCATGCAAGTCTTTCTGCCTTATATTTGGAATTTTTCAAAATCAAATCCTGAAGATGTTTGGCTGTGTATTCCCCCAGTGCTAGATCTTGCCATGTCCATGACCTCTCCCATTACGCATTTCCTTACAGGCCACTGTCCACTTGCTGCGCTCAGAAGGTGTGGAACTGAATGACCAGGCCATTCCCCCTGAAGACACAAGCCAGCACCCTGCCGGCTATGTGCCTGAACCCTTAGATGCAAACACAGAGTGGATCACTTACAGGTGAGCAGCAGTTCTAGCTGTGGTGTAAACTCGGGGTTGAAGTCTCCCTCCGCATCCGGGCGGCAGAGGACACACAAAGATGTGGCCTTCTCTGTAAGAGCAATATCCATTCTCACATAAGTCAAAGCATTAAATATAAAGCAAGACTCCAGATGGCTTCACCTAGCTATCAGCAGTGCCCCTAGCAAGGCTGTGAGCGTGACTCGTCTCTAATAGAAGGGAAGAAAGCACGTGACTGTTTTCTGCAGTTGCTTTGGTAAATCATACTTCTGTTCACTTTAGTTAGCTTTTCTCACTTTAGTAAAATTGAGTTTTGGGTGGGGGGGTGCACTAATGGTGGAAAATGGAAGAGCAGCTCTTTGTAGTCCAAATCTTAGAAGAAAGCCGCCGCAGAGCAGCTTGAGCCCTCAACAGTTCCTGCATACAAGCAGCACACATCGACTTGCACAGAACATCTCAAAAGAGCTGCCCCTATGAAATTTCAAGTTCAGAAACAATCATGAAACTAAGGTAGATGTTGTATCAACAATGATGAGCTTTAGCGACTTTTTAATCTAAAATACCTTATAGATAAATACTGTGATCAATGAATGTACTTACTATTTATGTGACAGAAACTGAGCACTATTTAACTGCATTCCAAATTTAATTGGGGAAACAGAAAGACTATTCCCTGTGTAGTACTTACTGAGTACCTGGAGTCCTGCCGAAGAGAGAGGAATAACTCTATGCAGATGTTTCTCTTGGCATTCGAACAGAACTGCTCATCAGTAGCATTATGCGACCTAGTGCCTGCCTCGGGCTGCATCTTGGGTCCATGCCCTGAGCCCACTGTCACAGGGCAGAGGACAAGGATACCTTTCTGATTCTGCTTCCAGGTGGTGGTGCCCACTCACAAGGACCTAGGCTGTTTATGTACAGCTAAATGTGGCTTTGATGTTTTAAAATTTTAAAACAAAGAAAAGTAACACAACAAAACTACATGTAGCTCACAACTCTTAAAATACTGTCTGGCCCTCAGTAGAAAAAGTTTGCCCAGACGGGGCTGGCAGAACAGAGACACTGTGACGCTCAGTGACAGCAAATTACCCATGCAGCCTGTGTGTGATGGGACCAGAATGGTGAGGAGACCAAGGTGTGAGAGTGTCCACAGGGTGGACAGGCAGCCCAGCAGGGCCTTGACCCAGGAATTACTCTTCCAAGGGCCTGTGACAACTAACAGCATGGGAAAAGCAGAAGGGCAGGAGCCAGTGTCCAGCTGGAAGGTGAGGACAGATTGGAACCAGCAGGCAGAGGAAACAGTGCAGGGTGGGTGGGCTGCATCGGAGGCCTGGAGGAGGGTTTAGGAGGGCAGCACTGAGCCGAGCATGGCCACAGTAGACTCCCCTCTAAACTCTTGGACTACAGAGACAATGTGAAACATCCGTGCATGTCTGAGCAGGGACCACAAGGAGGGTACTGTGCAGTGTCTCATTTGGAAAAGCTCTGAGTGGAACTGAATGCTTCGTGATGTACATTTGCAGAACGTGGATAGAAAATCTGTCACATTACGCCATGAATAACTGGTTGCGCTCTGCGGAAATCGGACGGGAGATAGGCGAAGCCTGGATTGTGCAGAACGCTGTGGTCTATGTCTTAAATCACAACCACCATCTCATCACAGCTGGGCGGCAGAGGGAGCTTGTGGACACCCTGCATCAACTCCTGAACATCATGAAGGCCATTGGCTCCCACGGGTAGGTGTGGAGGATGCTGCATCTGTCACATGCAGGGAGGTACAGACTCAGGCCAGGGCCCTAAGGTCCTGGAGCGCAGGGGATGGTGAGGCACCAACCAGGGGTGATGGAGGAGGGCCTGGGCCTGCACTGCAGTGACAAAGCCTCTGCTGCAGCATAGCCATACAGTTGCCACCAATCTCCTGTCTGCCTCAGGCTATTCCCGGTGGGTAGAGGAAGGTCTACCTGAGGCAGGTCACTCTGAGACAGAAGAGTGTTCCTTTCATCCTGGGTTTCTATGTTTTTATCCAGGTGGACATGAATTTGTGAGAGACTAATATTTTCCCAGTTAAAATTAGAAGCTTCAAAACATTAAGTTGATGAAAAAAATTTCATCAAGGATGAAATTTTGGTTTTTTAATTGTTGTTGCTGGTTTGGGTTTTCAGCCTAAATAAAAGGATCTTTTATTCCCAGTACCAAAATAAAATGCTAGAATGAATCAGAATGCAGCAACATATGTGCAGTATGATTTCTAAAGTTATGAGTAAGGAAAATGGAGCCTTAAACCAGTAATTGCCCAGCAATGTTTGCCTCTGCCCAGGCACAAATTCCTGACAGGGCCCATTTGGGCCAAGCATCCCACTAACTGTGCAGGATGCTCCGGTCACAGCCTTGGGCCATCCTGGATGGCCCAAGAGAGACTGGGGGGCCCTCCAAGCTGAACCTGTCTTCGCAGCACAGCCATCCGGTCTCTCATAGGCAAATCCTGCTGCTTGGTATTTGGAGACCATTGCTGACTATTTCATTCTTTGTCAGTGCACTGTTTTCTCCGAAGCCCATTGTACCTTGTAATCAAGGATAAACCATAACCATGGCTTCCAGGATGTCCCAGACACAACTATGGGCAAAGTGGCTTTTTTGCCTTGGCCAGTTCTTCTCAGGATCCTCTGAAAACCTTGCCCTGTAACACATAATGTCCCCCCTGCCCATGGTGTCCCTGAGCAGCAGGGTCTCCAGCTCTTCCCTCACAGGCCTGACCACAGCTGCTTGAGCTAACCCTGAGGACAGCAAGTGTCCTCTTTCCTCCTCCGTTTGAGCAGATGAGTTAGGTGAACAGATTTGGTTGCCCCCAGACTCATGACAGCAGGGATCTGTGTTGATGGTGTGTCCTACCCTGGAGGGGCTCTCAAGGCTTGTGTGTTTGATTCCAGCAACTCGATCATGTTAGCCATGCTCTGCAATGCCTTAGCTCGAGGCTTGATCATTAGCTGGATTCCTACCCAGACATACGAAAAGTCAAGAAGAGTTATTAGACTAAATACGTTTCAAGCTCCACTGGACTCAGGAGCTACCTCTGAGATCAGGACAGCAATAGAGGTATGGCCCCACCAGGCCATGTGGGTTTAGGGTTGGAGTGGGGGGGGGGGGATGGCCTCCCGGATAGCATGTGGGAGGAGGGCCCAGTAGGGGAGGCCACTGGGATAGATAAAGAGAGAACGTGGCAGACCATCGGTCAGGATGTCAAGGCCTTTGGAGACTCCAGACAAGACAGGGAAGATCCCACCCATCAGGTAGTAGAGGTGAGAGCAATTCGGGAAGTGAGACTGGCAGGGACCCAGCAGCTGGAAAAGAGGCGAAGAGTGAACCACGGCAGGTATGGGAATCACACAGGTTGGGTGTGAGTTAGGGGTCCTCATGGCTCAGATATTGCAGCTGCTGCTCCTCCCAGGGCAGAGGAAAATGTGGAAATAGAACTAGGAAGGGACTCGTGTCACCTGGGAACAAATACACAGCAACACAATAAGGTGCCTACATGCCAAGTAGTGGAATTCATCCCATGAAGTTTGTTTCCCAGAAAGTGTGAATTTTGTTGTAGTAATTACCACTGACGGAAAAAAATGATCTTAAATTGATGGCAGATGAAAGTGTTTAATAATCCATCAGCCATTTTTAACCCAGGAATCTTGTAAAATTTGAAGAATAGTCAGTTTCTTCATGGGCCCAACGGGAACTGTCAGAGCCTCAGTAGAGTCCCAGAGTGTGACTCCCCAGAAGTGTCTGTGGGGGGAACAGGAGCAGGCAAGGCCAGTGCCATCCACTTCCAGAGGACATCATGACCCATCAGGAGAAGATGAGAGGCAGACAAGGTGCCTGAAGCGCCACTCAGGCCCTGGGTAAAGCAGCACTCTGGATAGCTGCAGAGCTGGCTGCCTTCATCCAGTGCAGGTGCCTGCAGGCAGCACTAACGACCAGCCTGTGCAGAGATGAGAGCCAGGGTGGAGAAGGCCCTGGGGCCACAGGGCCACAATGAGGACAAGTACCGATTAAAGCTCCTACTGTGGCTGAAAGGGAGAGCGCAAGGAGCATGGCTTATGCCTGCGACAGCCTCAGAAAGGTCAGCACCTAATCTAAACCACATTAGGGTTTAGATCGTCATACCCAGAAGAGACAGAGGACCAATGCAAAGGGCCACAGGGAGTGGGACACTCATCTGGAAAAAGAGGTGAGCAGGGAAAGGAAGGGGCTGGTGTAGCCAAGGGACATGGTGGAAGGGAGAAGTTCCCAGCTGAATCCAGGTGATGAATGGGTGCACCTGAAGTGGAATCTCAGGACAGAACTGCTCAAAACTGTCAGAGTAAAGGAACACTGGAGGATCAAGTGGCCACAGTGACAGTATGGAAACAGACCTCATTGCAGTGGGGAATGGGGACTTGTGTGATAGAGGAAGGATGCCCTGCTCAAACCGTGGAATTGGCATGACCCACGTGTGTTCCTGTGGAATGGGAGAGGGTTGCCTGGGAGTTTATGCAGAAGCATAAGTTGAGGGACACAGCAAGAAAAGACTTCTGCTTTGTGGATTTGTTTCCACCTGTGGTTTTAGGAGGATGAGGATCCATGTTTTTGCTTAGAGGAAAGCGATCCTGGGTTAGGAAATAGTCATTCCTAATGGCAGTGCCTACTGCATTGGCCAAGCTTTGTGTAATAACCCACATACGTTATAGTTCCCTTTAAAAGCGAGGAGACTGAGGCATACAAGTAAGGGAGGAAAGTGTGGGCAGCTGGGCCTTCTGGATCCCAGTCACACACCCTTGTCACAAACTAACACTACACTGAGCTGCTGTTCCCTGTCTTGCTGTGTCATTAGAGGTATTCATGACTGCACCATGGGCTGACAGCCCCATGCTCAAGCCATAAGGATCCAGGGAGCAAAGGATATAAAGCATTCACAGGACTGGGCAGGGTCTGGGGAGCTGCCAGGTTCACACGAACCCTCAGGTAGCTTGTGGACTGGGCCACTTCTGCGGGTTAGACAAGAGCCAGTCCCACATCTTTAAATGACAGGGATGTGGTTCAAGCTTCCTTGCTTAGATTAGGGCTTTCTGAATGAAGACTTGTGCCTTTCAGGTCTGTGAGTATGCACTGAACCTGACCAATGGAAACGTGCCAGAGGAGATGGTTCCCACCAGTGTGCGGCAGCAGCTCATCGCCACCTGGGTGAAGGCCAAGCAGCTGCTGCAGCTGCAGATTGGGCACCGGCTGGGCATGGAAGAGCAGGTGCTATAAAGTGCTGTGGACACCGCAGAGGTTGCTGGGGGGCAGGTCAGGTGCAGGCCTATGAGTGGGATTCCAGCCACCACTGAAATCAGGCCCCTTGTCCTCATCACAATCTGTTTTGGTGCAGTGGTGGGGAATATGTCCCATCAAGGATCGTCTCAGGCCTCTTTCCACACTGAAGTCACTGTCCTGATTGCCCTAGAGAGTCAGGGCTCAAGACTGCTGTAGGATCTGAGCTAAAGACCTCTGGGTGCTACTCATGGATTTAGGTTCATCTCTTTGGGCAGCAGCCTTTTCCAAACCGCAAATACAAAGGTCTTTGGAGGAAGAGGGTAGAAGGAAGCATAGTCCATGAGGACTCAGGGCCACCACACAGGCTTCCTGATCCCTGCTGTGGGGGAAAAACCAGAACACAGGCTGGGCAGGGAGAAGTGAGAAGTCAGAGAGGGAACCAAGGAAAAGGAAAGGGGACAGTTGGGCCCATCCAGGGGTGAAGCATCCATGAGAGACCAGAAGGGATTATGCAGGCAGCAACGAAGGAGCACTGGGGCCCAGCAGATCCCCCTACCTCTGACCAGGTCACCTAGGTGTCAGTCAACACTGCCTTATATGCTTGGAACTGTACAGCTTCACAGTCTTTTATTAAACAGCAAGATAAGTTGGAGGTGAACATTTACAAAAGTAGCCTACAGTGTAAACACTCCCAAATTTGTGGTCTGATTCTTACTATAAAAACTAATGCTGCACAGGATTAAATTCGTAAGTAGTTCGATTCCTCTGCAGCCCTGTCTCCAGTGCCTTAAACCGATGGATGCTCAGTGCCCCTTCCTTCCCACTAGAGCACCAACGAGAACATCAACTGTGTGACCAGAGTCCTTATTGCCCTCGAGATGTACTCATGCAATGGGCTGGGCCTCATGGATTTCACTGTGCCCTCCCTGGCTCAGGTGAGTGACATCAGATTGCTGGGAGGCATGTCAGCCCCTGTGTGCAGAGAAAGCCACACCCAAGAAAGACAAAGAAGCTAAGGTCAAGAGGGTCCCGTTAGAGGCACACAGGATTCACACCCAAAGCCATTTTGTCAGAACGCTCCCCAGCTCACAACAGAGCTCTGTGTTCTGGTTCTCTGTGAGCACAGAAATCCAGCTCCTGTTTGGAGCATCTCTTTATCCTGGTATAAAGAAAAACACTTCGGCTCTCTATGTCTTTCTGGTCCTGAGCTCTCAGTGCAGGTAGCAGCATCTATGGGTACACAGACCCTGCCCTAGTCCTAGGGGGAGGAAAGCCGTGAAGACACTGAGCCATCTAAAGCTACTAAGGACAGTAATAAGGCTTTTTGGTATTTTACACTGCAAGAAGTCTTTATAAATCACGGATCTGTCTGGAAATCATTGTCCAGATGAGTATTTTACCACATGTAAGATTTTACAGAGTTAAATGAGCTCACAAAGTTAACAGCATGGTTTCAAGTGCAGGAGTCTGTGTTGTTGGAAAATCACTGTTGCTAATGAGAGGTCTTTCTCTCTTCCCATTGGGAAGCTGATGAAAATGGCTTCTGAGTGCAGCTGGTCGGACCCAATGGTGGAGCTGCAGACGCTGACACGGCTGGCCCACTTTGCCTACGCGGCCCGTGACCATGAGATCACCATGGCCGCCTCCCAGCAGGCCACACAGATGGGCATCAAGCACTTGAGGACATTGGATCCGTAAGTAGCCTTGGTAGTGATGTCGTAATGTTCGGGCCATGTCTGCAGTTTCATCTTCTGAGCTCCTGATGTGCTCACTGTGTGGTGGCACCTACTCATGTCAGAAGGATTTTGGAAGAAGGTGACATCTTCCTCCTGCTGAGTCTGCATTTCTGCAAGGACAGGACCAGGCTGCAGTGGTAGCTACAGAGCTGTGTCCACAGAGCGAGGATCTGGGAGTCAAAAAGCAGTGCAGCCTGCAGTATCTGTGACTTGTCAACCTCCATGTGTCCTGGGCACAAACACACTGACAAGCAACCTCATGCTTATTCTTCTCAGTGGAAGGGTACTACCATTTCCAGGTTCTAGATGAGGAAACTGATCCAGGCACAAATTTAGTCACTCATCTTGGGCCACGTGCTTGCACTGCACTTGAGATACTCAATTCTAAAAATGCCTTTGGCAAAGCAAGGCTACGCAGCTTGGAGAAGGGCCGGTGAGGCCACAGCACCAAGCCAGCAGCACCCTCAACGTGGTGTACATTTGTGACATCCGTTTTCTGGTCGGTGGTAAGCCCTGTGCTCACTGAGATAAGATGCAGGGTGAACTGAAGGAATGAAGGAGGGTGCTAAAAATAAGATAAAACATGAATTATAACTAAAAAGATAATAAAGGAGATGGCATACTAAAAAAATTGCTAATTTAGAAGCGGAGAGGAATTAAAGCAGATAAGGCAAAAGGAGAACAAGCAATAGAAAGCAGCTTTAGCTCCATTAACCCTAAACAAACCAAACACCTCTGGTCACGGTACTATCATCCACAGACAAGGAAGGCAGGACCCAAATATGAGCTCTGTGCACCCAGAGTCTTCCAACACACCCAGGTTAGCAGTGCGAGCATGGAAAGGTCAGGGATCACGCAAGCACCCAGCACAAGAAGTGGTATGTCACTGCCACACTGCCTCTCAGGACACCAGAGAGACATTTCCGTAAGATCTAAAAGTGCTAAATATGTGTTTGCTTAGTAGCAGAACTTCAAGATACAAGAAGCAAAATAATGAGTACGTGCATATTGACACCCATAGATCTATAATCCTCTAAGTAGCTGGTAGGAAAAAACAAAAAACCAGTAAAAACATAAAGTTAGGCAACCCTGTCAACAGATTGAACCTCCACGACACTGCTAAGACAGCTACATTATAAACTACATTATGATAAAAATTTCTAGGACATAGGTATCAAAGTAAGGATAAGGGAATGTCTTAGGTACTTTTCTCTCATTGCTGAGACAAAATACCTGATGCCCAAAGTTAAAGGAGAAACAGTTTGATTCAGCTCACAGTTTGTAGAGGTTTCAGACCATAATTGGCTGGCTCCAAGGCAGGGTGGCAGAGCACATAGATGTCAAAGAGAAGAAACAGTTCCTCATGGGTAGAAGGTAGCAAAGCAACAAGGGACAGCCACAGCTCTTTCTATTCTTTCTATCTTACCCAAGCTACTTAGGGCACTCATATTCTTAATCCTAGGGCCATTGATGCTAGCACTGCACCATGAATCAATCCCGGTAACACACACTCTCGATCCAGCCGCCCTTGAAAAAGCCCTGCATGAGGCTTTACAGACATCTAGACACAAGCCATCGCAAGGAGCCTCCCACACAACCTGCAAGATGTCCATGCCCATTTCACAGGGTGGTTTCAGCATCCTGCTGCCATCACACAACCTCAGTTGCCCTTTCTGACCATAGACTCTTTAAGGGTAAGCCCTTGTACACAAAGAGTCAACACCTTCCTTCTCTGGTCTCTTCAGGCAGAGTGCTGAGGGGCTTCCAGGATGCTGGTCACTGAGGGTCATTCCACAGATCAGCATATTTCAGATTCCATGCATATCTGACTGAATTGCAGGGATGTACCCCCAGCAGCATTTGAAGGGGAGAGGAGTCACAGGTGGTTTGTGTGTGCCCAAGCCACAGCTGTGCTGGATCAGGAAACATGGGGAGAGGGTCAGAAAGGCGTGACAAATGTCTGAAGTACACTACAGGTGTGTGTGACCACCTGGGCTCTCATACAGACTAAACTCCATCTTGGACAAAATTTCTTGGACCCAGTAAACAGAACTTGACTGAGAAAGAGCCCAAAATGGCTGATTCTGATAGTCCTGTGCTACACAACAAGCCACCCAAAATTAGTTTAAAAAAAAAGTTGTCTTAGTTACTTTTTACTTGTCACTGAGACAAAATAACCTGATGACCAAAGCTGGGAAGGGAAAGGTTTATTTCTTAGAGATTTTTGAGGTTTCAGTCCATACTCAGTTGGCTCCAAGGCAGGCGGGCATGGCAGGGGTGCAGTTCACGGCAGCTGCAAACAGCAAGGCAGAAACCAGCAAGAGAGAGAGACACACCTTCTTCCGGCCATTACATCACATCTTGGCTCCACCCCTAGCTGGGTGTAGCACTGACACCATCAATCCAACCACTAGACAATGAACCAATCACAAATACACAATGCAAATGCATGAGACCTGGGGGCCACTAACATAAACCATGACAACAGTTAAAGATTCTTTCTCATGGTGTTGTGGATTGAGTGAATGCAAACGGTTAATTCTGATTTGAGGTCTCTCATAAGGTCACTGTCATGGGCGGCCTCCACCAGGAATCCCCGTGCCCCTCCCAGCTCACTCTCATATCCTAAGGTGTCTTTCCCATAGCCAGGTGTCCCTAGGATGACTCTCGCCCAAGGTGTGGGCACCACCATACACCTTCACCATGTGGCCTCACTGAGCATGGTGGTTCTGGAACTCCAGGCAATGTGACAAGCTCTCAGAAGGCCACAGACACTTGCTGTATATCTGTTGAGCAAGTCTCTATGACTGGCATAAGTTCAAGGAGGGCAGGGTGCTATACACAAAATGAGGCAGAGATGGCTCCTCCATCTGGGGATGCCACCTTGCAGGTGAAGTGACAGCATTCCCAAAGAGGGAGACCCAGCATGTGCCGCAACCAGGCCTCTCCCCCATCCCTTCTGCCCTCTAGGGTGGAGGCCCAGCTGGTGGCGGAAATGTTGTGCACTGCCTCATGCATCCAGGGCCGGAGCATCATAGAGAACCTGAAGGGCAGGAAGCAGCTGAGACTGGCAGCAGCCAAGGCCTTCTTGGAGAGCGCCAGGTATGCTGCAAGCAGGGGCTCAGACACTATGATTTGGCAACTGTTGTGCCATGATGACACTGGGAGCCATCCCAAAGAGCCAAGGGAGGACCTGGGTGTTGTGGGAAGTTCCCTGCCCTCAGCCTGCAGTGTGGCCCAGTGCTCAGAGCTGGGGACAGCTATGGGAAGTTCTGTGGGAGCCTCGGGCCCTGGAACAGGAAGGCTTGAAGGGAGTCTTGAGCTAGTCAGGCACCTGAGCAGTGTCAGGAGTGGGGCAGGTGGACAACATGAAGGCCAGACCAGAGCTCGTCTTCGTAGAAAGGTGGCTATGGAGCGCCACCATTGCCCTGAGGCATGGGCAGGACCTGGCTCAATAGCATGGGAAGGCCGTGCCAAAGAGGGCTGCAGGTGACCTGCCCATGGCTCTGTCCCACAGGACAGCCCAGGGCACCCTGGCCACCCCAACCTCCTCTCTTCCCTCCTACATCCAGAAGCTTCTGTGGGAGGCAGTGCCACCCTTGGTGGAAGACGTGGTGACACCCTGAGGCACCTGTGTCAGTACCCCTCTAGAGTGAGCATCCTTTCAGGTTTGGAGGCATCGCAGGCAGCAGTGCTCTGGTGATGCTGGCCACGCGGCACTACTGGAACACCTGGCTCCCGTTCCTGTCCTCAGCAATCAACAGGAAGAAGGTCAAGGGGGCTGTCCAGAAGATCATCAAGATTATCAACAAGACAGAGGCCAAAAAGGAGGTGCCTTGGGGGTGCAAGTGGGTCTCTGAGAGGTCTCCCAACAGGCTGGCAGACACCCACGGAAAGATACCACCCGGCACTGTTCCCACTGTGTGGTCCAGCGCTCCCCAGTGTAGCACTGCCTGTGGGATATTGTTGATGTCCCCAAGCTTGCACAGGATGGGGCACTCATTGTTGGCCTAAGGGCTGACCTTGAACCTCTCCTCTGATTTGGAAGAGTCTCCTCCCTCTCCCTTTTACCAACTTTTTTTTTTTGGGTCTTTTTGAGACAGGGTCTTGCTATGCAGTTCAGGCTGGTCTTCAGCTCACTTTATAGTCCAGGCTGGCCTTAAATACACAGCCATCCTCCTGCCTCAGCCTACTGAATGCTCAGATTACAAGAGTGCACCACTGCTCCAGGCTCAACTTTTGAATAATAGATTTTTCTGTAGTGTTTTTCTATTCTTTACTCTGTTTATCTCTGCTCTGACTTTTATTCCCTTCCTTCTGCTGGTTTTGAATTTCTTTCTTTTTCTGGTATCTTGAGAATTAAAGTTAGAGTGTGCCTTGAGGCCTTGCTCCCTTGTTAATGACAGCATTCACAGACGTCAACTTGAATCTGAGCACTGCTTTTGCTGTGGCCCCTAAGTTTTGTTTGTTGTGTTTCTGATCTCATTGATTTAAAGCATAAACCTGACTTGGATGTTTCATGTCATTGAAAACTACATGTGATGCGTATGTGGTGTGTGTGTACGTTGTATATGGGGTAACGTGTGTGGTGTGTGAGGTGTTGTGGTGGGACGTGCATGGTGAGGCATGTGCCTATGTGATTTGTGTGCAGTGTATATGATGTATGATGTGGTATGTATGTAGTATGTGTGCGTGGTATGTATGGTACAGTGTGTGTTTGCCATGTGTGTGGTATATGTGTTATGTGTGTAGTATGAGTGATGTGTGTGCATAGTGTATGGAGTGTGTGTGTGTTTGTGTGAGTGTGTGTGACAGTGTGGTGCATGCCTAGCCTTGTACTGAGGACCCTTTTCTTATGGGTGAAATGTGACTTACCTTTTTTTTTTTTTTTTTTTTTTTTCACTTTTTATCGGTACCAGGGATCGAACTCATGACCGCCTGCTTGCAAGGCAGGTGCTTATGCCGCTGAGCTAAATCCCCAGCCCCATGACTTACCTTTTTATAGCTCAGTACTTCTAAGTTTCACTGCAATTCCTGTAAATTATTAGACACAATGAAAAGCAAAATGGTGGAAGACACTTTGTAGCCCCCACCCAGCACGTGGGTGTTTGTTTTCCTGCAGGAGAAAGGACAGACACTGCTCCTGCACCAGTGGCCCACAGCAGACTTGCAGAGTGGTGGGACAGCAACTGAAGGCCACTTCCTCCCAGGTCGGCAGGGATAGGGCCAAGAGACTGCTGGCACCAGGCTGAGGGGAGGGAGGACTTAGCCCAAGTTGAGTCTTCCATGCTTTCACATCCCAGTATGAAGCTTTCACCACACACCAGGCCAACCATAGTCCTGTCTGTCTTCACCTGCTGTTCTTCATGCGAACTGTGTGAGAACCCATTATGCACATGGGACGCACAGCCTAGGGCCTCCCACCTGCCACTGACCAGCCAGCCCTGACCTTCCCAAGTCCAGCTCTTGGAACTGTTGCTGGTGCAGAGTCAGAGCTGTATGGGAAAACCGTGATGAGCCTGAGACTAACCGGCAAGTCCTGCTTGCTTCAGGCCACCACGATGCTGGTGCTAACAGGTACTGGGTTAAACCTGAGGGCCATTCACTTCACAGCTGATGTCCCAGTGAGCTGCTCCTATCATTTACCTCCTTTCCTCCAGCAGCATAGAGCCTGCTCGTGCACTGTGAAAACAGGGCATGTCCATCAGGATACCTGAGGTCTCAGATCTAGAAAGTAGCATCTGCGAGGTGATACAGGCAGCCTTCGTCTATGGCAAAACACACATGATGACTGGGTGTCCCACGTGCTAACCTTTCATACCCTCAAAAGCCATGCTGCTTCTGCCAAAACTAATGGGGAGCAGGTGGCAGAGACCAGCTAGGAAATTTGAGGGCCTGATTCCCTCAGACCTAGGCTGCCCGGGCTGGTGGTAGGTGACAGACAGGGGACATAGGGTCTATCCCTTAAATCAGCCCTGTAGGCCTAACCTTGCAGGGAAGGTGTAAGGCTCCAAACCAGGAAGACTAACAAAGTGGAGCTCCAGGAGGTCAGAAGTTAGAGGATGTCGGTGAGCCAGGCGCCTGGCAGCCCAGCCCTATCCGAGGCTCTCCTCCCTGTCCCAGGTGCTGAGGACGACCTCACGCTCCGTGTTGCACTCTATGGCCTGCTCTTCCATAGCTACGCAGACCAGGATGACTGGGAGGCTGGCCTCAAGGTGCTGGATGAGGCCGTGCAGGTGCTGCCTCGGACTGCCCACCGCCTGTGAGTGCTGCCCTCCCCACTGACCCCAGTGCTGCCTTGCACAGCCCCACCAGAGCTCCCCAGCTTTCCCTTTCCACTAAAGGGCTTCATCCCCCCAGCAGAAATTAGACAAAAACAGGGAACATACAGTATAAAAACCACAGCTCAGTTTCCATCTGATGTTATCCCTGTAAGAATAAATATGAACAAACTGAGTTCAGAATGTTTTATGTATGCTTAGATGATTTTTTTTGAGACATAATCTTACTGTGTTATTCATGCTGGCCTCAAACTCACAGCAATACTGCCTCAGTTTCTCCAGTGCAGGATTATCTGCACCCCCAAGCCTGACTGTAGGCTTAGAATTTTATCATTCGATTGGAGCATTGACTTCTCTCTCTGGTTCTTCTTTAGCTTGATTTTCAAACATATGGTCATTGTGAAGGCAAAACTTGGCCAAAATTTTACCATGGAAATCCAAAAGTTCAAGGATGAGAGTGAAGACTATTTGGCGCACATGTGGCACCGCCTGGCCCTGAACTCGAAGAATGTCTGCGGAGAGCTGACGTGTTACCACAACGCAATCCAAGCATTGCAGGTCTGAGTTTGGTCAAAGTTGGGTGATCATGAATTAGACTCATCTGCGAATTACAAAGATCACCGTGTGATGGGAGGCTTGTGGATTAGGGATTTGCTGGCCAGGCACTCACCAGAGCCACTGCTGAGGGAGCTCCAGGACAGGCTGTGGGCCTTACTTTGACGGGCAGGACTTCTTCCTGGGAGGCAGGAGCTGCTTAGGGGGCAGGACTCAAAGCACACTGTAAACTTGAGGGTTTTGGGGACATTTGCTCCCCCACCAAGAGACGCAGATAGACAATCCAATGTGTTTGGGAGTAGAGGAAGACGGTTCTCAGGAGCAAGACTTTGGAGGACTCACTTAACAGCTCAGTAGTAAGCACTAATGGCATCTCAGGCCTCTGGGGTGAAAGGCCTGAACCTTTAGTCAAAACCTTGAAAGACTTTTCCATTTCCCATGATACTTCCAGGACTCTGAGCACATTCTATGCTGAATCCTCTGCTGCTGCAGGGTCCAGGCCTCCCTGAATGAGGTAAGGTAGAGACTGATCAAGAGGCAACCTAAGTCCAAATGGCTCTGCCATTTGCTGTGTGAGGACCCATCTTGGCATGGAGCAGTTGACAGGCCTGGGCTTGCCTGTGAGTGGAAACTCAGCACTGGCCTCCTTTGCAGATTCCCTGCTGGCTTCCAGGGATCAGAAATCAAATGATGGCCAGTCTCCTACAGGGGAGCAGAAGGCCAGCCCCTGAGAAGGGCAATAGAGCCCTGCACACAGGGCCCTTCTGGAAGCAATCTGTCCTCACTGACCTTGAGGCCTATCTTTCATTACTTCTTTTTTGGGGTACACTGTGTTTGTTTTTAGTAGATTCTCAGGGCTTGCACAACCATCAGCACAATCACCTTGAGGACATTTCGTTACTCACACATTAGTATCCATTAGCACTCACTCCCCACCCCCCTCCTGCTCAGTGTCTGTGGTCACCTGCTCTAGACATTTCACTTAGGTGGAATCAAATAATTGGTGACCTTTGGGTCTGGGTCTTTCCCTGAGCTCTGTGTTATCATATTTGATGCTTGCTATCTCTTATGTCTGGCTTATATTTCTTTTCATGTCCAAATAATATTGCATTAGTGTTTACACACTTTGCACACCCATTGATTGATTGATAGCCTTCCATCATTTGCCTCTTGTAGATGGAGCTGTTATAACTTGCGTTTTTGCATGGTCCTGTGTTCTGGTTTCTTTTGCGTGTGTACCTCAGCATGGAATCACTGGGTCACAGGTAGTATGGTCTAATGACTTGAGGTGTTGCACACAATGTCCCCGGTGGCTGCACCCCATCACATTCCTCCCGTGAGGTCTTGACCACCTCATGACATTGCCTGAACTCAGCTACCCTGGAGGGTGCTGCCCGGCAAGATGACTAAAGCTGTCAACCATATTTTCAGGGATACATCAGCCATTTGCATGTCTTCTTTGGAGAAATGTCTATTTAGAGCCTTTGCTCATTTAAAAAAACATTTTATTAGTACACATTTGCCATATATAATGATCACATTCATCATAGGGAATTTGTACCTGTACAAAATATGTCTTAATTCTTCTTTTCCCCCCATTTCCCTCCCTTCCTTTCTTTCTTCCCTTTCACGAAACTTTATTTCCATCTTTTCCCTCCATTCTTTTTTATCCCTTTCCTTTCTTCATTTCCCCCTCTGCTCCCTTGTTCTCCTTTCCATTTGAATGTGGTCTTCCTATTTCTCAGTATTTATCCTGAACTTTACTCTTTATTTACCCTTTGGATTCCTCACACAAGAGAAACAATGTTCGGACTTGCGTGTCTGATTTATTTTTACATAACATTACGATCTCAAGATACACCACTTTAACTAAAAATAACTCAATTTTCTCATTCTTTATGGCAAAGTACTACTCCATTGTACATACATACCACACTCTCTTTATTCATTCATCCATCAATGAGCATAGGGGTGGTTTCCAAGATACAGCTATTATAAATTGTGGTTCTATAAGCATGGGTGTGCATATGTCACTGTGGTGTGATGCTTTTTGCTCTTTAGGGAAGATACCTAGAAGGGGCATAGCTGGGTCGAAAGGAACCCCTATTTTGAATTTTGGGGGGAATCTCCATTTTGAGTCCCATGGTGGTTGTACCAGTCCAACCAATAGTGCAAAAGTGTTCCTTTTTCCCAGCATCCCCACCAGCATTTGTTGTTGGTTGATTTCTTGATAACTGCCATTCTTTCTGGAGCAAGATGGAATCTGTGTTAATTCCCATTTTCAAATGACCAGTGATATTGGACATTTTCATATATATGTTTGCTATTGGTACTTCATCTGAGAAGTGTCTATTTGTTTCATATGCCCATTTTTTGACTGAGTCTTTAACTTTGGTTATGTAACTACTTTATATGTGCTGCGTGTCAGTCCTTTGTCTGAGGAGTAGCTGGTAAAAACGTTTTCTCCTTCCGTGGGTTGCCTTGTCATTCTTTTCCTGTGCACAAGCTTTTAAATTGGATATGATCCCAGTTGTTGATTCTTCATAGCAATTCCTCTATGATTGAGTCTTTGTTCGTAAAGTCTTTGCCTCTACCTATGTCTCTGAGACTGTTATCTATTCTGAAACAGATTCAGTGTTTCTGTTTCAATATTTAGATCTTTGATCATATTTCAATTTTAGTTTAGTGAATGGTGAGACATATGAGTCTAGTTTTAATCTTTGGTATGTGGAAAGCTAGTTTTCCCAGCACTATTTGTTAAAGAGGTTATCTTTCTTCCAGTGAAAGTATTTAGCCCCTTTTACAAAGGTAGGGTAGCAGAATGTGCTTGGAATTATTTCTGCATCTTCTGGTCTACTGATCCTTGAGTCTATTCCTTTGCCAGTACCATGCTGTTTTTATCATGGTAGTTTTGTGGTATAACTTCAAATTGGAGATTGTGATACCCTTGCGTTGTCCTTGCTGCCTCAAATTCCTGTTCTATTTCTTTTCTGGTTCCATATGAATTTTACAATAGCTTTCTATCATTCAGTGAGGTATGTTATTGGTATTTTGATTGGTATTGCATTAAATTTAGGTTTTTTTTCTTTTTTTACATTTTTTATTTTTTTATCGGTACCAAGGATTGAACTCACAACCATGTGCTTGCAAGGCAGGTACTTATGCCGCTGAGCTAAATCCCCAGCTAAATTTAGTTTTGGAAGTATGGCCATTTTCACTATATTGGTTCTGGCCATCCTAAAACAGATGATGTCTTTCCACTTTCTGATATCCTCTTCCATCTCCTTTTCTTTCAGAGTACTGTAGTTTTCAATGTACAGAACTTTCACTTTCTTCATTAGGTTGATGCCTAAGTATTTCATTTTTTGGATGCTATTGTGAAAGGTGTGGTTCCTGTCTCAGTGAGTCTGCTACTTCTGTACATGAGTGCTATTTTACTATGCTACCAAATTTGGTTATTAATTCTAAGAGTCTTTTGGTGGCGTTTTTAAGGTCTTCTATAATAGAGTATTATGTTATCAGCAGATAATGATAACTAACTCTTTTCTTTCCTTTTATTTCTCTCTCATCTAATTGCTCTGACTAGTACTTCCAGAACTACATTGAACAAGATGGTGGAAGCAGGTGTCTTATTCCTGATTTTAGAGTGAAAACTTTCAGTTTTGATAATTTACTTTCGATGTTAGCTATTATCAGATTAAGACCTTTATCCCAATTTAATGTAGATTTTTTTATCATAGATAGGTGTTGGAGTTTGTCAAATGCTTTTTCTGGGTCTATTGAGATGATCATGTGTCCTTGGTTCTGTTAATGTAGTGTATTACATTTATTGATTTGCATACATTGAACCATCCTTGCATCCCTGAGATTAAATCCTACTTGATCATGTTATACAATCTTCTTGATGATTTGCTGCATTCTGCTTGCCAGTGTCTAATTGAGGATTTTTGCATCTATGTTCATTAAAGGGATTGGCCTGGAGCAATTTTTTGGCTGGATCCTTTTCTGGCTTTAGTAACAGGGTAATATTTTCTTCCAGGAATGACATTGGGAGTGTTGCTTCCCTTTCAGTTTCATCAGAGTTTGAGTAATTGGAACATTGGATCTTCTTTAAATTTATTGTAGAACTTATCAGTGAATCTGAATTCTTTGTTGATATCTTTTATTACTTTTTTAATTTTGTTGACTGATGTTATTTAGAATTTTTATATCTTCTTGGTTCAGCTTGGTTATTCATATGTATCTAGGAATCTGTCCATTTACTCTGCATTTTCCATCTTATTAGAGTAAAGCTCTCAAAGCAGGTACTAATGATCTTTTAGATTCTTCAGAATCCATTGAAATTTCTCCCTTTTACTACTGATTATTGTATGGATTTGGGTCTTTCCTTTTTTTCATATAGTTGGCTAAAGTTTTGTCTATTTTATTTAATCTTTCAAAGAACAAACTATTTGATTCATTGATTTTTGTATTGTTTTCTTAGTCACAACTTTTGCATTAATTTCTGCTCTAACCTTTATTATTTCCTTCCTCATATGAGCTTTCGATTTAGCCACTTAACAATTAACTCCTATCACATTTGTTTATGTACTGACTATACAAACCACCACTTGGGCATATGTCATTTCAACCAGTAGATTCTTGTATTGTTTAAGTTTGATAAAATTACCATTTTTATATTTCCTTTATGTTAATTTATAAATAATGAAAATAAATATGTAATTTTTGATCATCATATATTTAAATAATTGGACTTAACTTACTCTCTTTTTTTTTAGAAATTTGAGGTTTCATATTAAGCTATATATTTGCGCTCACCCTGTTCTTCTGATGTGGGAATTCACTACTATCAGTTTCCCTTAATTGCATCATATAAATTCCAGTATGCCACAGCAGCATTATTGTTCAATTGTAGAAACTATCTAATTTTTCTTTAATTTCATCTGTAACTCATTAGACGTTTAGGAGGGTGTTAATTCCATGTGCTTATGTAGTTTTTATGGTTTCTTTTGCCATTGATTTCCAGTTTCATTGCACTATGTTCTGATAACATGTAGGGGATAATTTCAGTTCCTTTGCATTTACTAAAGCATATTCTATGAAAATATAGTATAGTATGTGATATATTTTGAAGAAAGTTCCATTTACTGCTGAGAATGATGTGTATTCTATTGTTATGGGGTGGAATGCTCTGTAGATACCAGGATTCAGTCCATTTGTTCATAGATTGGTTTAGCTTTGATATTTCTTTGTGATTTTTTTTTGTCTAATTGATCTGTCTACTTGAGACAGTGAAGTATGGAGATCCTGCATTCCAATTGTATTACTGTTTATGTGATTTTCATATCCATCAGTGTTTATTTTACATAGTTGGGTACACTGACATTTGGCCCATATATATTTATGACTGTTGCCTCTTCCTTTTTTATTGTTCTCTTAACAAATACGTAGCAACATTTGCCTCTTCTGATCAATCTTGGTTTGATTCCTACTTTGTCTAAAAATAGACTATCTACCCCTGCTTTTTTCCAAGTTCTTGTTACATGGAGTATTGCTTTCCATTATGAACTTCTTTTTGAGTTAAATGTGTTTCTTGTGTGCAGCATATTTTGGATCTTGTTTCTTGATCTATTCTGCCAGTCCATTTCTTTTGATTGGTGAATAGAGACCATTCACATTTATGGCTATAACTCATATGTATGGATTTATCCTTGTCGTATTATTTTCCTCTTGTTGGTTTTCTTTGCTTCCTCTTTGTTTAATTTCTACCTTGCCTGATGAACTCATTCTATCAGGAGTTGTGAAATTATTGTCTTTTTCTAGACTATTGTTCACAACATTTTAGAGTGCTGGCTTTGTGATCATGAATTTCTTGAGGTGTGTTTATTATGGAAGCATCTTATTTCTCCATCAGTTTTGAAAGATAACTTTGTGGATATATGCATCTGTATTGGGAGTTGTTTTCTTTTAAGATTTAAAATAATTCTTTTAAGATTTAAAATATTTTACCCCATACTTTCTTTGACTTAAGAGTTTGTGTTGAGACCTCTGCTGTGATTCTAATGGGTTTCTCTTTATAAGTGATGTTTCTTTCTCTAACAGCTTTTAATATTCTGTTCTTGTATTGAAATTCTGGAATCTGGACTATTGCATGCCTTGTAGGGTTTTTTTTTTTCTGATCATGCCTATTTGGGGTTCTATATGTCTGACTAATTTTTTCCATACTTGGAAAGTTTTCTGCTATTCTGTGAACAAGTTTTTTATGTCCTTTCTTTAGCTTCTGATTTTTCATTGACTTCAATTAATTATATATTATTCTTTTTATATCACCTAACAGTTGTTGGATTGATCTTTGTGATTCCTTGCTTTTTTTACTTTACTTTTTAAAAATATTTTTAATTTTAAAGTGAATAAAATGAAACAAAAAAGAACAAAGCAAATCAGAACAGAATAATGCAAGTAACACAGGACTTCTAAACAAGACAATAGGAAATCAATAGTGGCTACCATAATGTCTCTTGTTTTCTTCAAAATAGTTGTCCACACCTTCAAATACAATAAATTCAAACAGAAAAAAATAGTATAAAATCAATCAAAACAAAAGGATAAAACATTACAGGACTTCAAAACAAGACAATAGGAAATCAATGGCTACCATAGTCCTTGCTATTTTTAAAAGCCATTAATGTGATAATCATGAACCACAAATCTTTCTTCTAGGTCTAGTATTCTGTCTTCACATTGGTTGATTCTATTGTGTATACTTCAGTAGAATTTTAATCTCTTGGATATCTGTTTTTGAATCCATTTTATGACATTCAGTTCTTTTCTATGCTGGAAATTCATGGTGTCTGTCATCTTCCTAAATTTCTCTATTTTTTAAATCTGTTTCTACTCGTTTCACTAACCATTTTCTTCATTATTGTCATCATACCTTTAATTAGGTGTGCAATTATTTCTGCTTTGATTTTTGTCAAAAGAGTTATTCATCTGCTTTGTTACTGCCACTATTACCATTCAGAATGTTCAGCTGGATGGCTTTCAGTTTCTTCTCAGTGCCCCTGGATTTGCCTTGTGTGATGAGTTAGGGGTGTTGGGTTACATTGCTTGCATGTTTTTTCTTTCACTCTCCTTTTGGTTTATTTTGTTTATTTGTTTTCTGGGGCTTGTAAATTGCTTATGTTACATAGCTTTGTAACTAATATCAAGACCTCTTAAGAAAATGACTATTTTTCAGAGATATCTTCTAGGTGTATCTGGCTTTTGGTTTTTATCCCAGGATCCTGCCTCTTCTGTTTATTAGGAATGAAAGATTGCAATCTGTTTAGCCTAGCACCCAGGTCTTTGGTACTGGACTGTAGTATTATGACCCCTATGCACTGTATGTATTGGCATATAAGGAAGATCAATTGATCACAACAACTATGTCACTTACAGTAAAATGGTACAACCAATAATAACAATAGCATAAACACAAACTGAAAAATGACAAATTGTGATGACTATTAATTTTCCACTTTTAACTGAGGTACAACACTTATAGTAAATAATAAAATCTAAGACAGATAAAGAATTACATATAGTAAACATTCACTCAGTGGAGCAATTTACCCTATGGGGAGAAAATTTAAAAATAGAAGAGGAAAAATAAAGAAATGAAAGAAGAAAAGGAGATTAGAAACAAGGCTGGAGAACAAAGGAAGATCATTCAAGCCTCAGCAAACTGCTGAAGAAGACAAAAGGGAAGGAAATATGCAGAAAATAAAAACAAAACTAAAAATAGTGTTTGCACCAAAAAACTAAAAGAAGAAATCCTCCCAAAAGTCAAATGAGCAAAACAATTTTAAGAGTGATAGCAGAGAACAATAAAATAAAAATTTCTCTGTGATTTCAGACCTGTGGTTATCTTCTAGGTTCTACAGTTTTGTGGCAGAGTCCAAAGGTTTGATTCTCCTCTTGTTGTTAGACAATGGAGACAGTCAGTTCTCAGATCCATGCTGGATAATCCTAGCAAGCTAGCAGCAAGATTAGGGCAGTATGCTTGGAACTTTTAAATTCTCTGAAATTCAGGCTGAACAAGGCCTCTGATTGTAGGGGTGGGGCCTGAGTCTTTTGGGTTGTAACACACTCAGTGTCTCTTGACAGCCTGATCACAGCTTCCTGATCATTGATATCTCTCATGGATGGCCCTCACCCAGTCACTGTAACACTAGGATCCCTGAGAGGAAGCCATCCTGCAACTGCTTTAAGTCCACAGGTTCAACTGGCACTTCCCTAGAATGGTGTCTGACCAGGCACCCTCTCCAGGGCATATGGCAGATTCTTGGACTGGAGTCACTCACCAGCTGTTATAGTGCACAGCGTCCCCTGGTGCACTTCTTCCTGAAGGCCTCTGAGGTCATCCACTCTCACTGTGTCTCTGCAAATTTGATCTTCCTTTCACAAGCTAGGCGCCAGAGAAAAAGCACAGATTGCCCTTTTTTTTTTTTTTTTTTCTGCATTGTGCTCTGACTCCTGAATTTCTCTATAGGCTCCAGGTTTCCCTTCAAGAGCCTGCTTGGGTCCCAGGGACCCACCTCCCTCCTTCTCTTCTCCAAGTTGTCATTTTCCAGTGTCTAGACTCCAAATCTTAGAGAGGCTGATTTATTGCTGCTTACTGCTTCACTGTCTTTCCTTGGCTCACTTTTAAAACTCAGTTATTTGTCTGTATATCATTGAGCTGTAACAGTTCTCTAGGTATCCTGGATGATATACCAAGTGCAGTGTCTCAGCCTAAGAAGAGGCCTGGGAGGGAAGGTAGTATGCAAAGGAGCCAGTGCCCAGGCTCAGAAGCAGCCTCAGTTGTGCAGCTGTCATGGGCTGACTGTGCACTATACCAGGACTAGGGCTGTGTCTTCCTTGTCCTTTTTCCCTTGGGAAACAGGTCTAATTCCCACACCATCCAGGGACCCACATATACAAGGCTACATTGTTAGAATCTAGCACTGTGTCCTCTGTGGTACAAGGGACTCTGTGGGAGGGTGTGTGTGTGCAGAAACAGGGACTGTGGGCATCAGAGGAGCCAAGGGCTGGAGGACTTCCTACCACACCTTTGTTTACAGCTGGAGACCTCAGAAAGCCGTAATGGAAAACCAGTTTCCTTAGAGGTGTTTTCCAGCATGACTGTGAGGCATCAAGGCCTGGCAGAATGTTTCATACTATAGATCACTTCTTCAGGACAAAACCTTTATCACGCTTTTCTGTCTTGTCCCAAAGAAACCAGAAAGTGAGTGGCAAAAGATTGACTACATCATGGAGTTCGGTGAATGGTTATATCACAAGCAGTTTCCTCTTGATGATGTATTCTCCCAGCTAACATGGGCAACTGAGATCCTGCTGGCCATGAAACCCTCGGGAGATGTCCCCAAGCCAGAATCTGCATCAGAAGGTAAGGATGTCCTTCCTGCCCCCGAATCTTTTACTTTGCAGAGTGGCCATTGTGGCCACACCTAGTCTGTATTCAAGAAATTTTCTGCTGTAAACAACAGAGCATGGATCCAGTGGCATGCTGAACTGGAGAAGCTCTGTATGAACTTGGGAGGCAGGCCTTGCCCTGCCACCAAAGTGCTCAGATGGGGTCAGAAACCAACTGGGCTCACCAGTATTAAGTTACATTTACAGGTAGGCTCAAATCACCTTAGCCAGGAGGTCTGAGGAGTGACCCTGGCCTAGAGGCCTCCTTCCTTGAGGGCTACAGGAGTAAGGGTTCTGGCACCTCGAATGGAAGAGCATTACACTGGCCAACACAGACCCACTTCAGGATCTCCTTACAAGGCTCCAAACTGATAAGGCCCTGTCCACAGCCACCTGTGAGGAGTGAGAAGGGCCTAATGCAAGGGGAGATTTGCTGGCAAGGAACTCGATGACGATGTATGGAGCCTCACCACCAGGGGACAGAGTGCCCTGTGAGGAGTGTGGACATCCTCAGGGAGTCCCACAGGTCACCCCGCATCACTCAGCCCTGGCAGGGGGGCAAGGGCTGTGGCCTTCAAAGACTTGTAGTGTCTCCTGGGAGTGCTGGACAGTGCTGATCTCATCATGGTTACTGTCCTAATAATCACGGGGCCTGAACCTGCTATCAGAATGAACAGAGGTCCTTCTCAGAGTCCCCCAACCTTCAGGGAAGTGGTAAGGTGTGTGAGTCAAACAGGGAAAGGGGCCTCTGGAGTAGGAGCAGATCCCAGGGCTCTCTGGAGTCAGACTGGAAGCACCTGAGCAGCCCTGTGAAGCGTCTCAGTATGACAGACCTCAGCCTTGACCAGAGAGGCAGAGGTATAGTCTCTCATCAAGACAACAGTTTCAGCCAAAGCCCCAAGATCTGGGCTCCACACACAGGGTGTGATGACACAGGCCTCAGGGCATGCTTCATGGATGCCCTTTGTGGGTGCTGAAGCACCTCTAACCTGTGCTTGCAAAAATCAGATGGAGGAAGGGGCAGGGCCTAGAGACAGCACCAACCCATCTGTGTGCCAGAGAAGCATGTGGACCATCCACTCAGCATCAAGCCCACACATCTAAGCAAATCAGGGCCCAAAACCCAACCCAAACCAGCCCAGTGGAAACCACAGCAGCAGCTCAAGGCTCAATACTTCAACTAGTCCAAGGGCAGGCCACAGGGGTGCAGGACACCAGCTAGGCACGCCGCTCACCAGGCTTGGGACCACCAGCCTCCTGCTTCCCAGAAGGTGGGCTTCTTGATTCTCAGTCCTGGGAGAGATAGAGGAGGAACTGCTCAGATGAGCCCTCTGCGTGAATCATGTCCACTGGAAGACACCATCCCAGCACAAGCAAAGAATATGGGGTGTGACAGGGTCAGGAGGGCATGGCAGGGACAGGGATCTGGGCTAACCTAGACAAAAGAGGGATGACCTGGTGCCCAGGTGGTGAGTCCAGCCTATTCTGAGCCATGGCCAACCCTGTTATACAGGACACTACTCATCTGTTCAGTTACCTGCGGCAGGACCTGTGACCCAGGACATGGACACCTCCTTGGAGCAGTTACAAAACGTGAAACAGTTGGAAACCCTGGCTAGGGCACACATCCTACGTGCCCTGATGATGTCCCCGAGCTCTTCCACCTACAAAGATGACTGTCTTATGGCCTACACTTTTCTCAGGCGCATCTGGCAGGTGAGCCAACCAAGGTGCCAAGCTGCTCAATGGAGGGTGCTGCTGCCCCGCTCTCCCCTTCAGGGACCAGAATCTGTATCACTCACATTTGCTTTATCCTTCAGGAAATAGCAACAATATTTTTAAAGAAATCAGATCCTTTCCTAGTGTTTTCTAAAAATCCCTGAGATGAGCACATACAGTCCTGGATGTCTACTTTCTTCCTGTCTATCTAATTGACCCATCAACATTTCTCCAAACCCTGCCATACTCCGTGTTCTCAGAGGTCCTCAAAAGAATCAAATCACTGTATCCTCCAAATCAGCCCCTTCCACTCCCTAAAACCTGCCCAGCCACCATCCAAAACTGCCTCAGCTCAAGGCTCAAGTCTTCCTGTCCTTCCACAGCCTGGAAACTCTCAAGCTCCCAGAAACTTCCTGTGTCCACTGTCCCACACCCCTGCAGGGCTGCCTTCTGACATCTTCTCCCTAGCTCTCCCTGTGAGACACCTGACAGTCTTTCATCCTTAGGATTCTCCCACAGGCACTTGTCAAAAGTCTCAGGAGCAGTTTCCCTCAGGACAGGCCCATTTTCTTACAGACCCTTGGAGGATGCTGAGGAATAAGGGTGCCCCTCAGCTGTGCGAAGAAATGAGTAGTTCCCCCCATTTCCCCAGTGTTCAGGCCCTGACTCCAAAAAGGCTCCTTCAACTATGCAATTTTCCCCAGAGACCACAACTAAATAATTTACAGAGGGGCCTGTCCTCCTTGAGGACCAGCTATGGCTACCCGTCAGGTGCTCCATCCAGAGCTGCACAGGTTTAGCCCAAGGCCTGCCATGCTCTGCAGCCCCCGTCCATCAAAAGTTCTTAAGGGAAGCCACCATGACCCTGCCCAGGGCTGGCCCCCAAGAAGATATCATAGAGAATCTATGAGGCCCCCATAGAAAATATCGTAAGTTTGGCCATAGGAAACCTCCACACTGAGGACATTGAGCTGTGTCCCCAGTGGGAAAGTGCTCCTGTATCCTAATGTGCTTGTGGGCAAGTGTTCCACAGCCACTGAGTACCAAGCCCCTGTTGGGGTCAGCTCTGCTCCGCAAGGGTGCTTGCCAGCCATGATCAGAGCTGAGTGACACCGTCAGCTCCAGGTACGCCCCTGCAGCCAGGTGTGCAGGGGGTGGGCAGCACCCTGCCCAGCCACCATCCAAAAGTGCCTTGGCTCAAGGCTCAAGTCTTGCTGTCCTTTCACAGCCTGAAAACTCACAGGCTTCCAGAACCTTCCTTTGTCCACCATCCCACACCCTGCAGGGCTGCCTTGGGATCCCTTTTCCCCAAGCTCTTCCCGTGATCTCCAAATGTTTCCATTGTGGATTTCATATTCCCCCCAGGTTTCTTTGGTAACAGGAGGAAAATCAATTGCCGAAAGAATTCTAGCAGCAGCCAGTTCACAACTGTCATTGTTCAAAAAAGAGAAGGAAAAGACTAAAGAAAAGGAGAAAGAAAAAGAAAAAGAGAAGACAAAGGATAAAGATGAAAAGCTGAAGGAAAAGGAAAAAGAGAAGACAAAAGAGAAGGAAAAAGAGAAGACAAAGGAGAAAGATGAAAAGCTGAAGGAAAAGGAGAAAGGGAAAGAGAAAGGAAAAGAGGAAAAGGTAATGGAGAAAGGAAAGAACGTGAAGCAGGTGATGTTGCTTCCTCACAGAGGTGGAAAGCAGGGCCCTGGCTCAGGCTCACGGGCCTTGAGATTTCCTCTGTGATTCTGCTTCCTCTTGTGTAGGATGGAGGGGGGCAGTGATTTCACCCCACATATGATTCTGCAGTAACCCATTCGCATGCCAGGAGTGAGCCCCTTACCACAGCCTTTGCAGAAACATACAACCCTCTGCTGACTCAGGCCTTGGCCTTGGGGTCCTAGGGTCCTGGCTTCCTCACACATGGGAGCCTGTAATGCATCTATGGAATACATTTCATCCTGACGATATTGGCTTTCCCCACTGTCAAGGGTCTAAGAAACATTATCTGCTGGCTTTCAGAGCCAGAAGCTCACTGGACCCTGGGATGAGACACACATACCCAGCACCCAGGTCTGCAGAGCCTGAGTTCTGAGTCCTAAATGCCAAGGGACGTACAGCATGGTTTGCACGTCTTGGAAGTGATATTGAAAGCTGAGTTTGGAGGTGAGATGTAGCTCTGGTGAAGGCATGTATCAGTCAGATACAGGGAAGGCAGCTATGTGAAAAAAGGCTGTGCCACAGGGCTCCAGAGAGAGGGCAGGTGTGTACCACCTGACAGTCACCATCCCCAAGACTGTGCTGGAGGAGGACTGTCCTCATGAGGTCACAGCCTGTCCACTCCACAGCTGGGCCTCTGAGGCCATTTCTGATCTCCGCTTTCTAAAGTAAATCCTCTATTGTCTCCCACAGGCTCAGACCCCAGCATCCACCAAACAGCTTGAAGATTTACCAACCAGTATAGAAGACTGGGCCTCCTACTCTTGCCCTGAGGAACTGTTGTCTGTATTCAAACAAGAGAAAAGTGACTTCACTGTGAATTCTGCCAGTATCCAGAAGCCAGTAAGTGGATCAGAGGAAGCAGTGGAAGTTTACCCTCCTGGCACTTTCTCCTCTATTACAAAAGTAATCAGAAAGAGGACCCATTAACAGGGGTTTCTCTGGTGAATTGTTGAAAGGAGGCAACTGTCTCTCACCTCCAGTTTAGGGAATAGAAACTACTGTTGGCTACCAGTCAAGACATCCTCTGTCCCCAATAACTACCAACATCCATGGGAAACCTTCTGCCACCTACATTCACTACCCAGGCACGCATTCCTAAACCTGGCACCATGTCTGCATTGGGATACTCTTTCTGCTAAACAAGTCCCCACAATGTAAGAGACTAAAGTCACAGAAATCATAGAGCCAATGTTCTCTCACCTCATCTCAGCCTCCATAGCCTTTCTTCTCAGTCTAATTCCCTCTTATGAGGCTCCATGGGTTATACTTTAGGGCACACCTAAAGAGAGTCTCATCTTGATCATATTTCCATAGCCCCTTTTGCCATACAAAGCAAAGCTCCAAGGATTAGGACCCAGTATCTTTGGGGATGGTGGACTTGCCTGATTTGGAACTCTATAGGAATGGAATCATTCAGCATTCTAACTTCTGGTTCAGCTTCTTTCACTCAGTGTAATGTATGTGAAGGCTCACTCATGCTCCTTTGTGACACAATAACTTGCTCCCTTTCATTGCTGGAGAGTATCTGCCACAGCACACAGACCACTACTTGAGTTGGTTCCAATTCATTACTCTCACAGGTGAAGCAGCTATGAGCATCTGTATGCACGTGTCTCAGTGCCCGTGTGTCTGGCAGATACCTACTGATAGGATTTCTGGACCACAGAATGCAGGAATTTCCAATGATTGTGAATATTTACAGATTGCCAAATTGCCTTTCAGTCAGTTACACTGGCTTTCTTTTCCTTCTCTGTGGTGAGTCTTGTTGCCCACATCCTTGCCAGCAGAGTAGCAGTCACCTGCCCAGTGTAAGCCATTCTCTGGGCATGCAGCACCATCTCTCTGTGGCTTCCGTGGACATTCTCTGACTGCGGTTGGGGTTGGACATCTTTCTGGCACTTTCTGACTGGAAATTCACATGCCCTCTTTTGTGAAAGTTTCTGTCCAATGGATCACCTATACTTTCTATCTTTTCCTTCTTGATCAAAGAGTCTATTTTACAAAGAACATTATGACAATCATGTGAATAGCAGGTTAATTTCTGCTTTATGCTTTGCCTTTTCTCCTAATAGTCTTTTTATGAGTAGAGAAGATAGTTGTAACCTAATAAAAGTGATGTCTTCCTTTGTGATTAGTGCTTTCTTATGCCCTTCTTTGGCTTCTTTCTTTCTTTCTTCCTTCCTTCCTTCCTTCCTTTTTTCCTTCCTTCCTTCCTTCCTTCCTTTCTTTTCTTCTTTTGCTTTAAGAAAAGCTATTTTCTTCTCTGAAGGTCACTCAGATATTCTCTCAAAATATTTTCCAGAAGGTGTAAATGCTTTCAACCCTTTATACATAATGTCAGTTTTCTATCTTCTGTCCACTGGAACTTCACTGTCACATGCAGCATAGTCCAGAACCCACCCCACCTCTCAGTCAGCAGCCCTTACAGTGTGTTGAGTGGCAGGGCACCTATGTGACATGTGTTAGCTTCTGAGTCTTGGCCCTATACTTTTTCCCTGCATTATTCACTCTCCAGCTCTTAGAACCAGATTCTTTAAATATTTTATCTAGCTTTTCCAACTTTCCACTTAAGAGTAATCATTTTGACAAGTATACTCCAACATTACAAGAACTTCAGTTCTTCTAGTGTCAAATTTTAAAACAGTTGTATGTGGATATAAAACAAACCTCTACTTTTGGTGGATTCATAGTTTTTAGTGGAAAAATGAAGTAAAAACATGAATTTATTGAATAAATATTTAAGTGGATGTATCTTTTGTGAAGCTATTTGTTTGGTTACTTTTCTTTTGTTGCTGAGACAAACTACGGACACCCAACATCAAGGAAGGAAGGTTTATTTCTTACAGTTTGGAAGTTTCAGTCATATTCAGTTGGCTCCACAGCAACATGACATGGCCAAGGGGCAGTGGTTTATGGCAGCCTGCAAACAACAAGCACCAACTGCAACAGAGAAAGACATGCCTTCTTCCTGCTGCTACACTGTATACTGGCTTCACCCCTAGGCAGGTGTAGTGCTCATGCAACCAATCCAAGTGTTAGACAATAAACCAATCTCAAATGCTAGATTTGGCCTCATCCATGATTGCATGAGGCTTGGAGGGTCACTGACATAAACCATGACACTTTATGCTCAGGTGCTGATGATTCCAGGTCATTGCATGTGACAAAATGCTACTAGTGAGAGAGAAAAAGAAAGTGTGCACACTGAACCTTCATTCCACAACCACTTGCTGAGCAACTATTGTTTGCTAGACACTGTGCTGGCACTAAGCTGGAGGACTAACATTCCTGCCTGCCTGTGATCTTACATGTTTTCTATGTGTTTTTGCAGACATACAGTTTATATTTCCTGGATCATTTGGTGAAGGCTTTGCAGAAGCTGTACCTTCATGAGCTCACCATCCCAGTCCTGCAGCTGGGTGCCCTCATTGCAAACGCTGTAGTAGAAAGCAAGAGCCTCGAAGATCTCTACCACCTTCGGTTAGTATACTCCTTTATGTCCAAGAGAATGTTTAAGTTAGCTACAGTGAAAATACAACCAAAGCACTATAAAAGCAAACAGCACTATAAAATATTAATTTTAGAATTATTTGTGTATGTAATAAATCTTGTAAGATTATAAGTTAGAGAAGTCATAATACTTGCCTTTTTATATTAAAAAGTAGCCTGTTTATATTAAAATTTCTGCCTGTTCCTTCGAGACTACCCTTGCTTTAAGGAAACATGGATTAAGGTATTTCAGGATAAAAGGATGTTTTTTTTATCTTCATTTACCTTCCAGGACTCCAGGAGAAGAGGAAGTACAGCATAGGGGGTAATAAAGAGAATGCGGTGAATGATTCACATTGAGGCTGTGGGTGGGTGATTCGGGGTGTCTGTGTGACTTTCTTATCAAGCTAAAGTCATAACCAAATGAACGTGTTTTAAATAAGACTCAAGGCGCAGCTTTCTGCCTAAAGCCATACCAGATGTGGGAAGAGCTTTATTTTACCTCTAGAGATGACTGAGATTATAAATGATGTAGTAACTAAAATCTATGGATGAATGATTTCAAAAATTTATACCTCAAGTCTGATAGTCATCTGCTATTTTGTTCACTAGTAACTTTGCTTACCTTTTAAAATTATGAAAAACAGCACTGAGGCATATTTCTTCTTTAGGTTATCTATGCTTATAAACTGTACAAAATCTAGTACGAATTGCTTTTCTGGTGGATGGCAGCCTTTGTAACAGCGTTCCTTCTCCTTATTGGGTTTTTCCCAGACTCGCCCAGGTGTGCTCCAATCTGAGGTTGCGAGACGCAGCCACTCACCACGAAGAGGTGGTTGGGACAACATACATTGGGGACATGGAACAAGCCAGGTATGTTCAGTCCCCACACTGGAGGGCAAAGGGGCAGAAGTCACTCCTGCGAGTGTGCTCTTTCCTTCTAGCATGGTACAGTTAAGACTAACGCTTACCCATAGAGAAGGACTGATAAAACAAACTCCAGGGCCTCCAGGTAGCCCCAGGCCATCTGGCACAGTCCTCCCTCAACTGTGTGGGTGCCCTTTCAGCCCTAGGCCCCATGTACTGCAGTTGGACCCTCAGCCCAGTGTCTGGGGGTCCTGCAGGGCAGCAACTGAGGAACCTGAGCACACAGGGCATGATATAGCTAGTTCTTTTCAGCAGCTTTCACTCTGCCTTAAGGGAACTCCTGAGCTGGGTGGGCACTCAGAAGGGATAAATAGGAAGTGTACCAACATGGGGGAAGTGGGTGGCCCTGGGTCCAGTCTAGCTCTCTCCCAGGAGACACTGGGCATGATGATGGCTCTGGATGAAGTATCACATGGGACTCTGGTCCTGGGTCACTCAGATATTCCTGAGGTTTGTGAATAGAAGGCTATTTAACAACAAATCAATTATTATTGTTACTATAGCAATCACTTTCAGATTGAGAGACCTCCTTGGGTATAGTTCTATATTGTGATTATATGAAGTTCTAGTTTGTTACTTTCATAATGTGGTTTCATTTTTTCTATCATGTAAGTAATATGTTTCCTTTTATAGATTTTAGGAAACATAGATAAGGAGGAAATAAATGTCATCACTGGGCCTGTCATCCAACAAGAGCCTGCATTCATGTTTTGATGCATGCTGTTCCAGTCATTTCCACCATTATACAAAAATATGTTCTATTTTTATAAAAATGGAGTTATACCATAAATACTTTTCACTCTGAGGCTGCAGTAATGAATGTCTCTAGGACATTGCTTTTACATTTGTGAGCAAATAATATATTTGTTCAGCCCTCTGTTGGATGTTTGTCAGATGTTAAATCAATGTGAGTGTATCCCCAAGACCAGGTGTCTTCACTGTCCTCAGATATGTTCAGTGCAGCTGCAGTGTGGGTTCAGCTCCCTGTTCCTTCTCATTCACAGTCTGTAAGAACCTGCAACACAGGCATTGCAGGGTGTGAGGATGGGTGAGGTACAGTGATACCTGGAGTGGGGGGTATAGTAGAGCTGGATTCTAAGTGCAGAAGTTCAGGGGAAGTCTGGACAGTTGGAGAAAACAAACCTTGGGATCTGAGAAGGTTCAACACAGAGACCAGAAGTATAGAAGTCCCTAACAGAGGGTACTGTAGAGAGGCTAAGAGATTGAGCAGGCTTGGGCTGGGCCTTGGAAGGTATTGGCCTAATTTTAAAGGACCACTGTAGACATGTGTTGCACTAACTTGGGGCAGCAGGCTAGAGTGGTGTAGCTGGAGAACACAGGGCCTATGACAGCAGTAGCCCACACAGGGCTTCTGTGGTGGCCTTGAGCCTGGAGGGGCTTTGCCTTTCTAGCTGGGTGGCAGGGGGAGAGTGGCGTGTCTGAGGGTATCGAGTCTGAGGTGCATATTAAACTTCTAAGTCAGGATGTTAGATAGCTCCAAAAGGAGAATAAACAGGCTGTAGATGCAAATTCTGGCAATTCCTGGATACTTCTTTAGTTTTTCTAAATACATATGGGCCTTTTATGGCTACTTAATTGGTATTTCTTAGATTACTAATAAAATTGGCTACTTTGATTGTTCAGTTTGTTTTATCTGCTGCATATTGTCTATTTTACCTATAATAGCTTAAGAAAAGAGATTGCACTAAAAAGAGAGAAAAACAAGGAACCCATATTAGAAGACAGCTACCCAGAAAATGAACAAATGGCTCCTGCCCACCCAGCAGAGGTGAAGCCACTCACAGCACAAGACAAGGTAACCCCACTTTGCCATGGCACCGACTCCATAGCAAGATGTGCTGGTGATGTCTGTTCTACAGGACTGCAGGGGAAACCAGCAGAGCAGAATTTATTTGTTAAGTGTTTAATGCATATATTCTGGTATTGGGTTTTATGCTCAAGTGTGCTCCCATTCCTGGGCCTTAGAAGATGAAATGTTTGCATACCACAGATTGCCATGGAACAGGTCAACCAGGAACCTGGAGAGCTAGCAAGAGAAGAAAGGTTCCCTGTGGAGCAGAACATGTCCCTGGGAAGGCCCTCGGGGGCTGGTGTGGCCTCCCAAGGCCCCTGTTGTCTTATCACCAACTGGCTCTCTCCTAGAGAGTGGCAGACTTACCTTCCCAGGTTTGTCCCAAAGAACAGCCTTCCCAACCACCTGTGCTCTTACATCAAGAGCCTAATCCTGCAGGGGGCCAAGCTTTGAGCCCCATTCATGAACCCATCAAAGTCTAAATCTGAAAAGCAATAAGAAAGCACTTGGGCCTTGGAATGTGTGACCTCATCCAACGGGACCAGCGCTTAGTAGGTGACCCAAGTCCAGAAGGCTCAGAGTCAATCATGTACTTTGTGGAGCTACACTGATGACGTCACACTGGTCAAAATATACAGAGGGAGGAGAGTACTGGAACAACACAGGCAGTACCTGTGCTGCAACCAGTGGTGACCTCGGGTGGGAATAATAAGAGAGGCAAGTGTCCAGGAGGCATCGAGTTTGCCAGCAGGCAAAGGCCTGCAAGCTTCCTGAGCTGAGAGAAAGACCCACTTTCACCAAAGCATGTCATACAGGACACAAACATGAACAGTGGCAGTACCATGGTGTTTTACAGATTTTGAAGATAAACGGAGAGACTGGGAAGGGCCTAGATGACACATCCTATCCCCATCTCTGGATGCTCAAGGCAGAGGTACTGCTGGAGATGGACCTGTACCAGCCAGCACGGCTGCTCCTGTCAGAGGCTCACCTGGCTTTCCAGGTGAGAGGCTCCCCAGTTCATCACCTCCAAGGCAGCTTCTTTCCCCTTCACACAGCCAAGACACTTCTGACTAGGAAACAGGCTTGCTCTGTGTCCTTCAATAACACATACACTCAAACATGAGGGCCTCATTCTCCAGCTGCCAGAGAAGCCCTAAGGCCAGACAGAAAGGCCTGGTGCCCAAAGCAGCCCTCAAGTTCTCTGTATCTGCCTCCGTCTCTCTGTCTCTTTGTCTCTGTCTCTCCCCTTCCCCACTCCCTCTATATGTATCTCATTTCTGTCTTTTAGGAGCTCGGTGAGCCTTGTGCAGAATCACAGTGCCTGCTGCTTCTAGCACAGTTGGCCAACAAGGAAAACAACCATGAACAAGCTAAGAAAATGATTGAGAAAGCCCAGAAACTTGGTGGAAATGAGGAGTTTTGGTACCGTTCAACCCTGACTTTGGCAGAAGCAATCTTGGCCACAGAGGATGAGGGAAGAAAGGTGGTAAGGAGTGTGTTTGGTACATCAGATGTGGTGCTCAGTGGGGGTCACAGTGGCTGGGAAGGCCTCCGGTCCTAGCCCCACAGTAACATTGGTGCTGTTTATCTCCAGGTTTGCTGTCTATTTAAAAAACTCATAGTAACCTTCAAAGACCTCCAGAAAGAAAGGCCTAACCGAATACATATACTGGAATTCATCGCCACAGATCTGGAAGCCAGGTAGCATTGTCAGTTCCTGTGAGGGTGGTGGTTACTTTCCTGCCTGCTACCTTGAATGTGGTATTTCACAGCCAGGGAGGTTCAGACATAACAAGACCACAATCCCGTCTCCTGACTCCAGGGTACTGCAGGAATCCCTGTGCACCCTCAGCTTCCTCTAAGAGGCAGACCTACATTCACATGTGCAGCCTGCATGGCACAGACAGGAGGCTGTGGGCCTTGGAACATGGGGTGCTTCCATGGCTTTGCAGGTGCTGGCTCTGGCTCAGTCCCCTCAGCATCTTTCCCATATCTCTGGAGCCTCTGCATCCCACCGGCAGTGTTCCTTGGGTTTGATCATACACAGTTCATCCTTTCAGCCCAAGTATTCTTTTATCTACTTGCTGGTCATTTGACAGTGTGCTTTATAATTTTGCACTGAATCTAATACAGAAAGTTGAGTCTGTTGGTCTCTAACTTCTTAGGATCTTATCTAGGAATATAGCTGTGAACTTCTGGCTTGGGCCAAAGGCTGGAATGAGTTTGATCCAGCATCACTGGGCACATCCTGGAGACAGCAAGTGTTGCCATATTCTGAATCTTTTGATTCTGTGTGGGGACCCTGGCCTGGCTGCCCCTGAAATGTATCTGTCGAGCAGGTGTGTGAGCCTTCAGATCCAAGACATCCAGGGTGCAATTGACGGCGAATTTCCTGAGTGCTTAGTTTTGCTGAAGGAGTTGGACAATCACCTACTGGAAATTGAGGAAAAGCTTATCAACTGTGGCTACAAGGAAAATTGCGTTGATATAAAACTAGAGCGTGCAAAAATAAAGAGGTAAGGACCTTGCCACTGACGTGGTTCGTGGCAGAGGAGCGGCACCATGGTTTGCTGGCCTCAGCAGGATTGACCAGGGCCTTTTGTCCAGGACAGCTGCTGCTTTCTCCAAGTTCTCACAGCTCACAGATCCCTTGTTCCCAGGGCCTGCTCACCCCCTGCAGTCCCTTAGGGTCCCAGGCAATGCCCCCTACTGTCACCTCACCTGTACCCAAACCATACCGGATTATCCTCTTAACACCCTACATGTCCCTCAGGGATCTCCTGGCTGGTCCTGTGGCTGCCTACACCTCCCTTAGGGACACATCTGTAGGCTCCATGAACCCTCGATGCTCCCACCCACCGTACCTTCACAAGATGTCACTCAGACTGTGCAGACACACACACCCCACCACTCCCACAGACTTACGCATGTTCACGTAAGGGTCCCACTCATGTATACTCTGAAACCACCCACACCAGTCCTGTCCTGTTTCCAAGGTACAACCAACCTAATTCTGGCAAAGCCTCACAGGTACCTTCCTGCACTCTACTCAGCCACCTTCCATCTACCCAGTTACCCACATGCCCGTTTACATACAAGCAAATCTAAGTAGGCATTACTGAGCCTTCATGAGGGAGGGCAGACTGACACCTAGGAAGTCCAACCCAAGTCATGTCCAGATGTAGTGCAGTGCCATTTTGGAACTGCAGGAAAGGCAGGAAAATGGGTGGTTAACCAGAAGACTGGTATGGTGTTGCTGGCTCAGATGCCTTTTGGGCACAGATTTCATTTTTCATAGCATAATATCATAGTGTACTTACTGTTATTCTGTTGTTTAATCATTGCTAATATCTTGGGCATATCTTTACATCAAAGTATCTAATTACAAAATGTTGAGTACTAAACATATAGTATAGTTATGTGGAAATTATATATTTGTATATCAGTACTAATGACATATCTTTAACATCTTTGTTCTAAATTCCCTACTTACATCATATAAAGATTATGTGGCAAAGTTGAGAAAGACAAAGAACAAAAGACTGCGTATCGCTTGGAAGAATATGACTTGGTCCAGAAAGCTGTGGCTGAGGAAGAAGAGATATTTCACAGAACCCAAGGGTTACTGTCCTTTCAAGATGTGAGTACGAATGCTGGCTCCTTGACCACATTGCTGTCATCCCCAGTAACTTGTAAATGCTACCATAACTCATGTCCAAAAATGCAGCTGACATCCACTTCCGGCTGCAATGTAATAACAGCAACTAGATTTACTCTCCCATCTGAAACAACCAGAAAACATGGAACAGGGACTTTCAAAACTCTGAACTTCAACAGTGACAGATAGTAACTCCTGAGCTAAGGTTGAAGCTCTTGGTGACTATGGGGAGGGGAACCAAGATAGATTTTTCATTAGGGAATGGAGAGCTAAGAGTCTTGGAAGTAGGAATTAGCTAGAGTTGGGTCAGACCCCAAGAAAGAAAAATGCTGCACAGAGATCTTCAGGGGATGACCCACAATGTCTAGCTTAGGACTAATCAACAGATTCCTGGGAGGACATTGCTCAGGGATTGAGAAGAACCAGCTGAAAGGATAATAGGAAACAGAACTCAGTGCTCACTCAGGGAAGGATCAACACCTGCTCCTCCAACCTTAGCAGGGAACTTCAGTGTTACCCACAAAAAGCTTCTTTAAACACAAAAATATAAATAGGTTAGAAGTAAGAGGATGTATAAGTCCTTCATGCCAGCCCTGGTAAAAAGAAATCTGAAATAGTTATGTGAACATCACACCAGGAGATTTCAGAGCAAACAGGGATACAAAATCTCACATCGTAGCTAGAGTAAAGGATCCAGTAACTAAGAGGACATGGTAATCTAAACATGTATGTGCTTGATAACAGAGTTTTGAAGTAAATGAAGCAAAAGCTGATAAAGATTGCAATAGACAAATCTGTAATTATAGCCAGGGACTTCTATACCCCTCTCTCAATTATTAGTAGAACAAGTAGGAAAAAAAAACAGAAAAAAATTAGAGGACTTGAAAACTGTAAATCAACATGATCTGATAGATATTTATAAAACATTTCATGAAACAACAGCAGAGTAGCATTCATCTATGCACATGAAACTTTTCCAGTACAGACCATAACCTGGACCATGAAACAAATCTCAATAAACTTAGGAGGCCTGAGTCATACAAAGCATACACTACCATCACAATTGAATTAAATTAGAAATTAAAAACAACTGTAGAATAGGTAAATCCATAGGCACAGAAAGGTGAATCATTGCTTGGGGGGAAAAGAGGAAATTCTGAGCAATAACTTAATGGGCTTCCTTTTGGAGTGAAAAAAGTTTTGAATTAGAGAGAGATGATGAATGATTGCAGTTTTGTGAATCTACTAAGTTCCACTGAATTTTTTAAAATTTTATTTTAAAGGGAAAAAATAAAAATTTTAAGACAAGATAATAGGGGAGCAACAATGGTTAATACATTGCATTTTGTTATCTCTAAATTAGCTACTCCGGGTACAAGATATAGGCATTTAATTGACTGGGCAATATTAGCACAAAGTATTCTTTTCAATGAACTAAGAGAAATTAGTAGTATAATTATCTTAACTGTCTTGTATGCATATGTGTATGTGTGTGTATATATATATATATATATATATATATATATATATATATTTTTGCTTTTACCTTCTTTCTCTTCTCCTGTCTCCTATCCCAGTTTCTCTTTCCTTTTGAATAGTTTCTTCATATTTTACAGTATCTGTTGTATGTTTTGGATCTTATTTACTCCTTCAGCTTCTCACACGAGGGAGACAATATGATATTTACACATGTGAGTCTGGTTTATTTCACTAATCAATATGATCTCCAGTTGCATCCATTTACTTATAAAAGACTCAAGTGTATCCTTTTTATGGCTCAGTAGAACTCTACTATATAAAAAGACCACATTTTTTTTATCCATTTCTCAATTGGTGGGCACTTGGATTGTTTCCAAGATTTAGCTATTACAAATTGTGCTGCTATAAACATAGGTGCACATATATCAGTGTGGTATGATGCTTTTAATTCTCCTGGGGAGGTACCCACAAGGGGAATAGCAGGGCCAAATGGGACCTCCAATGCTGGATTCTTGAGGAATCTCTACACTGATTTATTTCAGTGGGTGCACCAATCCCACCAACAGTGCAGAAGGTTCATTTTCCCCACAGCCACTCCAGTATTTGTTATTGGTTGATTTCTCAATAATAGCCATGCTTTCCAGGGATGGATTCTCAGTGTCGTTTTAATTTGCAGCTCTCAAAAGACCAATGATATTTAACATTTTTTGCATATTTATTTGCTGTTCATTTTTCTTCATCTGAGAGTGTATTTTATCTCAGATGTCCATTTTTGGATCGGGCCTTTAAATGTGAGGGCAAGTCTGCTTAATTTTGGGGTTCTGTATATGTTCTTGGTAGTAATCCTTTGTCTGAGGAACAGTGGGCAAACACTGTCCCACACTGTGGGTTGTCTCTTCACTCTGTTGGTGGTTTCTCTTGCTGTATAAAAGTTTTTTAAAAAGATAAGATCCCAGTTGCTGATTCTTTGGTTCCTGGGTGATCAGGGTTTTATTCATAAAGTCTTTGCCTACACCAATGTCTTCAAGAGTACTTCCCTCCTTCTTGTCTTCCTCACACTGCTATATTCCAGTGTCTGGACAGCAACTCCCAGAGAAGCTGCTTCTCTGCTGCTTACTGCTCCGCCATCTTGGTGCTCCTCTAGTGCCACTACATTGTAAGCTTAAAATGGTCAGTTTTGTCTTACATGAATTTTACCTTAATTTTTAAAACCAATATCTATGCATGTGAAAAACCCCAAGTATTTGAGCATACCTTACGCTCAAATAACTATAAGCCACAGAAGATTTCAAAAGCAAAAGTATTTTGAACTAAAGGAGAAAATATCAAAAGAAAAATTTTTAAGAAGTTACCAACTCAGTCTTTAGGGGGAAACTTGTAACCCTGAACACTTGTATATGAAAAGAAAAAAGAATTCCATACTGACTGTGGTAGTGAAAAGAAAAGAAAAAAGATCAGAAATTCAGTGACCTCCTTTAAAAAGTAAAGGAAGAACAAACTAAATCCAAAATAAGTAGAAGAAAAGAAATTAAAGATTAGAAAAGAAATCATCAGTGAAATAGAAAACAGAACATTAAAAAAGGAATTCAACAAAACCAAAACCATCCTTCGAGAAAATCAGTAAATTTATAAGCTTCTAAACAGATTTATTAAATAAAAAAGGTCAGACCTAAATAGCAAAAGTCACAAATGAGTAATGCAACATCTCCAAGGATTCGAAAGATGTGGAAAAGATAGTAAGAGAATGTTTTGAATTTGACAATTCAAAGTAGACAAATTCCTTGAAAGACACAATCTATCAGGAAGACATAACTGGGTAGCTCTACACAAATGAAAGAAATTGAATTTTTAATTGCAAGCATTCTTTCAAAACACACAACAGGTCCAGGTAGCTTTCTGTGAATTCTACCAAATATTTAAGAAAAAAATCATAGCAGTTCTACACAGATTCTTCTAGAATATTGAAAAAGAGAAAATACATTCCATCTTTTCCACGAGACTGGTATAGCCCTGATTCCAAAAAAACCCAAAAACATTAAAAAGAAAAGCAATGAAAAACTACATACTGTACCAGTATTCCTTATGAACATAAGCCCATAAATTCTGAACAAAACTTCAGAAAATTAAATTAACATATATTAAAAAGTAATAAAGTGTGGTTAAGTTGAGCTTATCACAGGAGTCTTATTATTAAAAAAATACACCAATTTGGTTGACCATTTTCTAAATACTAAGAAAAACCACAAGACCATGTCAGTAGATGCACAAAAAGCATTTGACAAAACTCCAACATCTATTCCTGATAAGTTCTCTTAGAAAACAATTAGAAGAGAACTTCTTCACCCTGATGAACAGCATCTATGAGAAAACTAGACCTAGGACCATATTTATTGGTAAAAAACTGAATGCTTCCCTCTTTGAAAAGCACTAAGACAAGGATGTATCTGCCATCTTACCACTTTTATTCAGCCTTGTTTTGGAAGTTCTAGCCAATGCAATAAGGCAAGAAACACAATTTAGAAGGATTTAAGTTCATTGAAAAAGAAAAGTAAAACAGTCTTTGTTCACAGATAACATGGTCATATAGAAAATCATATACAAGTACCAAAAGTAATAACCTTCCTTGTAAGCTAAATTAAAGCTAATATATAAAGTTAATGAATGAGTTTAGTTAGGTTACAGGCTACAATAAGAATACACAAATGTTAATTATGTATTTCCATATAGTAGGAACAGTCAATCTGACACTAAAAATTTAACAACAGTGTCATTTATGACAGCATAAAATGATATTTGACTCCCAAAATATGAGAATTTATACCCTGAAAACTATAAAACATTACTGAACAAATTACTAAATAAATGAAATAATAAATGAAAAGATATGTGACATTTATGCATTAAGAGACTCAATATTTGTTAAGATAGTAGTTCTCAGAGTTTTTCTTTGAGATGGCGGCTTGATAGGTAGCAGGGTAGAGAGCCTCTCTGAGAAAAACAACTCAGATGCTAGAATTTAACAACATGGAGAAGACCAGCTGAAAGGAGAGGGATTCTCACGACCCTGGAAGAAACTGAAGAAAAAGAAAAGGAAAGGAAGGAAGGAAAAACATGGATGAAAGGCTGGAAACAGATGGCCTCACTGGGACCAGTCTGGTGCTGTGCTGGGCATGCCATGGAGTCAGATGATTCACTGTCACACTGAAGCCACAGCCGCTGAAAACGGGAGTTGGTGAGTCCAGGGCCCTTGGTGGGAGGACGCAGTGCAGCATAGAGTGGAGCCAAGGTGGAGAACTGCATTAATTCACGGTGCGTGCTGGATTTTGGGGCCTGCAGCATGTATGGCTGGCTGGAGGACATATTGGAGTTGGGAAGTTCAGGCCTGAACCCAGAACTGCAGTGGCATCAGTCAGCCACCTGTGGCCAAAAGAGGACTGGTGGGATCTGCTAGGAATAGGTCACGCTTCTGGTCATGACCCAATAGCCAGGGATGAAACTGTCCCGAACCTGTGACATCCACACAGCACAGACTAACATACTAAAGGCACTCACTGCTTGACTGGCTCAAAGAAGAGGGACTAGCCTGCATCATCCCTGCATGTACCTCAGATAACAGCAAACTGGAGAAGGCAGCAAGCCCCCAGCCAGCACACTTCAGAAAAACTGTAAGCAATACAGAAAGGGCCTGAGACCTCTACCATATACCTGTCTGAAAGAAACCAGAAACATGACAAGAGAAAGAAACAAGAAAAAACCTCCAGCCACTGACCCAGGGAAAATAAGTCCAGGAGAGGTAAATACAGAAGAGATCCAGGGCAGCAATCATGCAATATCAGCCAAGCATCAGAGGAAATAAAGAAATACTTTCATAACCTCATAGACAAACTTAAAACTGAAATGCTAATTCAAGTGAGGTAAGATATAAAAAGATTAATAAAAGAAATGCTAAGCACCTCTCAAGAAGACACAGATGGAAGAATGGGGGAACCCAGAAAAAGGAGAGAAACCTTTGATGAAGAATATAAACAAAACCTAAAATACATGAAACAGATCCAAAGAGATTACCAGGAAATTAAAAACTCCATTGAAAGCTGGGAAAATTCCTTGACAGAAACTAAAGTTAGACTTTCAAAATTTGAAGATAGATTTGCAATGTATGATTGTGAAAGAAAAGACCTCTTAAAAATAACAAGGAACCAGGAAGTAACAATACAAAGGCTAGAAGACGACAGGATCTATAACTTAAGAATAAAAAATGTGAGCGAAGAAGCAGGAGTAAACACAAATGAATTTAAAAGGCTATTCACAGAAATAATTAAAGAAAAATTCCCAAGCACAGGAAAAAGAAATGATATCCAGATAAATGAGGCATACAGAACTCCAGCCGCCTACAACCAAAACAGATCTACACCCAGACATACAATAATCAAGATCCCAGAAATTCACAAGAACAGAATATTAAAAGCAGTCAGAGAAAAGAAACAGATTACCTATAAAGGAAAATCAATCAAAATCATGACAGACTTCTCAGCACAAACCATCAAATCAAGAAGAGCTTGGAGTGAAGTAGTCCAAGCCTTGAAAGAAAATAACCTCCAACCCAGAATGATGTACCCTGAAAAACTGTCTCTCTTTCTAATGGAAAAACAAGTTGTTTCCATGACAAACAAGAACTGTGGGAGTGGGGGCTGGGGATTTAGCTCAGTGGCATAAGCGCCTGCCTTGCAAGCAGGCAGTTGTGATTTCAATCCCTGGTACCGATAAAAACGAAAAAGACCAAAAAAAAAAAAAAAAAAAAAAGAACTGTGGGAGTTTGTGACCACCAGTCCAACCCTACAAAAAAATACTGAAGGACATTCTAGAGAGAGATAGAAAAAAATACCAGGATTATAGCAACAGTGGCAGAGAGGCCTCAATGAATGGGGCAGACAGTGGAATGAAGGAGAAAAGTGGACAAATAATAGCAGAAAAGTAGCATATCAAGATGAAGCAGAGAAGGTTGGCTATAGTCTCTAATATAGATGGCCTTGATACACTAACAAAAAGAAACAGAGGCAGAGTAGATCAAGAGATAGGATCCATCGAGATGCTCTAAATAGGAAATATACTCAACCTGAAAAAGGGTTAATAAATCAAAAGTCAAAGATGAGAAAACAATGCTCTATGTGGCAAGGAACCAGAGAGAAATAGGGACAGCTCATCCAGCAGCGGCAGATAAGTTGGAAAGTCATGACACTTTTGTGCAGTGGAGAACTACTCAGCTGTAAGGAAGGAAAACCTTGAGGCTTTAGTAGCTAAAGGAATACAGCTCAAGATCAAGCTCAGGAGTAAAAAGGTTCAGCACCACTTAGGTAGATAATGGGTTGCCCCCTAATCTAAAAACTAAAGGAGTTAGTGGGACCCAAAATATACAAAACACCCTGAGAAAGGGAAAGGGGAGGAATTGTCGTAAAAAAGGAAGGCAGAGGACATTGCTAATAGTGTATCAAGATTTAAAAGCTACATTAGTTTTATTGCTCTGTTTAGTTTGACTGCATTCTGTTCCAGTGTGTCTACTCATACTAGATTTGAGGGCACAGATAGCTATCCCAAAAATAGCAGGCTATACTATGGTAACTATCCTTAATTTCCTATTAACTTAAACTAAAGCCCAGTATTACTTACAGATAACTGATCTTATTTGAATCTGGTTTGTTAAACTGCTGTTTTGTCTTGACTGATCTTATTCGAATTTGATATGCTTGATAGTATCAAGTCTAAGAGTAGAGGCAACTACTCTGACGATGACAAGATGCAATAAGATACCCATTCCGGTTTGATTATTAACTGTTTTTGAAGTCCTACAATGTCTCCAATGTTGTGTTTTTATTAAAATTGCTATGTAATGATATATTCAATTATATTATGCCTGATGATGTAGACAATTCTATTGAAAATAACAAGAGACATCATAGTAACTACTTGTCTTAGTTACTTTTTACTCATTGCTGTTGAGAAAGGAAAGGTTTATTTCTTACAGGTTTTGGAGGTTATAGTCCACACTCAGTTGGCTCCAAGGCAGGCAGGCATGGCTGGGCCGTAGTTCATGACGGCTGCAAACAGCAAACAGGAACCAGCAAAAGAGCAAGACACACCTTCTTCCTGCCATTACATCACATCCTGGCTCCACCCCTTTGTGTGTGGAGCAATGACACCGTCAATCCAAGCACTAGACAATGAATGAATAACAAATGCACAATTCAAATGCATGAGGCCTGGGGGACACAGACATAAACCATGACACTACTGTATCACCTAGTATTGTGGTTTTATATGTTTTTCTCGTTTCACGTTTTTCTACAAGTTTGTTTTGCTGCCTTGTTTTGATCTGTTTTTCCCTATAATACAGAAAAGATAGGTATACATGTAGAGATTCACACGTGTAGAATTTCTAAACAGTTTACAGGAACAGATTATATAATGCATGATGTAATGAACAGATACTCTGAAGAAGAGCCACTAAGATACCCAGTGCTAATTCTGTAGCATTATGATATAAAATGTAGCAATACTATTAATCTCTGTTCAAAGTGATATTAGTCTAGTCTCTTATGTTTAATTTCAACATATGTAAAGATGTGGACAGCTATTTCGAAGAGAACGAGAGACATGGCAGCCATTGTTGACCTCCCTATTGTCTGGTCTTGAAGACCTAAAATGCCTTCATCATCCTGTTCTGATTAGTTTAGTACTATATTGTTCAGTATGTATTTATTCACTGTGTATAAAGATGGGGACAACTATTTGGAAGAAAACAAGAGACAATATGATAGACAGTAAAGATCTCCAGTGGTCTTGCTTTGAAATCTGTGTTTCTTAAAATTGTTTCCTTATGATCTGTGTTGTTCTGTTTAATTCTACCCTCTTTAAAATAAAAAAGATATTAGTTCTCCCTGAATTATGTGCAATCCTGATCAAGATGACTCCAAGCTTTGTAGTAGAAACTGACAAAATGATTTTAATGATTTTAAAATTCATATTGGAATTCAAAAGCATAATATAATCAACACAACTTTAGGGGAAAAAAACAAAATTGGAAGTCTAACATTACTTGATTATTTTTTTGGTCTTTCTGAGACAGGTTCTCACTATGCAGTTCAGGTTGGCCTTGAACTCACTTTGTAGTCTAGGCTGGCCTCGAACTCACAGCAATCTCCATGCCTCAGCCTCCCAAATGCTGCGATTACAGGTGCGAGCCACCATGCCAGGTTACAACATGTGATTTTAAGCCCTATTATAAAGCTAAGAAGTCAAGGCAATGTGTTTTTAGTGTAAGAGGAAACAGAAGAATAGTAGATAACAGAATTTTTGCACAGATATATGCAAGATACTTATCAATAAAAGCACAAAACAAGTCTAGTGAAAAAAGAACAATTCTTAACTTCATATTTTCTACTAGATGTAATGATAATAATAATAACAGTGGATTATAGACTTAATTGGAAGATCTAATACTGTAAAATGTCTAGGCAAAGATTTCTTATATATGACACCCAAAGCATGATTCATAAAATGATAACTTGATAAAATGGAATCTTCAAGAGATAAGGATAAAAATATTGGCCACAGAGTAGGAAAAAATATTTGTAAAATATACATGTGCTAATGGCATTATATATATAATACATTCTATAACTCTCAGAAGTTAATTTTAATGATCCAGTGAAAAATGAGCAAATACTTGAACAGACATTTCCTCACCAAAGAAAATATATAAATGATAAACACATGGAAAGACAAACATTAGCCAATTAAGAAATAGAAATTACAACTGACATGAGAAATTATCACACACTTGCAGTACAATTTTGAAAACTAACCACAGTGAGTGTTAGGAAGGGTGTGGAGAGACTAGAATCTTACACATGGTGGGGCAACCATTTGGAGACATTAAAAGCTGAACACAGGCATAAACTATGACCAGGCATTCGACTCCTAGGATGTAGCCCCACAAATGCTGGTAAGTGGAAGTTTAGGGTTAGAGTTAAATCTATGATACATCCATGCAGTGGAATAATACTCAGCTACAAAAATGAACAAATGTACTCACAACAACATGAAAGAATCTGAAAATAATCATGTTGACTGAGATAAACCAGACAAAATATTACTCGTGTGTGGTACTACTTATATAAAGTTGTAGAAAAAGCATACTAATGCATAGCGCCAGGAATAGGTAAGTAGTGGTCTGTGACCAATGGAGGTTCAAGAAGAGATTGGGGGAGGAGTCACAAAGGGACCCTAGAAAGTGGAGGGTACCTTTATTATCACTGTGTTAGTGACGCTTTGGGCAGTATTCATCAAAATGTAACTGTTTTACACAGTAGATATGTGCAATTTATGACATGCCAGTTATGCCGCATCAAAGCCTGTAAAATGTGGCTCGGTCTCTTCAGAAAGCCCCGCGTGCTGACCGCGCACCTGCCTCTCTCAGTTACAGAACGTCAACTCCCCGCTGATGCGCAGGCTGGCCCGTCTCAAACTGGGCCTGGTGGAGACGTGTCTGGACATGCTGCAGCTCATCTGGGAGCAGGCACTAGAGCAGCGGTTGGAGCAGGGGTCCTTGGAAAGGCTGCTGGCCTACTACCTGCACAGCACCAGCGACTACACGGCCATCCAGCTGGTGATTGTCAGGCAGTCTGAGTACATGTCTTCCAATTGGGCCCTCCCCGGGCCAGGCATCCTCTGGTCCGCTCACACTAAGCACACCCCCACTCTGAAGGGAAGTGGGTCAGTGGGGACCCGAGTGCACCCTCCTGCCCTTGTAACTCGTGATGGCTGCAAAGGCAGGAGGAAAAACAGTTTTAAAAACCTAAACTGAATATGGGAAATACCTCTTTTGAAGGAAGCATATTTTTACATTTTAGGTTTTCTTACATGCTCATAAATTAGTTTGACGTAAGTCAGCCAAAGATAGTTCTAAAACTGAAATTGGTTTGTCACCGAGCTCCAAGTTAAGAAGGTTGTATAAGCAGCCTTCTGTGCCCTAACCCTGGGAGACCCCTACTACACCAAGCAGGACCCCACAGGACAGAGGTATTTGTCAAGTGCATTGGGGGGCGGGCTCGTGGGCTTCCCGAGCTTCCCCAGGGAATGGTCGGCTGCCCGGTGGGTCAGTGGCAAGTGTGTCTCTTTGTCTTCCTGAAGCAATGGCTCACCCTGAAGCGGACGCTGGCGCACACCGCACTGGCGCAGGTGGAGAGTGCGCAGCCACTGTGTGCAGGCTGCGTGGAGATCCGCGCTCGGCTCTTGGGCCTGGCTGGAAGGGCCCTCCACTTGCTGGCCATACAGGTGGACCCCCTGCACCCTTCCTCCCACTGGGAGGAAGGCCTCTTGGTAGGCGCCTAATTCCTACCCACGTCTGCAGTTCAAGCCCCACCCGCCCCTAAAGAGCACAGGTGTTAGATTTGGGACCCTCTGATCTCATGCCAGAAAGGGGATGTGAGAGACTGCTGTCCTCAGTGAGGAAGAGTATGACCCGAGCATCTTCCCTCCTCAGTGGTTCTTGTCTAGCCATACTCGGGATCCTGGGGAGTTTCAGGAAGCCCGGAGCACTGGTCCGGGGTGTGCAGAGCTCTGGGTACTGGTCCATCCTAACATGGGGTGGGGCAGTCCTGCCCACCTTCACTACTGCTCCACCCACCACGCAACCCAAGACCAGTGCAGCCAGGACTCTGAAAATGTGAATGAAACCTTTTCCTTCTCCCCCTACCCAAGGTCCACCCCTTTAAGCACCCCGTCAAGGCGGCCTTACAGGACTAAGTGCTCTCACAAAAGCCACCTGCCCAAGGAGGACCCTGGGAACAACCCCAGCAAGCCCTGGAGGTCCCAGGTCTCCTTCCTGAGCACCTGGGCAGCGGCAGCTCCTGAGCTTGGAAGGCATCTGCGCTGAGTGGACAAAACGAGATGTTCCCACAGGCCAGCTCCTTTAGGAAGAGCCCCCCAAAACGAGGCAGCAGACTGCACCCCGCCAGGCTCCTCACCAGTGCAGCTCCCAGCTGGGGCTGTGCAGCCCTTGGGTCAGTCCCTTGTGGCTGCTTGTCCTCTGTCCTCAGGACCCAGATCTATGTCGGGTGCACAGGTGGCTTTGGCCCTTGGTTCAGCCAGTGCTCATGAATGCCTATGTGGATGCTCTGAGGCAGGTATGAGTGGACCACAAAGGAGGCCTCTGCTCACCATCCTCTTAGGAGCCACATGGGATGGTGGAGGGCAAGAGCACTCCAGGAAACACTCAGATTCTGCCCAGGGCTGAGTTCTCCGGCGCACCCCCACCTCTTTTTCTGTTCCATTCCTTGGTTCATAGATGGGTCTTATTGCTGCTATCCATCTTGAAACCAAAGCTTCAGGCTTTCTTGTTGTAGACGGTATCTTTCCTCTAAGTCCTTTAAGTCCTGTTTTGGCCAAGTTTTGACATAGAGGTAGATTAGTATCTTCATTCTCAGCATGAGTTTAAGATTTTCTAAATTCCGTTGTGAATTCTTCCTTAACAAACTGGATGATTTTATTTGGGTTGTCTAATTTCAATGTGCTGTTTACAGGCATCTTCTGTTACTGAGTTCTTGTCTGATTTTACTGTAACTAAAATACAAACTTGGATGATCTTGGTCCTTTGATATTTCTCTTTTTTATCACCCAGTGCTATTTTTGATTAATTTTATTGGTGCATTTGTCTATACATAGTGATAACATTCATCACAGGGAATGTGTGATGCTTCTTGATTCTTCTTTTATTCCCTTCCTCTTGCCTCCCTTCCACCTTTCTTCCCATCCTTATTTACTAAAGCTTCGTCTCCATTTTTCCCTTCTATTTTTTTCCTTTTCCCTCCCTTCCTTTCCCCTCCCCCCCCCCCAGGTTCCCTCCCATTTGAACCTTTTCTTCATGTTTCACAATATTTATTATGCATTTTGGTCCTTATTTACACATTCAGTTTCTCACACCAAAGAAATCATGCAATACTTGAACACGTGTGTATGATTTATTTCACTTAAGTATATGAGAACAACCCACATTCTGGGCCTCCTCCTGTCTCTCTCAGACAGAAGCTATCACTCTTTCAATAAATTCTTCCTACTCCTAAAAAATAAATAGATAAGCAAGCAAACTTTAAAAAAATAATAAAGTTTTAAGGTCCATACATTTACCTACAAATGACTCGTTTATCCTTCTTTACTACAAAGTAGTACTCCATTGTATAAAAAAGCCACATCTTCTTTATCCATTCATCAATTGATGGGCATTTGGGCTGTGTGCAACACTTAGCTATCATAAATTGTGCTGCTATAAATGTGGGTGTGTATATATCACTGTGGAGTGTGTTTTCAATTCTTTTGGGAATATATCAAAAGGGAAACAGCTGGGTCAAATGAAACCTCTACTTTAGGAATCTCTGCACTTAATTCCTTCGGTGGTTGCACCAGCCTACACTCCCACTAACAGTGGAGAAGGACTCCTTTTTCCTCACAGCCCTGCCAACTTTTGTTGTTGGTTGATTTAGCAGCCATTCTTTCTGGAGTAAAATGGAATCTCTGTATTGTTTTTATTTGCATCTCTTAAGTGACCAGCCATGTTGAACATTTTTTTTTTCATATATTTACTTGCCATTTCTATTTCCTCATCTCAGAAGTACCCATTCATTTCAGATGCCCATTTTTGGATTGATTCTTAAATTTGGAAGATCTGATTTTTTTAAGTTCTTTATACATTCTACATTTTAGCCCTTTGTCAGAGGAACAGCTAGCAAAAAGCTTTTCCCACTCCGGATTTTCTCTTCATTCTGTTGGTAGTTCTTTTGCTGTGAAAAGTTTTTAAATTGGATGTGACCACAGTTGTTGATATTTTGTGATATATCCTGTATGATCAGGGTTTTATTCGTAAAGTCTTTACCCACACCAATGTTTTCAAGAGAGCTACTTGTTCTATCTTCTAGTAGATTTAATGTTTCTGCTTGAGTATTTGGATCTTCCATCCATTTTAATTTTAGTGCATGATAAGAGATACAGGTCTAGCTTTGGTCACTGGCATATGGAAAACCAGTTTTTCCAGCACCATTTATTAAAGAGGCTATCTTCCAATGAAACTGTTTGACCCCTTTGTCAATGATAAGGTGGCTGAGTGTGTTTGGAGTTTTTCTGTGTCTTCTAGTCTATTTCATTGATCCTCAAGTCTGTTTTTTGGTTGGTTGGTTTGTTTGTTTTTCATTTTGGGGCATTTTCCACTGCCATGCTGTTTTGAGCACTGTAGCTTTGAAGTATAATTGAAGTCAGGGATTATGATATTCCTTGTTTTGCCTTTTTTGCCCAGAATTGCTTTTGCTATTCTAGGTCTCTTGTGGTTCCAAAAATATTTTAGGATTTTTTTTCTTTAGTTCTGTGAGAGAGACTATTGGTATTTTGATTTTGCATTTAATCTGCATAACAATTTTGAGAGTGTGGCCAGTTTTGAGAATAATGGTTCTGCCTTTCCAAAACCAGTGACTATCTTTCCATTTGCTTATATCCTCTTCATTTTCCTTTCTCAGAATACTGTAGTTTCCAATGTAAACCTATTTTAGGTCCTTCATTAGACTGATTCCTAAGTATTTCTTTCTTTTTTGGTGGGGGGGGATGCTATTGTAAAAGGTATGGTTTTCCTAATTTCTCTCTCGGTGAATTTGTTATTTGTGTACAGAAATGCTATTGATTTTTGAGTGCTGATTTTGTATCCAGCTGCACTGCTGAATTTGATTATCAAATCTAGATGTCTTTTGGTGGAGTTTTTGGAGTCTTCTGGGTAGAATATATGTCATCAGCAAATAATGGTAATTTAACTTCTTTTCCTATCTTTATTCTTTTTATTTCTTTTTCTTTTTTTTTTTTTCTAATTGCTGTGGTTAGTTTTCTGGAACTCCATTGAATAAGACTGTTGATAGAGTGGACACCTTTATCTCGTCTCTGATTTTAGAGTTAAAGTTTTCAGTTTTTGAGTATTTACCATAATATTGGCTGTTGGTTTGTTATAAATGGCTGTTTTCAGATTGAGAAGAAAACCTGTTTCAATTTACTTTGGGGTTTTTATCATGAATGGATTTTGGGCTTTGTCAAATGTGTTTTCTGGGTCTACTGATTTTTGTCCACTTCTGTTAATAGGGTGTGTGTCGTATCTTTACTTGTCTATGTTGAGCCATCTCTGTATCCCTGGGATGAAACCTATTTGGTCATGGTCTATAATCTTTTTGATGACTTGCTGCATTCTGTTTGCCAGTATCTTATTGAGGAATTTTGCATCTATGCTCATTGGAGAGATTGGCCTGGAGCTTTCTTTTTGGCTGAATCCTTCTCTGTCTTTGGTAACAGGGTAATGGTTGCTTCTAGGAATGACCTTGAAAATATTGCTTCCCTTTCAACTTCATTAAAAAGTTTGAGGAGAGATGCAGTTAGACTTTCTATAAGTTTCTTGTAGAATTCATCAGTGAATCCATCAGGATCTGGGTTTTTCTTTGTTGGTAGTTTTTTTTTTTATTACTTCTTCAGTTTCATTGATGAATATTGGTTTATTTAGAATCTTTATATCTTCTTGATTCAGTTTTGATAATTCATGTGTATCTAGGAATCTGTGCACTTCTTCTGTATTTTCCATATTATTAGAATACAGTTTCTTGAAGTAGATATTAATGATCTTCTGGAATTTTGCAGGTTTCATTATGATTTCATCTGTTTCATTCCTAATTGCATGGGTTTGAGTCTTCTCTTTTTTTGATGAGACTGGCTAAGAATTTGTCAATTTTATTTAGTCTTTCAAAGAACCAACTCTTCAGTTCATTCTTTGTGTTGTTTTCTTAGTCTCAATTGAATTAATTTTTGCTCTAATCCTTATAATTTCATCCTTCCTACAAGCTTTGAACGTGATTTGCTCTTCTTTTTCTAGAAGCGTGAGATTCAACATTGGCTTATTTGTTTGATCTTACTCTTTTTCTGATGTGTGAATTTATTTCTGTAAAATTACCCTGTGGGACAGCTTCCATTGTGTCCCACTGATTCTGGTAAGGTGTATGTGCATTATCATGTGTCACTGTAGAAAGTGATTTCTTCTTTAATTTTAATTTTCTTTAATTTTATCTATGATCCATTGGTTGTTCAAGACAGTGTTACTTATTTCCATGTGTTTATGAAGCTTTATGGTTTCTTCTGTCCTTGCTGTAGTGACCTTCTTCGTCTCTCTTGATCAGTCTTGGCTTGAAATCTACTTTGTCCGCAAATAGACTAAATACCAATGTGTTGTACTCTGAGTAACTACCTTAAGGATAACAACACGCACTGTATTAACCATTATTCTCTCTAATAATATTGTTTTTAATTTTTTCTCTTTAAAATAAAAAGAATATTTAACCCTGCTTTTTTTTTTTTTTTTTTTTTTTTCCGGGTTCCTGTTACATAGAGTGTTGTTTTCAGTCCTTTGACTTTTAGGCCATGAATTTCTTTTTGACTTAAGTATGCTGTTTGTATGTGATATAGTTTGGATCTTGTTTCTTCATCCATTTTGCTAATCTGTTTCTTTTGATTGATGAATTGAAACTGGTTATTATTAATGTCTACTAACTTATTCTTTCTTTGTTTTGTTTTGTGTGTGGGGGAGGGGGGCGGGTAACTAGAAATCAAACTCATGACCTCACACTTGCCAGGCAGATGTTGTGCTGCTGAGCTATATCCCAGCTGTACTAATTTATTCTTGTCATTATATTTTCCTACTGTTGGTTTCCTTTCTTTCTCCTCTGTTTAATTACTTGCCTTGCCTGTTAAATTCATTCTTTTGTCATGGAGGTATCTTATTCTCCATCAATTTTCAAAGATAGTTTTGTGATGTAAATCAATCTGGGTTGAAGGTTGTTTTCCTTTAGAGCTTGAAATACTTCACTGCAAACTCTTCTTGACCTGAGAGTTTGTGCTGAGAAGTCAGCTGTGATTCTGATGGGTGATCTGTTTTTTTTCTCTAACAGCTTTTAATATTCTATTCTTGTGTTAAATTTCTGAAATCTTGACTATGATATGCCTGGCTGTAGATTTTTTTGAGCAAGGCTAATTGGAGTTCTATATGCCTCTTATCTGTATGTCAAGTAAAAGCCCAGGTTTTCTGGGATTATCCACCACTACCATAATTCTACTGCTGGCTTTCTGGGATCAATCAAAAAGGATCTGTGCTGATTTACACTGATGGTTCTTCATTCTGTTGGGGTTCATGGAGTTGCAGTCTTTGTTATCTCTTTCTAGAACTCCAATTAGCAATGATCAAAAAAATCTGAGAGGTATATATAGTCAGGATTTCAGAAATTCAACACAAGAACAAAATACTAATACCTATTAGAGAAAATAAACAAATTACTTATAAAGGAAAAAGAATTTGACATACAGATACAAGAAGAGCATTGTGATCCCTCTCTTTGCTCACCCCGTGGCCTCTAATTCTCATTTCAGACCATTGTTGGGTTCTGGGGACCCACTTCCGTCTACTTTCTCTTCCTCATATTGCTATTTTCCAGCATCTGGATTCCAAATATTAGAAAGACTGTTTCTGTGCTGCTCACCATGCTGCCATTTTTCCCGTGGGATTTCTTGTGGTTATAAGAAACCTGGTAGGTTTGTCTTAATATCAGTGGGGTGACATCCTTTGGATGTCAGCTAGGCCTAAGACTCTCAGGCCTTCTGCCATGTGCTGGCTTTTCATCTGCTTGATCCGTTAGCAGCTGAAAGAGTGTCTTAAACTTTCCACTGGAACCATGAAATCTCATGAACCCATGTCTTATTTACTTTTCTTGTTCTTGAGACAAAATACTTGATGCCCAAAGTCAAGGGAGGAAAGGTTCATTTAGCTCACAGTTTGTAGAGGTCCATAATCAGCTGGCTTCAAGGCAGGGACAACAGTTCATGGCAGTGGAAGAGAGCAAAAGCAACAAGGAAAAGAGAGAGGATAAGCCTCTTTCTGTCTCTTATATTGCATGCAGGCTACCTCTCTAGGGTAGGTATAGCACTCACACCCTTAATCCCAGCATTAGCACATGAATCATTCACACACATTGGATTCAGCCACTTTTAAAAAGCCCACCATCCATGATAGCGTGAGGCTTTGGGAGGACATCTAGACACAAATCATAACACCTTAAAAATGTAGAGGCCCCCTGACTCCCGATCTTTAGGGCCCACTGCTTCCTTGTGATGGCCTTCCATCCTCCTTTCCTAGCTTCTATCTTTGTTTCCTAGACAGACTGAAAGCACAGAGGAAGGGATGGGCATTTGACTCACTTTGTGCTAGCCAATGCCAATATGCAGAGAAGGTGTTTCCAAAGGACTGAATGAAAATGACCACAGGGTGCAACTGATTCCAAGATTCACACCTACTTCCTTGGAGCACAACCTCCATAACCAGGCTGCCATGTTTTAATCCTCTCAGACTTTCAGGCCAAGGCTCCTCCAAATCAACTAAAGCAAAACTTAGGCAGGCTTGGGAGGCTCCAGGAGCAGCAAGAGGCTACCCTAGTGTGCAGTGCCCCATTCCTGGCCCTGTCCACACTGACCAAGCAGGAATCCACAGAAGCCTACTGATCACCCTATGTACATCATAGGTGGATACCAAGCTGAGCAGTATCCAGTCTCTGAACCTGGAAGCAGAGGACAAGGTTGTCAAGGCTGCCACCAGAGACCTGCTGAGCTTTAGTGAAGCCCTTGAGGAACACAACAGGAAGGGTGAGAGTCTAAAGGTAAGTACAAGCCTGAGTGACCTCTGACTACACAGCCTGCAGAGCTTGAGCTTTGAATTATTCACAGAAAAAGATGCTGCTGGCCCAGAGGTACCTGGCCCAGGCCTCTGAGGTGTTGCTGCAATGCCTACGTGTCGCCTTGGACAACAGCCTCCTGGACACTGCAGCAGCTGCCAGCCTGGAGATGGTCGAGTGCTTTGGCACCCTGGACCCCATGGCCACCTGCCAGTTTCTGGCACTATCTCAGGTATGGTGCTACTCTGGGCACCTCCTCTCCTCAGTCCCCTGGGGGGAAGGAGGCCCCAAGCACCCACCAGCCAGGCTGCAGCTGGGCCTTCGCTGTGGGAATGCATTCCACAGAGAGATCTGGCTATGGCTACTGGTATTCCCTGAGCCCCAGGCCCCTCCTCCCCACAAGTAGCAGAAGCTACCGGCAGTATGTTTTTACAGCTTATGGGGATTACACAATTGTATGCTGATCCCCAAGTTACTACAGTGGTCAGGTGTGGAGACCCAGCAGTCAAAGGCCAATGCAGCCCTGCTTGTGTGGACCTTGCAGAGACCCAAATGTGTTCCCATGTGATTGCAGGCAGCCAGGAGAAGCACTGCTTCCTGAGGCCATTTGAGCCAGCACCACCTGGCGAGACTTCCTTCCAATCCATCCGCAGTTCACTCTCCCACAGGCCAGCTGTAATCACACCTCACATGACATCTCCCCACCCTCTGTTTCAGAGCTGTTCAGCCGCGGAGATGATGCGGGACATCCTGCTCACAGCCACGGCCAATACCAGTAGCTCACAGCTGGCAGCCCTGCTGCAACTCCAGCACCAGCTCAGGCTTCAGGACAAGACTGCCACCAACCTGCTCACCAGTGTGGAGCAGAGGCTGGCTGCTATCTCCAAGGTGACTGGGCAGGGAGGCCTCTATACTGCTTCTCCTGCTGGGCCCACAGGTTTCCACACTCCTCCATACAGCCTTAAAACAATAGTTTTTAAATCACGCAGGCTCAGATGTGCACCCTGCCCTGTGTTTGCCAGCCGTGCAGCTCTGGGAGCCTCGCTGAGATTCAGTCTCCTCCTGGGCCTTGTGGGACAGTGACAACCCCTGTGGAAGTCGGCTGCGAAGGGCAGGGCCAAAAGAGGCAGCGCTGTGACAGTGCTCCGCCCCAGGAGTCTGGGACACGGAGGTGGCTCCCTTGCCCTCACTAGTTCCGGGAAACATCTGAGGCCCAGGTGTAGTCAGAGACTGTCACCCTGAGAAGCTTTTGCAGAGGGCTGTAGGCAGTCACCCTGCTTCTCTTGTTTGAATTAGAGGATTGATTCTGAGTATTTAAAGAAAAAATGATGAAATTTGATGAATCGTGGGAAACAGGCAGGAGAGCTCTGACACAGCGTCTTTCCCTCATTTCCCTCCTGGCTGCCTCTGGTCCTCTCGGTGGGATACATCTGACTCCTACTCCTTCATTTAGGGCTTTTTTTTTTTTTTTTTTTTGGTACTTGGAGTTGGATCTTCCCATTACTGGGTGGGGGGTGGGGCTATCTTGTGCACAAAAGGGCTCTGGGTAGCATCCTTATCTGCATTCCTTGGATGCCAGAAATGCTCCCACCCCTAGCCTTACCGTGACAACCAAAACTGTCTTCAAACATCTGTAGTAGAAGCAAAGTCACTCTTCTGGGAAGCAGTGCCTTACCTGGAAGGTGGAAACCCAGCCTCCCTCAGCTCTACTCTGGAGGCTGAAGAGGAACAGAGGCCTGAGGTCTGAGGCTGACCCAGGTACCCAGAGCACTGAATTTGCAGGAAAAGCTGATGCCTGCGTCATCCAATGGGAGATGGGAGAGGACACATTGTGGGAATAAGGGGGGCCTCCTAGAAAGCACTTACAGGACAAGCAATGAGTGAAAATCTAGGTGGGCAGTGTACATGGCCCACACAGGGCCATGGGCCAGGTCCCACACTGCTGCATGCGAGCTTGGCACAAGGCAGTGTGCTTGCCCTTATAATAACAGGTACCCCAGTGCACTATAGTGTTGCTTGTAGGGCTGGAACATGAGAGCCATCCCCTCCTCTCTCTTCCTCTATGCATAGACATAGAGTAGTGTTTGGGGAAGGAGGCTGAGGCCGTGATGAGCCAATGCCGACAGCCCCAGTTAGAGCAGGTAGGTGGCACCAGTTGCACAGCAACAAGGAGTACGAAGCTGAAATGAGGCAATGGGAAAGCCAGCTGACTGTCCCTTCTGGTTCCAGGGTTTGGCAGATTCCCAATCAACTGTGAGTGATCAAAATGCAGGTGGCAGGAAGTAAAATGGAACAGGCACCAGAGGTCTCTGTTGTGTCCTCACTTCATGGAGCTCATCTGAAAGCTACTACAAGGCACATGAACCTGGGAGATGCTGAAGACACTGGGACTGAGGCTGCCTCCAAGTCACAAGGGCCCCAGGTAGCATACACACAGTCCACTGGGAATGAAGAGGTGAACAGTCCCGGGAAGGTGTGCAGCAAAGCTCAGAGAGACTGGAGTCCTGAGAGAGCATCCTCAGAGGAGAGGAAGGTCCAGGGAAGAGAGAAGAGTGAGAAAAGGCAACTCTTGAAAGGCTAAAGTCACATTCTTTTGAGTCTTCTAAAGAGTAGACAGTTCATTCTGAACATGTGACAGAAGCTGAGCATTCTGAAATTCCAGCCAACCGTGTGCAGCACAAACACCAAGGAAAATGCCCCAGGTACACAGAGCAAGGAGACCCCAGGGCCCAGAGACAATCCTCCAAGCAACTAGAAAGAACTGCACAGGACCTTGGCCAGGGCAGGGAATGGAGCGACCAGCCTCAAATATTTAAAAATATAGCTCTCTGCAAAATAAAGATGAACACAGACATTTTTAGACAAACAGAAACTGAGGTAATTTATCAACAGGTAATAAAAAAAAAAACTAAAAGGGGACCTCAGGCAGAGGAAAAATAATCCCAGACAGAAATGTGAACAGGCAAGAGTGGATGACAAGATAACAGAGTGCAAAGTGCAGGCCAGTGCAGAACAAAGTGTAAGTAACGTCATGGGTAGAAGAAATAAATAGAATTTAAGGTTCTAAGGCCCTGACTGTACTCAGGAATGGTAAGATTCACAAGTAGCCACTAAGATGATGTAAACTAAGCTAATAAAAGGGAATTTATCTATAATATTTTATGAATCCAAAAGGAGCAAAAGAATATATAAACAGATGGTCTCAGTAGACAGCAGTACAGTAGGAGATATAAACCCAACATATTGGTAGTTACAAGAAAACAATTTAGCTAGATACACCAAGTTGAAAACAAAGATTGTCAGTTACTGTACGCTACTTAAAAAGACCTAGATGTGTTGAGTATAAAAGATGACTATATATGTATATAACATATATATAATCAGGTGAAAGTTAGCAGACATAGCACAAAGCATTACTGCAAGTGGAAAGATACTTCGTAATGATATAGATCAACTCAGCAAGGTATCACACTCCACCCAGTGAAACTGCTTCAAAATGCATAAAACATTGACAAACAAAAGAGGCAGTTCACAAACCCACAGTTCTGGTGCAGAGCTTAAGGCACCGTCTCAATCACCAGGTGATCAAATGGGTGAATGACAACTAATGTGCATAAAGTCTTGGCAGCCTTGGTCTAGCCAACATCCGGAAGATGCTGCCCCGCTGATGCCGGGTCACACGTCCTGCCCAAGTGGGCCAATGTCCACCTAAGCCCACCGGGACCAGGCCACAAGAAGCCTCAAGAAATCCCAAAGGACCAAGATCGCCCTGAGCTTGTTTTCTAGCCACGGTGAAATCAGTAATGGAAGATGCTATAGACAGCACCGTGCCTTCAAATTACAAGCACACTTAGAATCATCGCCAGTTAGTCAAGAAAGACATCGCAAGTGAGTTTTACAAAACATTCAAGCAGAGTTGGAGAATGAATGCACCACACATCAAACTCCTAAGACCTGATCAAAACAGGGTTTAGAGGAAAGATAAACCTGGAATACAGGAGGAAAGCCTGAAAGACAGTGACTTAGGTTTTGTTTTTGAGATGGTAAACATATCGAGATAAAAGAAGGAACAGATAAATATAACAGTATGAGCAATAAAGTTAACACAATTGTGTAAAAGGAGATGTGAGCAAAGCATCAAAAAATAGGCAGTAAAATTAATAAACACTTAGACTTAGTGGGGGGGGAGAAAAAATATAAATTTCCAGTATTACTTTTTAAAAGTTCAGCATCAGTTAAAACAATGGATGGGGATGGTGATGCATGTCTGTAATCTCAGGTCCTGGGGAAGCAGAGACCGAAAGATTGCAAATTTCAGGCCAGCTTGTACAGTATCATGAAACCTTTCTCAGAAAAAAAAAGGCGGGTGTTAACAAAGTCATATGTGACATTTCACTCTGATACACTTGGCAATTTGGACCAAATGGGTAAACTAAAGAAATATAACTATCCAAAGTGATAGAAGAATAGAAAATATTCTGATGGATGAATTAAAAATAGAATTCACACTCAATATGATTGTGGACCTAGACAATCATAAAGAAACTATAAATCATTACAATTGACATACAAAGTAGCAAGTCACTATTGAAGGCTAGATGTTCAACTGCATGCCAGTTACAAACAAATAGAAAATGAAAATTAATTATTTAAATGATTCAGTTTTTGATAACGTCAAAAATTAGGGAAGACTCTAACAAAAGATGTACCACATCTTTGCATTGAAAACCACAAACCTCATCAAGGGAAACTGAAGAACTAAATGAATGGAGGCAAGTCCCACATCTGTGGGCTGAAGGCTTTGTACTGTCAGGTGCCAGCTCTCCTCATGGCCAGAGGGCTACAGAAACAACTGCTCCTCCCTTAACTGCTGCCCTAGCTCTGTCCCCTGAGTCATAAGTCAACATGGATTTCAGCAAAGATGTCCTGATGGATGACAGGTCATGAACATCTGGCAGGTGTTGCCATCTGTGGGTCCCTTGTAGGGATCCTGGAGCCACACCAACTCAGTCCCCGAGATTATGGAGCTCCATCCCTTGTGGGAGCAGGAGACAAAAGCATTAACCATAAAAGGGGGAAAGTGATAAACTGGACTTCATTGAAATTAAGAACTCATCCAAAAGGTACCACTGGGAGTCACAAGACAAGCTGTGGAGTGGGAAAGATGGTCACAGCACACACGACAGATGACAAGTAGGTGTCCTGAGTGTTATGAGGGCAGTATATCCTTAAAGGTAAAAAGACAGACACTTAGAGGTAAAAAGGCAGAGGAAAAAGATGGATTTCACAAAAGATGCATTCGTGCCCAGCAACATTTTTAATGTGTACATTAGTCATCAGGGAAGTGCAAAAGTTAAAACCATGTTCAGATACCAGTAGACACCCACAGAATGGCTAAGATGAAGAAGGACGGATTAGCCTGTGATGACACTTGGCCAAAGTGGAGATTCAGGAGGAACATGGCTTGGAAGATTGCCTACCATGAGTGAGCTTGATCCAGAAATTCCATGAGTGGCCCTGGCCCAAAGAAACACTTACTGCAGTCCCCACAAAGTAATACTAGAAGACAGATCACAGCAGCAAGGAATAAGATGCCAAAAAAAAAAAAAAAGAGGTGTGATGTATTCACACACTGGAATACCTTGCAGCTAACAGCGGGACTGGCCACCACCTGAGCCAACCTGATGGTGTGGCCAATTTCTACAAGGCAAAGAGCTCAAGCTGAGAAGCCACTTCAGCTACAGAAGCCTGTTCACAGCCCCTGAAGACAGGAGTTAGTCTCTTATCTGCCACATGGGTGTGGACGATTGTGAAAATCGATGGAGCACTTCTCGTAGGGGTTTATTGAACTTTGTACTATATATTCTATTTTTATTCTCATTTCAACAAAAAGTTTTTTGAAAAATGATTTCAATTTTGCAAACTTGAAGCTGTGACTTGAAGCCTTGGGTTCTCCTGGGAGAACTGTCCATACAGAGGAGCACGGGCCATCTGCACCCCTCTGACTCCCTCTCTAAACCACCTTTCATGGGTAGTGTGTGTACAGGGTCTGGTGCTACTCAGAACTGTGGGATCACAAGGTCCACAGCAGACAACAGGGTTAAAAGCCTGGGATGCACGGGCTGGAGCCACTGGCTGATGACAACCCAGGGCAGCCTGCAGGTCCAGGGTCATGCTGAGCCCTTCACGTCTGGGGTAGAAAGGGCCCCTTTTGGGGCATCACAGGGCATGGCTATATGTGTACATTTGCGTGTGTCTGCATATGTGGGATGGCGTCTGCATGTGTGGTTTCAGGAGACAGGACAGATAAGGACCAGAAGAAAGATCACTGTGAATTTTTCACCTGTTTTGTTTGGGTGTTGTAAATCCTTTTTCTCACTTAAGTGAATGCACAAGACTCTCTTCTGACTAATCAGTGACTTCCTTGGGCCTCTGCTGCCCCCTTGTGGCAGTCATCAGTCACTCTCTGCAAGACTGAACCATCTGCCCTTGCTGGGCAGGAAAAGCTGCTGGGAACCCATGGAAACAGTCTGAGACCTTGTGTCCTAACAGCCCCCATTACTTTTTGTCAAATGCAGGCCTGGCAGAACCTCTGTGTCACTGAGCAGCATTTCAACATCCTGAATGAGATTCCTCCCACATTCCGGGTCATCTTTCTGCACTACTCACGAGACAGGCAAGTCTTCCTGGCCCTCTCCTAATCCTCCCGGACAAGGCCAGGCAGGGGTGACTGGAGTAGGGGCAGCCCTGTGATCTGCTTTGGATGGGCTTGGATGTTGAGGCCTGCAGTCACCATCGAAGTAAAGCAAAGGGCTGGTCAGCTGGCCCACCTGCCTACAGTGACAGAAGATCCACATCGTGCCAACGGAGAGCCTTGTGTTGCCTGTTCTAATACCCTTCTTGACCAGGTAGTATATGGCTGGTTTCCTGGGGCCCCTGCCTGCCAAGAAAGGCACCTGTGGTGTGTGAGGTTGCAGAATTTGCCTTCTCGGTTTCTCTAAGATCCAAGAGCCTGGAGGTGTATCTTTTCTAGGTCCCCACCTATGACCCTGCACCTGCCAACAGGTCCCAGCTATACGGCGCTGCCCACGAGAGATCTAAATCCCTGCCTGCAGCCAAAGGGAAGGCACTGCAAGCAGGTGAGCTGGCCTGAGAGTGGGGCTGTGAAGGTGCTGTGGGTGGGCTGGGCAAAAAACTAACACGTGTGGGGATCTCCCACTTCCAGACGACCCACCTGGCACCCATCCCTGGTGGGCATGGTTGAACCAGCCCCCCACACAGACCACGGGTGTGGGGGACAGATGAGCCTAGGCTCACTGGAAAAGTGAGGCACCAGTGATTCCCAGGAGCCAATCACACCAGAGCTCTACCTGCATTGTCCTAGGCCCCTGTTTTCTTTTGGCCCTTCTTTTACTGAGCTTTCCAGGCCCAGGAAGAGTCAGCAGCTTCGGATCTGGGGTCAGAGCGCTTGGGCTGTGGAGCATCGCTCTCCCCACACATACACTCTGATAACTCTGCTTCCCCTTACCATTCCCTGTGGTTCAGCTTTCGGCCCCATGGGGCTCACCAGTGTTTCTGTGTCTCTGCAGGCTACTGCAAGGTGATGCGGGTGGCTGTGAGCCCAGCTGCCTTCTCAGATCTGCTGGTCAGGGCCCAGAAGTTCTGGGAGCAGACCCAGGCCCAGGTGTACCGGAAGGACATAACCCCGCGTCCAAGCACTGTAAGACTGGGCCTGCTCCACAGAGAACCAAGACCTCCCATGTGGGGTGGGGTCGTGGACCTTGGCACATACCTCCAGATCAGCTAGGGGGTCAAACACCACATAGGGTGGGGCACGTTCTTTCCTGAATATTTGGGCAGAGTCTGACCGTTAAGTAGGGAGCACAGGTCCAGTCCCCACAGGTGAGACACCCCCTCCCCCATAGTGCAAGCAGAAGAAGTAAGAGGAAGCTAAGAGTGTCAGGGTGGCTTCCAGAGGATGGGCTTGGGGAAACAGCAGCATGCGGGGGGCAGGGACCACTGTGGACCTGCACCACGCTCCCACGTACATCCACTCGGTCTCCTGCACACTTGGCAGAAGAGCAGGAGTTTGGTCCTTCTACCAAGCTGCTTGGGGTCTGACCACAGATTATGGCTTGGTTGGAACAGGACACGGACTTTGTGCCCACTAAAGAGAAAGGCCCCTCCCTGTGGAAACTCAGCAGCCTCTTGGCACCCATGGAGGAGTACCTGAAGCCCATCTTTCCACTCCTCAGCTCCCCGGAAGTCAGGTATGGACCTGCCCTTTGGTTTCTGCTGTATGGAGCCCCACCCCCGATGCCAGTAGGATCTGCATGTTGGAGCGCAGAGAAAAGTCTGGAGCTGTTTTCCAGGAATCTCACAGCACAAAAGGCCCTGATGCTTGATTCTGGAACCTCTACTTTCTCCTCCTCCCCAGGACACACACAGGCAGTGCCTCTAGAGTCTGCTGCAGGCATGAGTGAAGACCCTGGACCACCCCTGAGCTATAGTCCGGGTGTGGCATGGAACTAGCAAGCCCCAGTCCTAGTCCTGACTCCTGGATTTATTTGAGAGCAGAAAAGAGGCAGGAGTGGGGTGGGGCAGGGAGCAGGCTGCACTGGTGGAGCACAGCCTGTCCCGAAGTTGGGCTCTGCTTACAGTTGGAAGTCACCCAGGTCCCAGAAATGAGCTGCAACATCACTGACTGCAGGAATCAGCCCACTGCATGCTTTTTACATTGTGTGCTGCTTTTGTGCTTTTAAAATTGAATACATAGCTGACTTTCAGATCGCAGATACCCACGGTTATGGTTGACACTGCAAAGTCAAAAGGCAAAGAAAAGGAAAGGAAACCATCCATGCCCCCAGGTGAGTGGCCACAGGACACACCCACAGGGCTGCTAACCACTTCATGCCACCCACCACACCCCTACCAGTTTCTGGCATGGGGAGAAGGTGGGCTTGGGAAAGCCGGGGATCAGGAACCAAGACAGTGTCCATGTTAGCCCAGGGCCCTCACAAGATCCGCCTGGACCCACCAAACCAGCCCTCTGAGGTTCCCCAGTGTGCAAGCTGGGTGGGAGGTCCTGAAAAGACCCAAAGACGAGAGTCCAGCAACTCTGCCCTTCCTGGGTCAGTGTCAGTTCTCAGCACAGCAGGAGAACAGTAGTGCTGTGTCCTGAAGGAGGGAAGGCTCTGACGATGCTTCTAGAAAAGATGGCTGTTACTGCTCTGAACTCACCCTGTCATAGGGGAGGCTGTCATAGGGGAGGCCAGCACCCCTCCTCGCCATCTGCTGCGTTTTGTGTCTTGATCGTGCTTTTAGTTCAGGTGCTGTTATTTCTTACTCACTTGGGATGAATGTTAGGGTGTGCTCATAGTATACTAACTAGAAATGTGTCAGGGTTTTCTTTTTCTTCAACTAGTACCTTTGGATTTACAAAGCACTCTTTTAAAGAACAATTTCATCTGTTAAATTTTTATTTACCCGCTTTTCTGTTTTCGACAAAGAATCACTGAGCAGAGAACAAAGGGCATCTTTAAGCATCCCCCACCAGAAAAGAGCGCTGATTTCCAAAGTGTCAAGTGCCTTTGCTCTCCATTCAGCTGCCTACCAGCCAGGAGGCGGAGTATGCCAAGAACCGCCAGTTACAAGTCAATGAGAGCTGAAGCTAGAGGGTCTTGGGAATTACGTACAGTCCACAGTTCAGTCTCCAGTGTGGGAAGGAGGGAAGAAATGCATAGTGATTCAAGTAAACTGCTTTAGTTCATAATTAAAGAAAATCCAATTAAAGCATCTCAATGGCCCACCACTTATTACTAGCCATAGGACTGCAAAAAGAACAGATTCTTACAAAGAAGTCAGAATCCTTGTCCTGGAAGTCACCTGAAGAAGAAACTGAGTCACAAGACCAATGCTGCCCTTCCTTCAAGGATCCCCTGCAGGACCCACCCTTAGGAAAATTCTCAGGAAGAGTGTTGTTCATTCTTTGAAAGGCACTTCCTGCTTAAAGGAGCCATGCCATTGCAGGTCCTGCCTCAAACTCAGACATCTAAAGCAAAGTGTCTTTGATATGTGGGCTAGGGCGAGACCTGGTGCCCTAGGATATAAACTTGACCTAACACCATCAGCTCCAGTGCCCAGCCCAGTGGCCCTTGCATGGCCTCGGGGCTTCGCCTCTCTGCAAGCTGGGCTGAGGTCAGACTCCCCACGTCTGTACACTGGTGGATGACATGGTCAGCCCGGCAGCCCAGGGACCAAGTTAGGACTCTAGGGATGCAGCCCAAGCCTGCGGGCTTTGTCTGTCTTTGGGAGATTATGTCCCTGCCCAGTTGAGCCACTATTGTTGCTATGTCCATAGTTCATCTGAACACTGAGGACAGCGTGATCCTGATTGTGGACAAGCCCCTTCTGAAGCTGCCCCTGGAAGGTCTCTCTGTGTTCCACGAGGGCGCCGTCTCTTCCGTGTCACGAGAATTTTCTCTCCAGATGCTGTGGAATCGCCTCCGTAAAGAAGAGCCGGGTAAGCACCACCTTTAGTTACATCAGTGTTTCATTTTAAAATGGAAATGTCTAAATTACTTTGCAGATAAAAGCATGTCGTTATGCCTTTTAACCCTTGTCAAGAAGAAATGAGTAAATACTGAACATTTTCCTAGGCGGTTACTGGATTGAATATAATTACAGATTATAAACCCTGGGCAGAACATGAGCCACGTGCCCATGTTCTGAGGGGCTCACCCTGCGGTGAAAACCTTCAGCCTTTCTCTCACAGATGTCCCACCGAGATGCTGGTAGCAGACCGTCAGGTTCATAATTAGTCACTTACCAAGCCAGAGAGAAAAAAAGAGAGTGAGACCAGGAATTCCTGACTAGGCCGTCAAGGTAGACAGCCAGTCAGAAACAATCTTACTGTTCCTGAGTGCTGCTGTGGAGATGTGCTAACTTCCCCACTGTGCTCTGGGGATCTGTGCCGCTTTTTGGTGTGTATGTTGCACTTCGATAAGTTCCAAATCAAATTAAAAATAAATAGATTGGAATTTGACTACTCTGGAAGATGAAATTTTCACAAGAACCAAATTAGCTCTTCCGACTTAAACAACTTGAAGCCAGACAGAAAATACCAAAGAGGGCCACCAGACATGCAGGACAATGATCCATCCTTAAGAGAAGGAAACAAATGGCGAGCTCTGCAGATGAGCTACCATACTTCCGGGGAGCTTCCAGGCCCAAGCATAAGGATAAGCAGGAGGAGGCCAGGGCTGCCTCCCTGGGTGAGGAGACACAGCTGAGCAATGGGAAAGCAAAGTGAGCACAGGCGGGAGGGCAGGAGACGCGGGAGGAACACCCACATAGAGAGAGTGCCGCAGGCACCTGCACAGACCCACAGATCAGCTGAGGCCTGAGTGATGCTCCAGGGTGAGGAAGGCACCCAAGGTCAGGGAAAGAGTAAGCAAAAGGCGGGTAAATACTATGGAAGGTTTTTTTTTCCTGGTTTTATAAACTCTTTAAAATATTTCTGAGCAAAAAAAATAACAGTGGGGTATTTTATAACATAAATAAAAAATAACAGAACAAAAGTTAAGAAAGGAAATGGAAAATACTGTGCAAGGTTTTCATACTCTATATAATGTAGTATGTTATTTGAAGGTAGCCCATGATAAAGATACAGACTGTAAACCTCCAAGCAACCATTAACAACAGACAAACAAAGAAGCAAATCTCCTAAGAGTTTGTACCTAACACAAAATACAAAATGGAGTTGTGAATACTCCTTTCATGTTCACTGTCATTAGTCGTTAGAGAAATGACAGTGGTGTCTGACCACACACCATTCAGAATGGCTAAGGTTAAAAAGACTGACCTACCAAGTGATGGGAAAGATACAGAGGAGCCAGGCCTTGGAGCACCACTAAGGGAGTGACACATGGCTGGACCACAATGGGAAATGGTGACTCTAACAGCAAGTACACATCTAGAAGAACTCCTCACCAACATGATGAAAAGACTTCAGACACCCTTATTATTGCAGCACTGTGCGCAACAGCCAGAAAACAGAATCAGCTTAAAATCCTCCTTGGGGAATGAGTGGATTTTTGTAAAGACAGTACATTTAAAAATGGCGTAAAGTCTGATCAAAAAATACAGTGAATGCCTACCAAAAAAATTTTTTTTTAGTTTTACTATGGTAAAAGACGGATTGTAATTAATCTGCCTCAAAATTCTCCCCCTCACTAACATCCCATCATTTTTGCCACTTTCTGAAAAAAATCCTGAAAGTCCTTTCTCATGGGTGTCTTCAGTTGTACTTTCATGGCTACCTGACCCATTCAAAATGTTTACGTTTCATGGTCATTTTGACTTTGAGGAGAAGCCAGAAGTCGTTTGGTAACAGATCCAATGAGTAAAGTAGGTGAGGAATACCATAATGCTTTTATTTGACAGAAATTTCCATAAATGTTTAATCAATGAGTGATCAAAAAACACAATGAAAGTGATTTCCTCAAATTATATACATTGCCATTAATTCCTCTAGGGATACTTCCCTTGTGTCAAGCACACTTATTCCATTATTCTAGGCAATTTGTCTCTTACTATAACATTTTTAAAAGTGTAAATATTCATTGTATTTTTACCACCCCTTATACCATGAGAGAGAGAGAGAGAGAAAAATTGGGCTAGGATTGTAGCTCAGTTAGTTCAATTCTTAACACTGATATTTTTTTCCTAAAAAATAAATTTTTAAGAAAATATTGCCACATGGATGAATCTGCAGGATATTATGGTGAGAGAAATAAGCAGATACCAATAGATACTGCATGATCTCATTCATAAGTTGAATCTTAAAAATTTATCTCAAAAGTTAAGTCTACAGGGTGGTGACTGGGGCTGGGAGCTGGCAGGAGCTGGGAGCTGGCTGTCAGAAACCTTGATTTGAGGATACAGATTTTCAGTTAGGGGAAACAAGTAGGAGAGGTATCTACTGTGGTTAATGATAGGTAAAGTATTTCTGAAAGGTGCTGAGAGCTGGTTTGAAGTGTTTTCACCACAAAGCAGCTGTGAGTGTGCAAGGCACATGTATGTTGGCCTCAGTGAGTTTTTCCACAGCATACATGTGGTTCAGACCAGCCCTGTGTACACAGCAGTTATGTGCAGTTTGTGTTCATCCATTAAAAAAAAGATGAATTGATAAACTTAAAATTTTAAAATCAAATGGATAAATAAAATAGCCAACTATATTAAGTACTGGCAAAAATATGGACTGAATCTATCAAGACCGGAACTCATGTATACTGATGTTAGGAATGCCAGTAGCAGAACCACTGTGGAAAAGTTTGCAAGTTTCTTAGAAAGTTAAACTTAGGCCCAGTGGGTGACCCAGGCTTTCCTTTCCTAGTGTTTACCCAAGAGACAAGGAAGCCCATGTCACACAAAACCCCGAGGCAAATGCTCACAGCGGCTTTTCAAGTAATAGCACAAGCCAGGTGTGATGGCACACGCCTGTAATTCCAGTGCTCAGGAGACTGAGGCAGCAGGCTGGCCACAAGCTCAAGGCCATCCTGGGCTACATAGTGAGTTCAGGGGCAGCTTGAACTATATACAGCAAGACTCTGTCTCAAACAAAAGCAATAAATAAGAAAGTAAATAAATAAATAAATAAAATACATCTGGGAGCCACTGAAATGAAGGGTCCAGAAACTATTTGATGGTCATTTGAGTGACTGGGTGGGACAAAATAAAATGGTATATTTACAAAATGGAATGTTACTCAGCAGTAAAGGATTAAGGGCATAGGCGACAGCACCTGCAGCAACTGGAAGAATCCAACAAGCCAGAAAAAAGAAAATATGTAGTGGATTTAATTTTTGAGGGATACTAGAAAATACATCAGATAAGTAGGCTCCTGGGAGTGCTGGGGAAGAAGAGCGTGGGAGAAGCGACACAAGGATTGAGATGCGTCTCAGAGCTGCATGGAAGTAGATTTCATCCCAATTTAGGAGTCATCAGGCTTCAGCTCCCTCTTCAGGGCTCCCCAAGAATGTGTACTCTGTGAAATGGGAAGAGGCAGAGAGCCCAGACCTGTTCCTCTGTTCTGATGTCCGTGGAGGCCCTGGCCCAGGCAAACCAGAAAGGGGAGAAAGCAGTGGGGCTGGAGAAAATCAGATGGCCATAGCTGTCTGCTCAGAGCTTCAAAAGATCCAATAGGGACTGTTCAGTGTAGAAAGGCTGTGGGTTCCTATGCAGAAGGAACCAGCAGGGATGCGGGCATGGTGAGTGCCTGACAGAGTATGTGAATGTTCATCCAAGAGGGCCTGGGAACCTTTCGAAACTGGTCCTTCTGGTCCTTTTTTAAGGGCCTTTCTAGGCCTTTAACCCTTTGCATTTGAGAAATTATTGCCATTGACTCTACAAAACTTAAAATTAGTTGTTCTCGCTGCTTATTTGAGAAATCCACATAACATAAATAAAATTAACTATTTTCTTTGTTTTGCCATACTAAGGATTAAACCCAGGGCCTTTGCACTGAGTTTTAAAAAAAAAACGGAAGTGGGTGGGGCCAACGTCTCGGTAAATTACTAAACTGTTCAGGTTGGGCTTGAGCTTTTGATCCTCCTGCCCAAACCTCCCAGTGCACTGGGATTACAGGCATGTTCCACCACACCCAGCCTCCAGAATTAATTTTTAAATTGAACAGTGTACTACCATTCAATATAAGTTTTGTAACCACCACCTCTGCTGTGTCACCACTTGCGTGTCTTGTCTTCAACAGAAGGAGGTGTGAAAAAGGAGGGCAAAAGCAAAGATTTCAAAAAGAAAACCCTAGGAAAGAAGGGCATGAAGGTAGGTGAACAGAGGGACCAAGGGGCCTGGGATCCGTAGCGTTTGTGTCTCTGCTAGAGCTGTCAAGGCTGGCAGTGCAGTGTATCAGAGCAGCTAGCCTGGGTCCACCTAGAGGTCAGCACCGCATCTCAACAGTGGGTGGAGGACACCTGATGCTTGTGTCTGTTGCTGTAGAGCTCCACAATCCGGATCATCCCATCAGATTGCATCATTGTTGACTCAGACAGCTTCAAGTGTATCCTCCGTCGGGGACTTCTGACCACTCCCCCCCCCCCACCTCTTGCCTCTGTTTGTCCTTGACCAAGACCCAGTTGTCGTGGATCCATTCGAGGAGGCCCAGGGCACAGGTGAGCGCTTCCTGAGGCCCCTTCACAGCATACACCAAGGCTGTTCATGCCACTGGATCCACTGGCAGCTGTGTGGAAATGAACTCCAGGTGGCCTCCTGTGCCCCTCTTCTGGGGCTCTCAATCTAAATGAGTGTTGGCCATATTTCCATTTTTCTTTTTCTTTTCCTAAGCTCATTTAACCGTCTGTCCACAAAGGCCGGGGTGGGGGAGTGACATCTAACACTGACTCCTTCCCTGGCTGGTGGGTGAGGGGACTCAGTGCCTTCAGCCCCTCACACCAAAACTATGCCTTGTATCCCTCTGGTTCTCCTTGCAGAAGTGCTGACTCCTGTTTCCATAATGCGGGAGATTTTGGAAAGATACCGAGACTCATTCACTGCACGATGGGTGGGGCATCTGGGAAGTCAGCATTTTCCAAGGTTTGGATTCAGTTTTCCAGCAGCCAGTGCCAAGTGCCCAAAGCCAGAAAGCACTTAACGCCAGCCACAGTCCCTTCCCATCCCTACCAGGTCTATCCCATGAAGCCTCAGACATAGCATGGGATGGAAGGTGCTGTGGTTACCCCACTTTACAGATAAGACCAGAGCCCCAGGGTCACATGGTAGGAAGAGTTCAGCAACAGAGCCAGCTGCTAAATGATCCCAGGCTTCCACAGGGCCTGAGCCTCAGTCCAGACACACTGACGAGTAGCCAGTCAAGAATGAGGGCTTCGGGCAGGGGAGACAGGCTGTGCCCTGTCACGGGTCCCTTTGTGTGAGTAGGGATGGAGAGCCATGTGCTGGGGCAGGGTGAACAAGGGAAGGCACCTGCAGGGTGTGTTCAGGGTAGGGTTGCTGAGGGTAGAACATGAAAGGTGGGGACCCCAGTTTGGTCACTGTCTGCTATATCAGAGACACTTGTTGGGGCCTCCAGAATTTTGGCTATCAGAGAAGCCCCCTCTAGTATTTTCTGCAACCATGTAGTGAAATGTGTGTTTATTCCTGGAGAGAAGTTTGTTCCAAGGGAGAACCCATCAGAGAGAGGCCAACTGTGGGCAGTGCGGAAAAAAACCAGGCTGGGTTACAGGGCAGAATTTGGGGTGGCCTGTAGACCCAGGAGACAGCTGTTGTAAGAATGTATCTTGAGGAGGTGCAGCATCTGCTGCCTTTCACCCCTGTGCAGCCAGGCTGAGTGGGAGCAGGTGCTGGGCAGTTGCAAAGGCTTCTTCTTCTATGGGATGGAGAGCTTCCTGTCACATATATTAGTGGAAAGACTGGTTGCCATGAATCTGCATGGTGAGTATCACTTTCTCCATAGCCAGACTTTGCTAGGACCTCAGGGATGCAGCAGAAAGCGCCAAGACATGAGTCACTTTAGGAAGGCACAAATGCCACCTTTGCTTCCTCCTTCTGCTTCTTCCATTTCTCAGCGGTCTCCACTTTGGGGGTTTCTAAACCAGGCAAGTGGGGGTCAGGTGCCAGGATGACTTGGACCACAGCCTCGCTCTTGATGGAGCTCCTGGAAAACTTTTGACAAGTTTAATTTCAAGAGAGATGGTGCATGAAGTAGGAGAAAGCACAGGTGATTGCTGTCCGCACTAGGCCTGTCATATGGCTGGACACTCTGGCTGTGAGAACGCCCTAAAGCCCACCTCAGCAAGGCCACTTGGTGGCTGGGCAGCAGTTCCCTATGCATTTGTAGGGGTTTCTGCAGCTATTTTGGACTCTGGACCCTGTTTCAATGAGCATACCTAGACCAAGTCACCAAACTTTCTGTGCTCAGTACTTCCCCCCACATCGCAGAAACCTCTCTCCCCCAGAAACCTAGGGTGCTTGGTCAACCATCCAATTCCTTTCAAGGACACACTGACTCCAGCCAGCCCCCACCTGTGGGCAGCTCACCCCTCACCCTTCAGTGAGCCTCGTTCCTCTCTTCAAGGAATGCCACAAGCTTCCCAGTGTGGCAGGGCAGTTGACCCTTGCTGGGCAGGAGAGTTACCCCAGGCCTCAGAATGGGCTTTGCCCAACTTTCTGCTGCCTGGTCTGTTGATGTTTAGTGGGTCCCTGAAAAGGAGCTCTTGCATGACAAGTCTGAGCCTTGGGCTGATTTGTCAGTGTTTCCCTGCTCCTCGTGGCCCTCTGATGCACGAGGCAGCAGCTGCTGAGCTGAGCTGAGCCTTGTGGTGTCCTGCAGAGTGCCACATGATGGTCCTGCTAGACTTGATGCGGCCCTGCACGAGCCTGCGTCGGCAGATGGAAACCTCAGACAACAAGAGGTACCTGTGAGCCTAGCAGGGGGTGGAAGGAATGCAGGAACAGGTGGAGGGTGTCTCTAGGCCCCATGAGCAGTGAGGCCCTGGAAGGAGCGCAGAGGGCAGGGCCTGGATCACCAAGGACAGGAGAGGGTGGAGTAGAGGCAGGCCTGGAAGGGGCGGAGCCTGGGTGGGAAAAGGGCAGGACCTGGCTCTTCAAGCCTAGGAAGGGAGCAGGTGCCAGGGTCAGTGAGGACCTCTGAGTGACTGCTATAGCAGGGCAGGAATTTGTGGCTGGCTGGACATTTGGGGTCTCCTGGAGTGGGGTACGGGCTGGGGTGGGAGATAGACGGCCAGCAGCTAGGACCTACCAGATATACTTGGTAGCACTCAAAAATGTTGTTTCTTTTTAAGTTGTACCTTGGTTTGTGGGCAAGGTTATTTTAGAACTGTAGAAGCATCAGTCCAGACAAGCCTTCCAGCAGCTGATCCAGTTTGGGGTACAGCCGGGGGAGGTGCTGCTTACCCCAGGCTCCTTGGTGCCATCCCATGGATACTGGGTCCCCACAGCTTATTGCAGCAGGCCTTGAAGGAGCCCATTGAGACTGCCATCTTGCTGAGCCTGGTAGGGGTCCAGAGCATCGTAGCCAATCAGTGGCCCACACGAACGCAGGACAATGCGCTGCGGGCCAGTGTCCTGTGGGAAAGTGAGTGGGCACTTGCCTGTCCCAAAGTCCTTCCAAGGCCCTCCCCAGAAGCCTTCCCAGGATATCCCCCACCCATTTGAGAGACATTCCTTCCCTAGATCTCTTAGCAGTTGGCAAGCCAATTGGGAAGACAGTGCGTCTCCTTCAGAGGATGGGAAACAACGAAATGGTCAGCCAAGGTAAGGCTCATCCTATCGCCTGCCCTTTAGCACTGTAGTTGTTACCTTGCAGCCACCATCCCATGGCAGCACCTAGGGGCATATGTCATCCTTGCAGCCCTGCAGAGGGTGCCCCTACTTCTGCTGGGGAACCAAGAGATTTGAACTAAAGGCCAAGAGGAGAGAGCTGTCCTTGTCCAGAAGTCAGCACTGTCTAACTAACCTCTTGAGTGACTGCAAGCTAAAATAGAAGGTAGAGAAGGCCAGCCTTCAACCAAGATGGCAGCAATGAAGTCACCTCCGAAAACCTTTAGGGAAAATGTGCTGATCATTAGAGTGCTAGCTCATGCTCTTTGGGAATAAACAGGAAGGCTCAGGTGACACCTGTGCTTCACGCCTCTGCCAAAGATAGGACTCAGGGGATGTGGCCACCTAGGGCAGACAGCCTGCAGTGTGCCAGCTGGCTCAGCCTGGACGTCTCAGGCAATCCCCAGCCAACACAAAATAACCTCTGGGAAAATAAATCCCCAGGCTGAGCTGTGTCCGATTGGAGTCGTAGTGATCAATGTGTGTGATGCTTGCTGGGGTCTCTCCAACTCCCTGACAGCCTCCATCCTCATGGGCCAAAGTCTCTCGCCGGGGCTAGGGATGTGACCTGATAAGACAAAACCCATCCATTTATCCTTCAGAAGACAAAACCCACCCATTTATCCTTTAGAGCAAAGAGAGGCTCAGTGCTAAGGTATCGAAAGAGAAGAGGAGAATAGAATTCACAGATAAATTTTACATATGATAGCAGTATAAAAATTAGATCACACACTTGCTACTGGCACTTAGAACTACATGGGGAATAATCTTTAAGAAAGATTTATCCCAGATGCCTGGAGTATAGTTGCCATGAGTGCGTTGAGTGAGTGGGTAAGTGAATAAATAAGTGAGGAGAGGAATGCATGAATAAGTTAGTAGATGCCAGAAAGGTGGATGAGGGTGGATGATGTTAGTGCTCCTTCATAACAATCGAGAAACACAGCCTAGCGATGGACTCTACCACAATGTCCCGCACTGGCACCTGGAGTAGCCAGCTTGTTACTTTGCAGTGAAGTAGGGGAAAGAGCAGGACCGTGCCACTGCATGACCACCACTGCTTAAGAGTGAGCTACAGGTTTGGGTAAATACAAAAGAAGACGTGAACCTAAAACAACATATGTTGAAAAAAGAAAGGACCAGTGATGCTTGTCCTCGTGGGCTGTCTTGCACAGAGCACCAGCGTGGCTGAGCATGTACAGGAGGCCTAAGGTCAGCCTCCAGATTTTGGAAGAGCCTTCCTAGAGCAGCTCCTTGGCCAGAGAATGGAGGAAGGAGGAGGGCAGGCTACACCTGGCTCTCTGTAGCTGGCAGCTTCTTATTCTGGGTCACACCTCTCTATACTTTTGGTGGCAGTGAGGAAGAGTGGAGATAGTAGGGCCAAGCACAGCTGGATGCTACTTACTAGTTCAAGTCAGCCTTTTGGGAGACTTCAGGTTCCCCTGGGTCGAAGGCATTGCCCCTCCCCTTCATTGCCTGAAAGGGGCTGGACATCCTGGCAGGTCCTAGACATGCTGCCCCAGTGAGCCTTGCAGTTCATAGGCCCCCATCCCATGCTTTACAGATGAGATACTGCAAAATTTGAAGAGCAAGCTGATGTTTTTCCAGCCACAGCCCCGAAGTGAAGAGACCCTCCCCATTGCCCTCAACTTGGTCCTGTATGGATTGCCACACCAAGCCATCGGATGACATCCACCTGGGCTTGATTCTGGACAGCTGCAGGTGTCAGTGTTTTTCTCCAGGGCCACCATCATTGCTCTGCCTCTCTGAACTCCCCCAACTTGCCCCCCACCCCAGGCTCTCCTCTTCATTAGCTCTGGGCACTCCCTAGCCCCTCGCAGAGCCTGGCCTCTATGCCCACTGCACGGTCCTGAAAAGACAGCTGATATCAGGGCGCACCACCTTCTGCTCCTACTTGGCTTCTCAAACAATAAAAACTGTCAGGCCACAAATTTGTTTTTGGTGTGTTTCAGTAAACAAACAAAAATCTGTCATGTGGTCTTTGGGTCCCTAAGCACCTGAGATGAAAGTTCTGGCACTCCAAAGGTCAGTCCCACACTGAGGGACACTTGATCTCCTGCCACTACCCTAGCCACAAACACAAATACCTCCTAGCACTGTCAAAAGGAGATGCTGCCTGTGTGAAAGGGACCTGCCCAGCATTTTCTAGCCTGGGATGGAAGAGGGCTTACACCCAGTTGTGTGACTATCTCCACCATGTACAAGCACAAGCCTCCTCCAGGGAGCTTCCCAGAACAAGGAAGGCTCCTAGCACTGGGTGAACATGCCAGCAAGCAGCTTCAAGAGACACTGTTCTATTGTAGAAACTTGTACATCTCAGCTCGCTGTAGGCTGCCGCTACTAAGCCTCCAGGGAAAGAAATTCATCTTTAGGGGATACTTCTAAATTTTCAAACACATTTCTTCTCACATGACCACGTGGATCAAATGTGGCCATTGATAGGGCTGGTTTTTGAAGTCCTCTTCCAGCCATGGAGCTGTAGGGTTGAACTGTGAATCCTTCTCACCCAGTCATTGGTCCTCTGGCCGGGATAAGGAGAAGGTATAGGATAGTTCCCAAGGGCCAAGCTCTAAGCCATGGTGTGCTCTACCTGCCAGCTCCCTGCTCCTTCCCTCTGCAAAGGGTTAAGGTAGGGTATTATTCCATTTTTGTTGGTAATAGCACAATGTGACAGACTGGCTGAGTTAGAAAGGATGAAGGTTTTTTTTGACTCTTAGTTCCAGAGGCTCAACAGATCATCTCTGGTGATGGCTTTGTGCTAACAGCAAGAATGTGCAAGGCATCTCATAGCAAGAGACAGAGGCCATGTGTGTCTTTTCAGTCTGTGCCCTTCTTATGAAGCCACAAGGGTTGGGAAGGATCCTCCTTGAAGACCTTATCAAGGTCTTTGACCTTGAAGTCACCTCCTAAAGCCCACAATCATCTCCAAATGCCACCCCTCAATACCTCACAGTGGGGATTAAATGTAAGCAGGTGAGCCCTTTAGGAACACTCAGACCATTTCCAGATCACAGCAATGGGGCCATTTCTTCATACTTTGATGGGAAACCAAAAAATGGAGACCCACCAATGGGGTCATGTGAATGCAAAATACCTGCCCCTCATCCTGACCCATTGTGTGTTTGGAGTTATTTGTCACTGCAGTGTCAGTGTCACATGGACAGCATGGGTGAAAAGGCAGCAGAGAGAAGGAAGAGGTCTGCAGGGACCCCACGTGCTGGAAGCATCTGTCCACAGAGCAGCGTGCAGCTCAGTGAACTCTGCTCTGCACTAATGCAAAAAGACAAGCGCCAAGATTCTCTTGAGTCCTAACTTGTGGCCAAAAGTTAGTAAAAAAAAAAAAAAAGCATAAATTAATTAAAATCATACTGAAATATTGATACATATCTATTAAAATAATACGTAAAAAAATAGTAATAGTACATACTGCCAATGAAGACCCAGGCAGACAGTCTCTCACACACCCTTCTGGGAATACGAAGTGGTCCAGCCACTCATGACAAGTTTGACACTTTCTCAAATGACAACCTGCAACTGCCCATCTGGTATTGATCCCAGAGAAACACAAACATGTTGGCACAATGCACGTGCATCAATATTTCTAGCAGCTTTGTTCATAACAGAAGAACACTGGAAACAGCCCAGATGTTCTCCGACAAGAGAGAGAAGAAAACGAGGATGTGTTCATTCACTGTGTCACCACTGTGTTACCTTTCCCCGCCACGTCAAAGTCACCTGCGAGCATTATTTTCTAAAAAGAAAAGATATGTTTTGGCTACGGTGTTGGAGATCTCAGTCTGTGAACAATTTAGTCCCATTGCTGTTGGGCCAGTGGCAGAGCAGCACATCACAGTGGAAGCAGGCAGTGGAGCAAAACTGCTCACTTCATGATCAGGAAGCAAGAAAGAAAGAAAGAGAAAGAAAGAAAGAAAGAAAGAAAGAAAGAAAGAAAGAAAGAAAGAAAGAAAGAAAGAAAGAGAAAGAAAGAAAGAAAGAGAAAGAAAGAAAGAAAGAAAGAAAGAAAGAAAGAAAGAAAGAAAGAAAGAAAAAGAAAGAAAGAAAGAAAAAGAAAGAAAGAGAGAGAGAGAGAAAGAGAATGAGCTTTGGGTCCAGAATCCCACAAACCTCTCTGAGAGAATGCCTCCAGTGACCTAAAGATCTCACACTGGGCTTCACCTCCTAAATGTTCCACCACCTCCTAATAGTGCCACCCTGGGGACCAATCCCTCCTTTATACATGTCCCTTTGGGGAGCATTTCAGATCCAAACTGTAGCAATCATTTAGTAATAAAAACAAATGAACTATTAATACAACAGCCTACATCGACCTCAAGGCTCCCTGCGGGATAATAAAAGCCAATATGGAAAATTATGTATTGTTACAGGGCAGGGACAGGCTGCAGGCAGCCGGAGGGGGTTTATGGTGACCCAGTTTTGTATGTTGATTGTGGTTGTGACACACATCTATACAAGGGATGGATTACTAAGCTGCATGTGTACACACGCATGTGCACACACACAAGCAGCAAAATGAACACCTGTTAAAAGTGACCAAGACAGAATGTGGTCTATAGTATTGCTCCCCAATATCTTCAACCAGTATCAGCTGCCTGACTTTGCTATTTACTATAGCTATGCAAAGTGTCAGCATTGGAAAAGATGGGAGAAGAGCTCACAGTGCTCAGGGGATGCATTCAAAGACACCTACCTCACCCCCACCCATGATACCTAAAATTGCAGATGGTGCTGAACTCTGTGTATACTGGTTTCCACCCTAAGTCCTGTAGTGCTGCCACGTGCCAAGAGATCACTTTGCATATTTCATACCATAACTTCTCTGCCTTACTGTTTTTGCACCTTGGAGCCATTAGTCAGTAAAACAAGGGTCATTTGAACACAAGCACTGTGATACCAGGACAGCTGATCTGATGGCCAAGATGCCTACCAAGGACTGGCAGGCAGGCTGCACATACAACACAGATATGCCAGAAAAGGGGTGATTGCCATCTCTATGGGGTACAATTTAAAATTTGTGAATTTTAGTTCTGGAATCTTCTGTGTAATATTTTTCAACTTTGGTTGACTCTGGGCAACTGAACCCATAGAAAGCGGAACTGCGGATACGGGAACTAGGTACTGTTTTTGCCGCTTCCTGTGACTTTATAATTAATTTTACATAAAATATATTATATGTACTTCTTTGATAATGTTGAAAGTGTCATATGTGGCTCCCCTCATTTTATTTGATTTTTCCTTTTTTTTTTTTCAAATATATAGTCACACTTGTTCTGGTTTAAAAAAAAAAAAAAGAAGCTAACTAATGACCAGGAAATAAATCCAAATCAGAACAGCATTGGAAATATGAGCTTTCTTCTAGAAAGAGTTTGGCACCCACCCAAACAACAAGAATAAAAGCTTCTGGAGATATTTCATCTGCAGCCTCACATTTTTTACCTCGTGCTGTGTCTACTCCTGTGAGAAATATTAAACAGTGAGTGCTGTTCCATGTATCAAAGGCTTTAAAATAACTTTCTGAATTATGTCCTAGCAACATAACAAATCACATTATCAATTAGCTCCCATAGCAGAAGTGGCATCCTGTAATATATTCAAGCATGAAAAAATTGCAAAGGTGAAATTTATGTAACCCTAAAAACTATAAGGAGAAAAGAAATCTCTTGGGATTTATTGGTAATAATGGGAGACAGGAAGTAATTTGAATGGTGGATGGCCCCCGAGAAAGGGCACCCAGCTCGAAGGTTCTGAATGCAGTAAGGATGATGTGGATCAGCAAGGGACTGCCCCAAGAAAGGATCTAGGGTCCCAGAGGATGACTGCCACTGCCTATGTCCAACCTCAGACTCTTGACATCAAGTGACCCACTTGTGCAGGTTACAGGTGACGTAGAGATAGGATCACCTTCAGGGAGGAATTTCTCCCCAGGAAACAAAGCCAAGGCACAAGCCCCAGATAGGCATCAAAGATCCAGGCTAAGATGCACCCTTGACTGCACAAGACCTTGACCATAACCCTCAAGAGCCCATCTCTCCCCTGATGAATTCACACTGCACCAGGCCTTGGCCTCTCATGAGAATCAAGCAGATCCATGCCCAGAGCCAGGGAAGAGCAAGGGCAGAGAGCCCCAGACACCCACCTAGTTCATTCACTTCCTCAAATCACCCCCAGGCCATGATGGCATCCAGGCCCAGTTCGTGGGTGGACAGCCCTGGGCCCTGGTGTTGGGTGATCCTGTGTGTAACCTCCCTGTTAGTCTTTGCCAAAGGCCACTTTGAAGGCCAATGCTAAGACAGCTCCCACTTAGGACTAGAAGTTCCCCAGTTGGCAAAGAATTCCCCACTTCAGAGCTCCCTTTTAAAACACCCCTTTCCCAAAATCAGCTGCAGGAAACACTAGGAGCCATTGTGAGCTCCTGGACAGAGCCCCGCCTCCCACGACCTGGACACCCTAGCACCAAAGGTCCTCTGGATGGTGAGCTCCTCTGGATGAGTACAGCAAACCGGGAGTAATCACACCATGTAGGAGGGCGTGAGGGAGAGCAAGAGCAGCAGCTGAGCGAGCTGGCTGCTTCGGGCAGGAAAGAAGTTACCTATGTCTGTCCCTGCCAACCTGGCTCAGGACCAGGACCTGAAGGGTCAGGCCTAACTACTCAGAGGCCATAAACTTGTGACCTATAAGGGGATCACTGAAGACCCCACCCAAGAAAGGACAGAGCAGAGGGGATGAAGGCACACGAAGCCTCTGTGCCAACACTTCCTGTGTATTCCTCTTTTCCTCTCTGGGGCACAGCCGTCAGATAGCGACTCTGGTCTCCTGTCTTACCTTCTCAGCCTCCAGCCACCTTCTCTGCATCGTGGGAGGCCATGACCCCATCTGCCTGGGCCTCAGTGCCAACAAGGCTGCCCCTCACCAG